TTGCCAATTTTTTTTAAGCTTTGTTTTTCCTTTTTCTTTACACCTTTTTTTTTTTAAGAATACACCCCAATAATACTCGTAGGACAACAACAACAATACCCAACAATAAGAAAAATAGTGACTTTCATACTCATTTCCTTTCTCAAATATAGGAAGGTAGATAAATAATGTTTAGGCTTAAGGGTTCTGTTTAAGAAACAATATTATTTTTGGCTCAGAAGGGGTTCAAATGGATGTCCTATAATTAATGCAAGGTTGACTATTTGACTCTGGGTTATATCTACTACAAAGAAAAAATTGCCTTTATCATTTTCAAGTCTTGCCAACATGTTATCACATCAAAGAATCAACCAATATCAGTTATCATCACAAAGTGTTGATACTCAATTTATCTGTTTGTGGTACTCTGTTCACCTGGGTTTTGGCTAGCTTCTTCAATTCAGTTAATTCCTAATTTTCCTCATCAATTCCTTTTTACTATCATACTCAATATCCCAAAATCACTTGTTATTGAAAACAATTAAAATTATTTTTCACGTTCTAGATTTGAATTAGACAATAAGCAATAATCTCATATATGACTCTAAATTAAAGGGATGTGTTAAAATTCTAAATTGAGATATTTCCATCTTTTCACTTCATTATATATGTTAACATGTTTCAAGTTGTGACTTGTCAAATATCATGACTTTGCATCTACCTTATTTTACAACCTCATCTGTATAATATTAATATGGATATCAAGCAATTATATTTATTCTATTTACAGGAGAAAATAACACAAGAAATGAATAAAAGTGTCAATTTTACAGAAATTTCAGCTAATGATTGCGTTAGTAAAGTGCTGGGAAAGGATCATCCTAGGCGTGTACGTTGCCTAGGACTAGGAGGCCTTCATAGTGTTGCTTTTCAGTCTACCACAAGATTTAGTAGTGCAGGGTGTAATTTCTCAAATTCTGATTCGAGTAGAAGCTCTCAATTGAAAGAGGAAGTTGTTCATTTAAGAAAAAAATTAGCAACTTCTGAAGAAAATGTCAAAACATTAAAAAGTGTCATGCTTGCATACATCCAAATGAAAGAAGGACACATTCCTCCTGAGTTAGGTGTCATGTTTGGTAATACAAGTAATATAGTTGTAAGTACTTTATAGTTTATTTTAAATGAAATTATATTATTCAATACTTGTATAAAGTTCAATATCTTATGTATAATTTCTAATTATGCTTACATGATATGATCTTTATTTTATAGGATGAAGAGAGTGGACAAGATATGTCAAAACCACAAGAAGAATCATCTTTAGATAGTAATTTTCATAAAGTTTGACATTATATGTAAGTATTTCATATTTTGTGTTAATAGAATTATATTGTTAATTACTTCTATGGAGTTTAATATCTTTTATATATATTTTTAATTATACTAAGATAATAGTATTTTTATTTCACAGATGAAGAAAGTAAATGAAATATGCCAACATCATAGGAAGATACTCATTGGATAGTAATTTTTATTAAGTTTGACATATATGTTGTGAAATTTGTGGATCTATTGACATCAGTATCTTGTTAGATACTCTTTATTAATGAATAATGTCATGAATTTGATTGGACTTATAGGATGAAATTTGATTCTATCTTAGTTGATATTGAATTATATTTAGCTAAGCACTTTGTCAAAGTAAATTATATATAAAAACTACAAATTTAGTCATTTTTTAGTGAGAATCAAACTAATATTTTATGTCATTAAAACAAATGAAAAATATATTATACATTTCATTATATATTTTTTAATATAAATAATTTAGTTTATTGATATATCATATATTTAGATTATTGATTTTATTATAATGATAAAATTATTATTACACTTATCATGGTATTTTAAAGTAATTCTAAATAAAAAAGTATTTTAATTATTAATTATAAAATTATTACAAAATAATTTGTAAATAATAATTACAATTTTGATTTATTGATAAAATAATAAAAAATAGTAATTAAATAATTTTTGGAAATTTTTTTAAACCTCCAATAAGTTTTAAATAATTATAAAATATTATATATTTTTTAGCAGTTTTTAATTATTAAAATATAAAATTAATCATAAAAATAACATTCGTAACAATTTCAAACTGCATCAAAATAGTAAATTAAAATGAGAATAATAATTTATTTTGTAACTATTTTTAATTGTTGGATTTTTTTCTTTTTTGACATAAATACCAACATTTAAAAGATTTCGTTACAAATTGTTTTTGACATCTACAAATATAACAATTTTATTAATTACTACAAATTTTGTTTGTAGTGATTTTTAACTTCTAAATCTATAATTTTAACCGTCACAAATAATATATTTTTTTTGTAGTGGTTGAATTTTGCATTCAATCAACTTATTTTCTTTTTAATTAAAAATAAATATGATATGTTAGTTGAATATGAATTTTTAATTATCATCCGATAACAAAGAAAATAATGCTTCGAGAAGGAGGAAATAGCAGAGATTTTTTTTTCATATAAATTTTTCAATTATTACTTGACAGAAATGTAATTTTAAAAATAGAAGATTAATCATATATATATATATATATATATATATATATATATATATATATATATATAAAAGTTGCATGGAGTTTCTTTAATTAGAACCATATGAGTTTGTTAAAATCAAGTGACTAAAATAAATTTATTAATAAAAATAAGATAATGATAATACAAATATTTAAATTTTGATTTTAAAGATTTATATGTTTTTTTATTTATATTGATAAAATTAAATTTATTTTTGAAATAGGTTAATTTTGTTTAAATTTATACTTTATAATTTAAATTTTAAGATAGTGTTTTTATTTAAATTTATCTTTCAAGACCAACTCTTCTTCCTCTTGTCTTTCAATAATATTTACTCGTATATTTTTTTTTTCAAAATTTACTGTATTTTAAATTTATCATTGAAAAGAGAAATGATAAATAAATAATTTTAATTAAAATTTTAATTGTAATAATAATAATAATAATTAATATTATTATAGTATGTAATAAAGCATGTGTGGATTGATAAGGTGCGCAATAGCGGCGGCGGCCCTCGAAGTTTGACTTTTTCTAAAATCAAAAGCTGTCTGAATATTTCCCTTTCGTTACCTACCACTGCGCGGGAAACATTTTCACATAATAAAGAAATTTGCTTTATTTTATTTTATTATATAACTGTTTCTTTTTAAAAAAATATGATTTATCTTTAATATTTTATAATATTTATATAATCGTTTTTAAAAAATGTAGACACATTCATTCATGAGTGTTACACTTATCATCAAAGATGCATAAAAAAACCATTTTCCAAAGTATCCAATTCACGAAAACCTTTTCTAAATTTGCACGTGATATGTATGTAAATGAATTGGAATGGAAAACTCCACATGTATTATTTATATTCTATGCTCTCAATTCATAAGCCTTCGTACACATACAAAACCCACCAATGAAACAAAATTCGTTACAAAGTTGACATTAAACTCTTTAGGGTTTAATAATATTAACGTATATGTACGTGTGATTATTCTAAATAAGTTGTAAGAAATAAAAATGTTATAAGTAATTTTATTATAGACTTTTTTTTTCCTTTATTTGACCTTATTTTATAAACTCTTGCTGTGTGACTTAGACCATGACTCAAAATTCATTTTTTTTTCAAAATTCATTTTTTTTTTTAATATAAAGTTTACTTATAGTGTTGAGTAAAATTCTAAAGTTGTAAGGATTGACAAGAGTGAAAACATTGAAGTGTAATTTAAAAGTTGTGGTTTGAACGAGAGAAAATAAGGAGAAAAAAAAAAGAGTCTAACGATACTAAGTATTACAAAATTAAATAAACAATGACTTAGTCATACCATATTATATATGACATTTTAAAGATTACTGGAAGATAAAACAAAGGAAAAAAAATATAAAATAAAATATTTGTTAACTAATAATAATAATAATATTAAGTGTTATATCAAATATATTTTTTAATTAACAGATGATGAAAAAATAATTGATATTTATGAAACTTGAAAATATAAAACATTTGTGAAAATACTTGTTTTGGTGTATTTGAGAAACTAGAACATGTTTATTTTTCTTAAATAGTATTTTATATCTTGTTTGAAACTATTTTGTTTGAATATATAAGATGTTTTTTTATATTAAAAAAATATAAATTAAGAAATAAGATTACTAAGATGCATAAACCTATTTTTCTGACAAAAATTTGAACTTTAATTTATGACGTTGAGTTTTCCTTGTTTGACATATAAGAGAACATTAATAACTACAATTACAGACTAAAAAAAATGAAATAAGTAATATGTGATAAGATGGGTATTAAATTGACAAATGGAGAAAGTGAAGCATGAAAAGAATAATCCAAGCATATAACTTCCAAACCTAAACAATCATATCATATTACAATTTATATGAGCAAAGACAAATATTTGTATTTTATATTAGAAAAAAAAAATTAAATAGTCTAGAGATAATGAAGAACCATTCTCATCTTATAATTTGAATGCATTAAATTTAAACTTATATTTTAAAACATTATATAAAAAATTATTAAAATCACATGTTGTTTTTAATTATTAAATTAACAAATTACAGAAATTAATAATAATCTGATACTAAAAAAAAAGTAGAGAGGTCGAGAAGGGTTTACGAAGTTGGAAAAGTGTGACTAGTTTGACCAGTCTTGTAAGATTAACATATTTAGGAAAAGACATGGCACAAGGGAGAAGGGAAGCATAATAATATACTGCGTCTCCTTTGACTGTAGACATTATCAAACACCCACCTTCCAATCCCTCTCTCACTTCGCAATTCCAATTCTCGTGAACTCCATCGATTGCTTTTTCCTTTCTCTTCTGCTCAAATTCCATTTCCACAAACACAACCCACACCATACCGTCCCAATTTTATTCACTTCGATTTGGGTGATGACCGCATGAAGAGATGATGTCGGGGAAAAAGAAGGGGGTGGCGGCGGAAGACGCCATAAGGGTCATTGGGTTGGGTTACGATCTCACCAACGATCTCAGGCTCAAATTCTGCAAGAACCACTCCAGGTTGATCGCTATCGACGATGACAATCTCCGAACTGTCGAACTCCCTCCTCGGATTTCTATCCCTAATGTCCCCAAATCCATCAACTGCGATAAAGGTGACCGCATGAGATTATGCTCCGATGTCCTCTCTTTTCAGCAGGTACAATATCCACTTTACCAACCCCACAAGCTGTGAAAGAAATGTTAGTGACAAAGTTACTTAAAAAAAGTAAATATTGTGTTTTTATTTACAATAAATATATATATGTTTTTACGAAAGAAAAGTTATTTTTAACTTTTATCACGGGTTTTAAGTCAAAGTTTTCATTCTGCTGAACAAGTTCGAAGTTTATTGTGTAGAAAATTATTTTTTTACTTGAGTCGAAGGATTCATTTTGGTTACCAAGTTTTAAGTTTATTCATGTGGGTGGAGGGGAGGAGGACTTGTTTATTTTAAAATTAATTAGAATTAATTGAACGATGTGTCTTCAAATTAACTTTAATCACAGACTTTACATCATGGCAAATTGTGAATATTTGCCAAATGAGCACAAAGTTGTTCGTGTCCATATTGGATTTATTTATTTAATTAAAACAACAATTTTCTTCGTTTTTATTTTGGAAATTGGCGATTGCACACCCCATTTTTCTGGGGTTTATGGATGGAAGGAAACGAGAGATAAAAAGAAAATAGAAAGAGAGAAAGAGAAAGTGGTGGATGTGATAAATCATGTGTTTCAAAATGGCTAGGTAGATAAGAAAAAAGTAGGTTAGATATGTGATGGAACAGAAAATTGATGTGTGATAATAACAAGTTTGTTTTAGAAAAATAATAAATTGATGGATACTTTACTATGTTATTGTTGACGAGTGGAGGATTTCTTGTTAGTCTAACAAGGAATATGTATCTTGTTTTAGATGTCAGAGCAGTTCAACCAGGAGTTGTCACTGTCTGGTAAGATTCCAACTGGCCATTTCAACATCGCATTTGGGTTTACAGGAGTTTGGCAAAAAGATGCTGCCGACACCAAGACTCTTGCTTTTGATGGTGTATCCATCACACTCTACAACATTGCATTTGAGAGAACCCAGCTAGTTCTTCATGATCATGTCAAACGAGCTGTTCCTTCGTCCTGGGATCCAGCTGCCTTGACAAGGTATTCAGCAAAATATAGAATTGTGCATTCGTAGATGTGTTCAACAAGTGTCCGTAGAAAGCTAACTATAGGTAGAACGTAGTCTCATAAGTGTATGCTAATACATAGTATAGTACCAACTTATGTCCGTCAGAACTCTGACAAGTTTAGTGTACACATTTAACTGCTCTTCCATTCATTTCAATAAGCAAATCCACTTGAATGTTGAAATTGCAACTCATCTTTTTGTCTTATCATTTCAGATTCATTGAGAAGTATGGAACTCATGTTATAGTTGGGGTGAAAATAGGAGGAACTGATATAATCTATGCAAAGCAGCAGTACTCATCTCTTGTCCAACCTGCTGTTGTACAGAAAAAATTGAAGGACATGGCAGATGAATTCTTCATTTCTGGGAGGGTCAATGAAAAGGAAAAGGTTTGAATTTTTCTAGTTCAAATTTATTTTTATTCTCATTACATTTTGGTAAATTTTATAAGGTTATACCATTTTATGATGAAGGTATGCTCTTTTTTTATGATACCCGGTGAGGGAGTTGACAGATGGAATAGTGGTATTCAGTTGTGGAGGGAAACTTTTGAATCAAAGTCTTTTTTATCAAGTAGAAGTAAAATTGAACATATGAAATGTAAGTTCAGCTTGATGCGTGCTAGCAGTGCCTTGGATGGAGGTGAAAAAAAAGAGATTGTAATATTTGAGTTTGGTGGATGTGGAATTTAGTGGAAGATAGAACAAAATATTCAAGAGAGAAGCTGAATATAGAGAATGAGAATGCTTTATTATTCAAGAAAATATAGTATATAGGTTCTGCATACTGTCCAGAATATATAAATAGACTTCTGGTAACTTTGTGAATTTTGGAGCCTATTTCCTAGGCATATTAATTGAGAGCAACTTCCTGGACACTAATACCCACTAATAACCAAATGTACAATGTTTACACGAATATACTATTTTCTAGGAAAGGCAAAATGAGTTGGACGAGGTGAGCTGGTTCGTTCAACCCACCAAAAATTTTAGACTAGGCTAGCTTGCTAGCCCACTTTTCTTAAAAGCAATTAAATGACTAGGCTTAGAATTCAAACTACGTATTTTTTTTTTTTTAAGTTTTTAGTGTTCTTAAAAAAAGAAATATGTGTTTGTAATTGTTGTTAGTTTATTTTATAAACTCAATTCCTTTAATACTATAGGAAAATTTATATTCAAATCAAATTTAGACTAAATCATTATATACTATAGGTTCTTTGATTAAATATGTCAATTTGAATTAATTTTATGAAATAAGAAATTTAAACTTTTTTTTTTTCATTTTACCCTTAACCTACCTTTAAGTGGGGCATATCAAAATTTCTAGCTTGCACCCTTTTTTGTATGCTTGTGGTGAGATGGGTAAAATGGGTCAGTATGACCCGTTTTTGTCACCCATATTATTTCTTAAGTGCATGAACTATTGTTGGAAAACTGCCTTAACTTCAGTCATCCCTAGGCAGCCTTAGTTGCGGCCTCTTTGAGGGTTGCCTCAATTGCAACCTCAACGAGGACTTGAGCACAAGAAGACAGCTAAACACAAAAGACTAGTTCATTAAGTGGGAGGAAGCTCTAGGCTTAAGTACCATATAAAGTATATCCTACTTGATGGAGTTCTTTCTTTCGAGGACTTCAAAGATCTAACAATTGTCAGAAGGATTTTCAGTCCAACAACTCAAACCCAATGAAATTAACCAAGTAGGTCTCGGCCATGGGAAGGAAAAACAAAGAACAAAAAGCTAAATGAAAATCCAATAGACAAGATGAGAAGATGGAAGGAACATGGCACCTTATGATAAGTGCAATGTTGATACACAAAACAAAGCTTATTTCATATATCTCAAATGTGTAGAATACATTGGAGGAGTCTTCTATTTATAGGATGAGCATGTGCGTTCAAGGAGCTTCCTAAGTTGTGAAAGAGAATTCAAGAAACCAACCGACATGAATGCATGCATTAGTGGAAAGTTGTAACTCCCTTGGCCAAGTCATAAATAAGGTGGTTAGGTTCATGAATTAGCTTAACTACCAAGATTTTTCTTAAAGTATTCCTAGAATATGTAATCTAAGATGCTTCTAGAACTTTGTAGAATGAATATTTCTTTAAGAGAATTTTAGTGAGAATATTCTAAAAAATTCTTGTAAATAAATTTTTTATTCTAACAAATCTAAACACAAAAAGTTTCTTGTTTACAAAAGATATTTTGATTTCTATTCTATGTTCTCCAAACTCCTCTAGTTCCTTAAGTCTTGCTCCTGTCATTCTTCCTCCATAAACTCTCTTATTCTCTTCTAACCCTCTATCCTTGGTCATGTGTCTTGTAAGGTCTCTTTGGGTTTCTTCCATCTTAGTGATTGATGTCCTCATCACTACTCAATGTGGGATTCCTTACATTTTCATCCTTATTAAGGGCCGACATCCATGACAACTTTCACTCTATCATCATTGACCCGATGGTAGCCCTTTTATCTGTGATGGCTTAGCTCATCTCTCAGGATTCAATCTGCATCTTAATCTAACCTATAAGTAGCCAAATTTCCTTGAAAACACCAATTTTTGGGGCTCAAGCACAAGAGGAGAGTCCAACACAAAAAAGCAGTCCATTAGGTAGGATAATCCCAAGGCTTAATTACCACATCAACTAACTCATACTCATTTAGTTACCTTAGTGGTGGCCTCTTTTTTTATAATGCTTGAAATTAAATACATAATATTTTTACTATTCTTAAAACAAAATAAAATATTGAGTATGCTGTGAAGATAAACACTTATTCGATTTTTTTAAATAAGAATGACATCATTCTTTTTTAAGACAAACATTTATTCATTGCAAATATTTGGAGAATTTAACCCAATTGTAATGACATATCTTATGTGTCATAAAATTTTAATAATGGAAAAAATTGAAACTTGATCCCTTAGGAGATTATATTTACATAGAATATATTTTGTGTGACAAAGATTAATAATAATTAATATCAATATAGAAAGGACCATATTGAATTAATATACTGTTAAATGCTTACCACTATATCAAAAGTTATAACTAATAACCTAAGAACGTAGCAGCCTAAGCATTAGAATTTGATTGTAACTTGATCCACATGACCTCTTTCATTGGACAATTGATGCACCCTGTAACATATTCAGCTTAGGGTAAAACAAATGTTTTCAAAATCGGTAAATAGGAAGATTGAATACGTACAGGAGGTCTAGCCTAACCATCCCAATACACTAAAAGGTAACCTAGACTCAGAAGTTCATATTTACCAGTAGCCATAGTCTATTCTAGCACTGATGGATCCTTCTCCATTATCAAAGGGTTTCCTTTTGCATATCATTGTCTTCTGTAGCTGCAACGCCTAGTATGGCAGTGCCACAGGTATGGTGGAGTTTTGGCCTTCCACCATATTCTGCTTCCCACCATTGATAACATTAATGAAAATGCTTTTTCTTATTTCACAGAATTTAGTATATAGGTTCTGCATGTTATATATAGACTCTTGGTAGACTTAGTAAGGACTATTTCCTAGTCTAATGCAACTCCCTAGACATTAATACCAATGAATACCAGATGCTTTAGGTGTTATACGGGATCAAAAGGTGGCTATCGAGTATCAAACTCTAAGGAAATTTTATGGCATATTCGTTAGACCAATAGTGCTGTATGGTACTAAATTTGAATGTCATAATGTAGCTCGCTGATTTATGTTCATTGTGTACAAGCTTCAGTGGGAATAACAATGCATTCTGTTAGTGTTAGATGGTAAAGTGCCAACAAGAACATAAGCTAAGTGTTGCAAAGTTGATAATGTTGTAGTGGATGAGTGAACATACAATATAGGAACGAGTATGTTTGAGGAAAGATTATATGATTTCTTCAAAGACAGTTTGATCATGTGAGAAGAATCACAGTCCTGTAAGAAGAATTGGTCACGTGGAGAGTATGACCCAATAAATATAGATAGTGGAAGACCAAAATAAATCTATGAGACACCATTAAAAAACACTTGAGTTCAAGTGGCCTTTCCAATGACTCAGTCTTAGATAGAATACAATAGCAATGTTGGATTCATGCAGCTATGAAGTTACGAGTCTGCTTACTGGGAAAAAACTTTTGTTGTTGTAATTTTGTAATTGTTGGTCAGTTTCATTGAGTGAAGTGTAGAAGCTATCAAAAATTTGAAAACTATAAAGTTTATATTCAGGTGATATTTAAAAGTTTGATTGATCTGTAGATTGTAGGGTATGTCTAATATATTCTTTTATTTAAAAGTCTGATTATCCTGGTCTTAAATAAAAAGGATATTTGAGTCCTTTACTAATGTAAATATAATACCAGTAAAACAAGAATATTTTCGTAACCAGTCACTTGACATTCTGTGTTATGTCCTAACCCGTAAGTTAAAGGAATCATGTATTCAACTCCTTCACTTTGTAAGTGGTAGTTTAAAAAGGAATTTCTCCAATGATGTTTTTTTAAAATCAGGAAGAACAATGAAAGTATCATATTTACTATTAACTCTGAATAATCATGAGTAAAATAAGAAAAAAAGATCAAATAAAAATAAGGAAATTCAAAGAACCAGCCTGTGGGATATAGGGTTAGAGACCATTTATTCATGGTAATGCTAGTCTACTTGTTAACATTATTCTTTTTTCTAAAAAAAGTATTACATTGTTTTATGCAGGACAATGCACTGGGTTTCATGGAGATTCAAGCTGGTTCCTACTTTGAATCAGAGGTAAATACATTTTATTTAAGAAATTGAATTTATGCTAGGTACAGGAAGCTTCAGGTTTCTCTATTGGTTTGGGCTTACAGAACTATTAATGAATTCCTGTACCAATTTGTATAATTTAAATTGCTGTGTAACATATAGCTGATGGACTTGTTTGTTCAGCTTTATTTTTTTGAATTTCTTATAATCTAATGCTGATTTTAATATTGTTATTAAAAAGACTTTTCCTGCTCTATCAGTTGTTGTTAGAACTATATTAATCCCTAGTTATTTTACTTTTAGTCAATTTGCATAATTTTTGTTCTGGATATTTAATCTTTGAAATTGTATATTCATCCCGGTACTTTCATGTTGAATACCAAAATTAGCATTTTAGCATCTGAATTTGGTGTGTTAGATCCATATTATTTGTTTTGGTTCAATGCATGGTTGATTTAGTCGTTCCAGCCAAGGAAGTCAACAAATTGACGGGTTCTTCAGTGACCATGCCCTCTTAGTCCAGAATTAAAAATAAATAAATAATACGAAGGTCACAACAATTACTCTTACATCTTTCTCTCTTTTCATTATACAATATAGGTGCAGGATATCAAGTTCATATGCAAGAGGAAAGGTGGAAATGGGAAAAAATCTTTGTCTCATAGTGAGTGGTGCCAAACTGTTCTGTCTCAACCTGATGTGATATCAATGTCGTTTGTACCAATTACATCTCTACTTGGTGGAGTAAATGGAAGTGGATATTTAACTCATGCCATCAACCTCTATTTACGATGTAAGCAACTAAGTGTGACTCTTTTAGCCATTTATATATTTACATTTGTATATCGTTTGCTGCAATTCTTGGGTGTAGCTTATATATTTGTTGGACAATTTTGCTTAGTGGCCATTGGTTTTAGGATAGAATCTAACATGGTATTTGAGAAGTTCTACATCGTTTGTCACAGTTCTTAGGTGTGCGGCCTATATATACATTAGACCATTTCACTTAATACTAATTGGTTTTAAGTTGAAACTAACAAGTTGAACCCCCTTCCTCAAGCTGACAAATTGATTCCTGAATTCCTAGTTAGGCTATAAGATCAATAAATCCAAGTTGTTTGGCCCCTTTGGGAGAATATCAACCTGTTGGTGCTGTAATGAAACACAGGACACGCACACCATGTTAATTCCAATGTAATAAGACATTGGTTTATCACACAGAAACAAGAAAATAAAGACAGTAGTATTTTTTATCTATGTAATGTCTCTATATTTATTGGATGATAGAATATATTTATATACAAGAAAATGATGTAATTGCTAATAATAGAAGAAAAAACAAAAACATCTAACATAGACAAATTTGGTTTGACTAACTAATACACCAGACCTCTCTCCGACTTTTCCATTAATCAACTGTAGATCTTTAGAATATATTTTGTCCTATCATGCTGTGTAGGAGTATAGGCTATATTCATAACTGACTTGTTACAGAAGCTTCATCGGACCCTTCCATTCGATTGCAACACTTAGAATAGTTTTCAACCTCAGTAATTCACATAGATGTGCAATTGCTCTAAATTCCGATTCTGTGAAGATCTTATATATTTTCTCATTTATTTGTCTGAAAATTCATTTGGTGTTATTAAGAGAAAATTGCTGATTGTAAATATAGTTCTGTATGCTATTGAAAATGTATGTTATAAATGTAATCCTTGCATTGGAGGTTAAAAACATGCCTTTGAGTAAAATATCGTCATCATCCTCTGTAACTTGATTGCAGATAAACCACCAATTGAAGAATTGCATCAATTTTTGGAGTTCCAGCTTCCAAGGCAATGGGCCCCTGTATTTGGTGAGCTTGCCCTTGGTCCTGAAAGGAAGCCTCAAAATACTGCATCTTTACAATTCAGTTTCCTGGGTCCCAAGCTCTATGTAAACACCACACCGGTAATGCTACCAGATTTGTGTTGAACTTATCTAGTTGGTTTGTTGTTTATCTTTGGCTCAATGGTTTCTACAATTCATCTTTAATACACGGGATGAACATTTTAGTACATGTCCCTCCCCCCCTCATTTGTATAACCGTAACAAGGAAAAGATTATCTATTTATGTTTTCTTTAATTTTAAAATTGAGACTGAGGATATTGATTATTGTGTCTTAGAAGTGTTGCCGTTGTAGGTTTGTACTAGTTGCTCTTGTACTGGACGTAAAGTGTCAGTATAAATAGGAGCATTAGGTTAGTTTTGTATTATTATGACATTGCTATTAATAAAACATATTCTCCCTTTCCTGCTTTCCCATTTTGGTCTAATCCACTAACAGAGATATTTGAATCTAAAAAGAGATAACCTGTTTTTTAAAGAGAAGAAATATAATGGGGGTTACAGTTTGCTTTTGTAGTATGCGAATGTTTGGGTAAATTTGTCCGGTTAGAAATACAATATATCCTTTGATGTGTGTACCTTTGCTTTTGTGGTTTAAACTATTACATTAGCTCATAATTTGGCTATTTCCATTTTTCATGATTGCCTACATAAGCGATTGGTTAGACCTCCTTGTCTTAAGGCCTTGAGTTGTATTCTCCCCGTGCCTTATTAGATTCTTGTTCTAGTTCAACAACTATCGGGGAGGAATGAATGGTATTGATGACCTCCGATTTTATCTAGGAATTAACTATATAGAGTTAAAATCACCATCTCCTTTATTTAATTGGATATTTTAGCCAAAAGTGAATATTAGAAATATTACTATCATGTTTTGGTTTTCCTTTTTCTTGTTCCTATCTCCTTAACTAATATCAAATATTTCCACGCCAATGCATGAATAGATGAAGAAAATATATATTTCATATAAAATATTATGTTTCTGTGGCTGCATGTCAGACCCTTGTCGCATTTACTTTTGTATCCCATATCTGTCGTTTTTCTACCAAAAATCTAGTTAGTTTTTCTCAATTGTTTTGGCAGAAAACGGTAACCTGTTCAGGGCATTAAATTTTGTTGGTCAATACTCATAGTTGTACTAATGAAGAGCCTTCTATTTCTTTATTTAGTCATCAAAAGTAGTACATAATGTATTCATTATTCAGATCTTTTGTTCATAATGTTACAAATGTAATGACTTAGACTGACATTGAATTACTTGCGTACAGGTTGATGTGGGAAAGAAGCCTGTCACAGGCCTTCGATTGTATCTGGAAGGAAAGAGAAGTAACTGCTTGGCAATCCATTTACAGCACCTATCCTCCCTGCCCAAAACCTTCCAACTCCAGGATGATCCTAATGGGAATGCATCCAATGACTCTTCAGAACGCAAGTACTATGAGAAAGTCCAGTGGAAGAGTTTCTCTCATGTTTGCACAGCTCCTGTTCAATCAGATGATGATCATGCTGTTGTCACTGGTGCTCACTTCGAAGTTGGAGATACCGGTCTTAAGAAAGTTTTATTCCTAAGACTTCATTTCTGTAAAGTTGTCCGTGCAACCAAGGTGAAAGATCCTCAGTGGGAGGGTTCTCCTGGATTGACCCAGAAATCTGGAATAATCTCAACATTTATCAGCACTACCTTCTCGGGTCCACAAAAGCCACCGCCACCTCGACCTTCTGATGTAAACATCAACTCTGCTTTATATCCTGGGGGGCCTCCTGTGCCTACTCAGTCTCCCAAACTTCTAAGGTTTGTTGACACAACTGAAATGACAAGAGGGCCGCAAGACTTTCCTGGCTATTGGGTTGTGTCTGGGGCAAGGCTTTTTGTGGAGAAGGGTAAGATATCACTTAAAGTAAAATACTCTCTTTTAACCGTGATACCTGATGAAGAGGTAGGAACTTTTTGAAATTATCAAATGAGGGATTGTGGAAGATGATCTCCTCAGTTAAAGTTCAATGAGATGGAGGTGTGTATATAATAGTGTCTGATTCTTTTCCTTTGTACATTTTCCATTATTTGTGTATAACTGGACTGCAGATACTTTTGGGGAATTCCTTGTTGTAGTTTTGGAAAAGGCTTGTGTAGTCATGCTTTGAATGTATTCCTATGTCAGTGACTTCTATGCAGTAGTTCCACTTAAATTTTACTCTCAAGACAATGAGAGGACATTCATTTCATACCCTGGGAGAGTTATTTAGTGTGTGATTGGATAAACAACTTAGTTGATCTACTAGTAACTATCATTTATTAGTCGCAATGCTTTCCAAGAAAAATTACAAAACCCAATAGCTTTTTTCAAGTCTAACTAAAAATCTAACCCAATTTTTGTAATAAAATATTCGGGCAAAGATATTAAGTTAGACTTAATTTATCACCTTTACACGTAAGATATGACTCGCGTCACCTCCTAATGAAAAGTGACACCATTCAATTAGACAAGCCTGGGGCAGTTGACGAGGATACATAAATCCCGAGTCACTCATCATGTGTGAACATGTAGTAACGTGTTGAATCAATTTAATTGAGTTCATATTTTAAGTTTAATGAAATTCAAAATATTTATTATGATTTTGACAATGCAAAATTAAGTATGTTGATCCCTTTATTTAGTGACAACACATGATTTGGATCCTTGAAATACATAATATTGTTGGTCTTGATTCAACATCGTAAAATGTTTGATATACTTTTCTTTTGCAGTATTAAATTGCCATCTTTGTTGGCCAAGAACGACATTGTTTGCTGTGTTAAACAATTGCCATTTTGAACGTAAGCTATTTATAAAATATTTCTAACTTATATTATTTTAAAAGAAAAAAAAAAAGTCAAAACAGACATTAAACTGGTCTAAATTGATACACAACATGGTACTTTCTAAGCAATCATCGAAGCTTTCAAAATATGAAACTGTCGTATTTGGTGAAGAGTGAAGAGGAATTGTTGGTATCATAAAAGGGTGTGACATATCATTCAAGTGTATGCAACAAACCAAATATGAATAAAATAGTAATGAACTCAAGCTGACTTTTTTTCAACCCGTAAGCATGATAAATTAATAATTACTTTATTCATAATGTCTCTTCAAATTAATGAAAGTATGAGATTATTTTGATAAATTATATTTATTTCCTCTATTTTTCTCTTCATGATTAGTATAGAAAAGGAAAAAAAATGAAAAGAATCCACGTGAAAGATAGTTCTATGTTTAAAAAATGCACTTCTTTTTAATTAACATATTTAACTCGTTTCAAATAAATATTTACTTGTTTTTTTACTAAATTATCTAAGTAACACCCCATTTTTACTTTATTATTTAAACCAAACATATAATTCAAGAAAAATAAATAATTTTATTTTTTTCCTTGTTTGATTATATAGAAAATGATAGAAAAAAATTAAAACAACATAATTACCTTTAAGATGGTACTAATGTAAATTGTACTCTAAAATATAATAGGGTCATATTTCTTTCACAATCCAAATAATCAAATAAACAATTCAAAATAATATTTGTCCACGTCCAACTAGAAGACCAAACAAGAAAGAGTGTTTCTTTACCTTTCATTTCTTTCTTTACTACTCAATATATTTTTATTAATGTCATCAAAACGTAAATGTATACCAATACCTTTTTCCCATTATTTTATATCTCCATGGCAACACCAATGCTGGGGTGTGTGAATAGGCATATAGGCAAGGTAACAAAACCAACAATTATACATGTGATGAAAACCAATCATAAGTACCATATCCTCACAGTCTATACACTCAAGAACAGAACAAAAACAGAATCCACTCTGCTCCACTTCAATCACATTGGTACAAGTAAAAATGATTATATCTCAACTCAATTCAACAATTTCCTTCATTCCATATCTACATCATCATGTGGAGTCCAGGGTGCCAAAAATGCAGCCAAATTTGGTATTCAACACTTGCAGCATGAGTATTGTTGTATATCTACACAAACAAGTTTCATTCTTGGATCCATGTCTTCCTACTACCCTTTCTTTTCGACATAGTTGCATACTATCTATCTGTCCACATCTAGTCTGTCAATCACATCCAGTGCTCTCTTTTTGTCGATAACAAAATCAATAACAGGAAGCTTAGACAAAATTCTATTAAAAGAAAATTCCTTGCTTTTACTTGTTGATGAATAACTGCTACTCTTGGTAAGTCTTCCATTATCTGTCAATCCAATCTTCACCCTGTCAAAGTCCAAGCTTTTACTGATCCCTCTTCTACAAATTTTATTACTAACATCTTGCAACATTCGCTGTTCGTCACTTGTTAACAATGGTGGTAAGACTTTTGTAGATTGTTGATTTTCCGTTTGTGGGGTAGTGCTGACATGGGACTTTAAGGCAGACCTCATTTCTCCTGTATCAATACCAGATTTACTTTTGATGGCCAAGCGGTGAAGCCATAGGAGAAGTTCGAGAATATAATTTTCTACTTTGTCTTTATCAGCATGGTGAAGTGTTTCAATCCTCATCACTTCAGCCTTCATGGTCTTCTTATTCAGCTCAGAGCTGCACGAAGCAAACAAGAATTCGAAAACGGAGAGGAGCATAAAAATAAAGAAAAAAGAGAACACAGTAAAACATCAAAGTTTCATTTTATTAATAGAAATGAAGGTTGCTTACCCAGTGCTTGCCCACTCCCCTACCCAACCAAAACCATGATGTGCTCTGAATCAATTTTTGAGTAACCAATAAAAAAAACAAACGGTTAGTTCATATAGAAAGTAAATGCATCGGTACTAAAAGTAATTTTCTTATTTGTCAAAGAAAAGAAAAACAGAAAAATTCTGAAACAGGTAGTACGGAGCCAGACATCTTACTTGGCTGTGTTTGTAGCAATTGGAACCAGCCAATGCAATGTTTTCTCCATCTCTTGTTTAATATCTGATATGGTAAGCTGCAGGAAACATCACCACAGGGACAAAGGTCATAAGGGAAGTCTAATGGATTAAGTATTGAGTGTTAATCCAAAGTATTAGCTGAACATTGATCATGGGAGATTCAACAAGGTCAAACACACAATCGTATTTTACCCACTAAAGGCTTTTTATATTCTCTTGATATCAAACTTTTTCAGAAAATTATGTTGTCTCTTAATTTTTTAACAGTGAAAATAGGAGAAAGATTGTACCTCTTTTACAACATGAACGCTTGGTAATTTGGAACGCAAAGCTAATTTTATATTAGGAGGCAAGCTTTGATACAATGCATCCCTTGTATTTGCCGGCATAGAACTGGATCTGGCAACCTGACAGCACCAACAAGGGCTAAGTGGAGGTTCTTCAGTGCATAAGCTTAATCACGCACATGGTAGTAAACAGATAATTATCTAAAACAACTATGGACTAGAATAATTACATCTAATACAGACCAGTAACTAAGTGATTCGGCCACAAACAAATAATAAACCAATTACAAAATGGAAAAAAAAAAGTACATCTTAATAAATGCTCAAGAATTTTGTTTTGGATCAAATAAACAATGGGCTAGAGGCCAGGTTACATATTACATTACTTGAACTTTTAACCAAAAGAAACAAGGTAAAGCATACAGATTGAACTAAACCAAGTTATGAAATGAATACAATAAAGAAGAAAAACTTACAAGAGTATCAATTTGGAGCACTATATTAGCATAATGCAAAGCAAGGCCCGCAGGACCCAATCTTTGGCGATTGCTGATGGTTTGAATTAATGGTTTATGGTCATCTGCAGGTACCACGGATAAACACCATTACAATCACACAAAAAAAGCACAGTTTTCAGATTGGAAGAGTAACTTGATGAGAACAAAACCAAATAACTTTCCTTCCCTCCATCCTCCCCCCTTTCCCTCCCTTCTTTCAAATTCTAAATTTTCTAATAAGTAAAAACTAAGAGTTAAAAGGCAGAAATTTGTACTGGCTATCAATGATATCAAATTATTGATACATAATGATTAAAGGAGGCGATATTAGATGCAGATAGCACAGTAAAAGTGAAGCAATTAAGATACTAATGCATTTAGTGGGTACACATACCTGCAGTGCCAAAGGCATTGTTTATCTCCAAATGCAAAAACTGAACTATCTCTACAAGCTTCTCCATAACCTGTAATCCATTAGATTATGAATTGTACTCCACTTTCTCAATTTCCCATGCAGGTTATGCTCAAAATGAACCCACCTCTATCAGTACACATATTAGAGTATCTTTACTAGTTATTGGCATTATACATGCATAAAATGCAATGAAAGGATAACAAATGTAGATTGGAGGAGAATAAAAGATGATAATCATTTATGTACGGTAATAATCTGAAGTTACCTCCTCCAAACTTCTGGACCAAAGTGACTTTTTTTTCAAATGTTTAACTTGCTTCTTTTGACTTTTAAGTTCTGCCCTCAAGATTGAAAGGCCGTCACCTACATGATGACAAAAGATAGTCAAGATTTTATATACATAAGAAATTGCCTAAAGAAATATTGCTCAATATAACACAGTCAAACTTCTAGGTCAAAGTGACTTTTACTTTAAAACTGCTTTATATAATCCAATCCATTGTGCCACAATGCACAGCTCAATAAGAATCACAGTTCAGGCTCCAAAAATTTCCAATGAAAATAAAAAAGAATGTGCTCTGGCAGCAGTCACCTGACTGAACTGATATACACTATTGTTTTTTAATAGGGATGAGTTGCCATGGGATTACTTACTCAATCTAAATGAAGGCATTAAGCACAGAAAAACCTAAGTAAAACGGCTTAAACAAATCAAACCTAGTTTTTGTATCCATTTAAGAATCCATGGACAAATAATCATACTCCCTATCTGTTTAGTTTGATAATAACCACAGTAGTAAACAGAAGTAATAAATATCCTGGGTGTATCAGACAGAAAAATTCGTGTGGCCATAAGTAAAAGTCAAGGATCATTTTCACTTTAAGTCTGAATAATTGTACAAGTAAAGTAATCAGTATAATTTGTGTGAATCTTAAACCATGGGTTCAGTTATACAAACATTTAAGGATCATTTTCGATATAAGCACTAATATATATCTTTCTCCACCATTTCGGAATCAATTGTGTTAGATGAGTCTTGTCCAAGTTTTGCACACTCCAACCCCTATATGTTTATTTTACAATACCAAAATTAATCTTCTCTTTCAAATTATAATCCTTAATAGAATTTTGGATTTTATGTTTATTAAAAAAAAACACAAGTCCCATATTGTCTAGGATAATATTAAAATTCAATATAGAAGTCGGGGTAATCCTCAAGCCAACTTTTTTAAGGTTGAGTTAGGTCTAAACCACTTTGTAAAATCAATAGTGCTGGACATGAGGGGTGTATTGGGAAACCCGACGTCTCATATCAACCAAAAAATACAACATATGAGTAGGGGTAATCCCTTACTTTACAAGGCAGTTTCAGTAACTTTCTATCACAAACAAAAATTGCATGTTATGTCATAAGCAGTACTCTTCACTTACCATTTTGAGCTGCACCCAAATTATCATCCTCTTCACGTTTATGCTGATAATCTTGTGCAAATCTATCCAAAGCATGTAACTCATGGTATAATTCCTGAGGACATAAAAATTATTTTCCAATTTCTTTCAGACTTAAATCACACACCAAAAAGAAATAAAGACAAAGTTGAATGAAATAAAAAAATGCAGGGAAACAAGTTCACATCGTGAAGATACATGCCCTTGGTTGTACCTAAGAAAATATTGAAGATAATTTTTCATAATCGCATATTGAAATGGAGTCGCCTTTCCTTTGACATGAAATGTGGGCAAGTAAATACGAGAAGATACCACACAATGAGCAATAAATACAGCTATTTCCACCTCAGGTTATTTAATAAAACCATCAATATATAAATAAGAAAATCTAATGCTTTTGCAATTATATATGAAGTCATATTTGATGTGAACATGACCTATGATAAGGGCTAGAGCAAGGAAAATAAAGGAAGTTTTTCAACAAATATTGTTGGTTGACCAAATTATGTTTTGAATTAATCAATTAATGAGTTTTAGTTTGATTTTTGTTTTAAGTTGTAATAAGAGCCGAATTGGAAATTTAGTCATCAGCCTTTGGAAGACCAAGGGGTGCATAGCTGATTGACTTTTGATTGCCACAATTTCAGATACAATCAGTCATTAAGTAGTTTCAATTCCTAGGTTAATGAATCATTATTAGCCTTTATTTGTTTTCATTAAATAGTTTTCAATTCCTAGATTAATGGGTTATTATTAGTATTTATTTTCTTTTATTGAGTCTTTTATAATTCTGATGGCAATGCTTCTATATCAGTTGAACCATTTTTATCAAGAAATAACAAGTGAAATTTTATTCAGAAATATTAGAGTTTATCTCTTTTATCTTAGTGAGAGTGATTCTCCTAAATTCTTGAGTGATTCAAGAACCCTTGGCTGTATCAAAGGACTTTCACATCCTTTATGTGTTGCCTCCCTTGGGAAGAGTGATTCTTTTCTTCCACCTTCTTTCTAATTCCTAAATTTCTTACAAAGTTATAACCCTGAAGATCCTAAATCACCCCTTGTGATTCATATCAATATTCCTTCAACAAGAATCAATTTGTACATACTCGGTCATCAAGGAAAGAAAGTATATCCAAGCATCACGTGTGTTTCATTCCAAATAAAAAATCATTGTATTATCAAGTAGTACTCAACTACTCCTACTCATATTTATTCAATGACCAATTTATTAATTACAAGCTTTACCAAAGCGTGGTGACATAAATTGCACCAATATAATGCCCACAGATTACAAGGTGAACTATTACACTAATTCCAATTAGCTTCGAGCATAAATCATGATGCACATAAGAGTCATTAAGGAGGAATACAGAAAGTGATCAAAAGCAAAAACCCCTATGCAATGGATATGCTACACGGCTATAAGAAAAGTAGTGAAAAATCTTTGATTCAATTTCCTCATCAAGGCATCTTCGGAAAATAGTACAAAAATAATTTGGTAAAAAGTCCAATTAAAGAACCATTAATTACTCAAGTATTTAATGATATTCAAAGAGTGGTTAAAATGTAAGCATTTAGTGATTGAACTAACCACCTGAGTGATTTATTTAAAAGAAAAAAACATTCACTTTTTTATCAGAAGCAACAGTACATATTTCTTCAATAAAGGATACACTCACAGCTGTAAACTGAACCGAAGTCATCAATTGTTGCATTAGCAATTTAGCCTCCTCCTTTGATTGTCTTGGGGAATGAAGTTCTTTGCTAATTCTAAAATTTACGAAAAGATGGGTCAGAATGAAAATATGAAAGACTAAAATTTGTTTTCCTAAAAGACTAAATATTTAGACGAATTGAGGGAGTACAATTTATATTACTTCTCAAAGTATCGGTCCAAGTTGTGCCACTGAGGATCCTTTGATCGATTTCCAAAACGAATTACCTCATCGGAAAAGACTTTCAACTCATCCCTGGAAACATGAATCAAAATCACATACAGTTTGGGATTTTATAAAGTTGTGGCAAACTAAAATAGTTGGAAGTTGGCCATGGTCATGAAGACCCCTGTTAGAAATTTGACTTAATTCAACAGTTACCTTTTGTCAGCTGCAACAATCCTTAGAAGTTCATCTATATCCTTTGACACTAAATCTTGCACAGCCTCTAATGGAAGAACCTCTTCTTTTAAGTGGTTAATACTTTTTGCTGAAAGAGATTCCATAAGACTAAAACCCTTGACAATAGTGTTTGCGACTTCAAATGCTAAAATGCCAATTTCATTCCCCTTCATCACAGCACCAGATACAAAACCACCGGCACTTAAATTTGTCATGCTACTCCCAAGAGTGTCCAAAACATCAATACCAGCTCTGCCCAGGCGTAAACTCACCTCTGAGACCTGAAATAGAAATATCTCAGTAGAGAACTTCAATTCTACCTTTGTATTAGTCAACTGAAATACAGAACACTATAACGAAGAGGAAGCATGTTTTGCAGTGGTAAAGTAAAAAATAAGGGAGAAAAGATGAAGAATGTTTGTTATGTTCAGACAATAGAAGGAAGTACTTCAATTTCAACCAATTCAATGGACTACTAGTCCACGATTCATTAACTTTGGGACATTAGTTACTCAAACTTTTAGTTTTCTCTTATAATTTCTATAAGCGAGACTTCAGTATAAAGTTTTTTATTTGATAATCTTCAATTATTCTTTACTCCAAATTTTGAAAAAACACATCCCCCTAAAAAATAACAAATGTATTAAAGAAGCATCTGAAAAAAGATCAAAGATTGTCACGTTCCTAATATTTGTGATTCAACAACAAAGATGAAATCCCTAACATGAACAATATACCTTACACAGGTAAAGCAAAAAGACGTACTAATGCCTCGACCACAAAACCTAAGCTAAGACTAGTAAAACATAAATTGGGTACATTAGCCTGTCCAGAAACTATATATCCCAAACAACTGAGTTTAGAAATTCCAAGTTGATTAAGACATTTTGAAGATTTCACATCATCTACAAATATGAATTAACTAGAATACATAAGTGGGCGCAAACCAAACCTTAACGGCCCATTTTGCGAAGTTATGTTTAAATCTATTTTCTAGGATGGTATCAAAATCTATCTAAATGAGGTTTAACCACCAATAATACTTAATCTCGCATTCGTGATGTGTTGTTCCTCGAGATCATCAAATATTAAATAGTACTTCCTCATACTACATTTCTCCCCCATGTTGTAGAAAACTCGTTCTTCATTTGAAAAAATATAACAGGTGAAAATAAAATTGGGAAACAATGTTGCTGCTAAAATTATCTTAACTAGCAATAACACTTCCTAGACCAACCTAGGTAGTGTGTTTCTAAACTTGATATACTAGTTCCCAACATGCTTTTATGAAGTGAGTGACTGTGCAATTGAAAGAAGTTTGGCACTAATGCTAAACTGAAGAATAGCAATAGTAGTTAAACGAGGAAAAATCTCCAAAGAAACTCTAATACTTAATATTCATACTCAACAAGGGTGAAATCCCGAAGCCCAATAAGGCTGCTCAAACAACCCGAATACTGACAAGGACAAGCAACACAATCTAATCATACCACTCGAGTATATATAAACTATGATATTTCAAATTCTTCATCGCGCAACAATATAGCGTCTCCATTTCATATTGCCCAAACCAATCCTTGCATAAAACCCATTCCCTTAAAGCTGTCCTTTCAATCCTAATCAAATGTGACATAAACTAACAAAATTGTCATTGTCAACAGCACCATCTTTGTCAAGCACTTATATGAGAACAAAATAAACAAGCAATCAAACAAATAAAATCTAAAGTAATAGTTTGAGTACAACTCTACTTTCACCCTGGATCTATCAACCCAATACATCACCGACTGCAACATGGTTCATGAGTATACCAGGCTTGTTGTAGACTTAGATTACTGATTCATCAGTTCAGGTTGAGACAGAACAAAAAGTTACAAAACGAAAAAAGGATTGGTGAAGCAGAAGAAAGGAGAGAAACCAAAAATAACCAACCTTTGCCACAGCTTGCCTTGATCTTACTGACCTAGACTTGTGGGGAAAAGAATCAGGAAACCGTGGGATTCCATCGTAGAAATCATCAGAACCGGTCCCTGTAGGTGCAGCAGCACCTTCTTGCCTTTTCTTGTCGACTCCATGATCCCCTGCACTTGTCAAATCATTGGGCAACATGATGGTGGACTTGTGGTTCTTGACATCAGATTTATGGTTATCAGAATATGCATCTGCTTTGGCAAACACCTTGTCACCTTTGGCAGACTTTGAACAAAGACCCCCCATACCAAAATCTCAATCTTTTGCCCAGAGAGAATAACAGAGGAAACTTTATTGGCAACTCAGCTCATCTAAATCAGGAACTGTTATAAAAGCACACCCTTTTGTTTGTAGTGCTTAATAAATAATTATAAAATAATAATTATTATAATTGTAATTGTAAGGAGAGAAAGAATGGGTGGACCTTCGAGTCAGGGAAGAGCATGCAACTTGAGAAAGTAATTACAACAGTTCCAAAAAGAGAAGAAACAAAGATTGAAAATTTGGGAAGAAAAAGTCTACCCACAAGTTCTCTTTGGTTGCCAAGAACAATAGTAATATATAATTATTACTATTATTATTATATAATAATAGAAAAAGAGGAAAACCATAATATAGTAGTAATTTTTGTGCGAAAACAAGGGGAATGGGATTGTGCTGTGTTGTTGTGTTTGATCAAAGGGACATGAACGGGGCGGCGCTTCTAGTAGGTTACGGAGTGAACTGGAAGCGATCTGCTAGATTACAGCCTTGGACTTGGACTGCCAACATCGGAACTGGTCGTGTTCAACCTTGTCGCTTCAGCATTTCTTTTATCTTTTTTAAGATAAAATAAAACGTAAATGTGCATCACAAACGTTTGCATTCAACTCATATAATACTTTTATTGTTTACTAAAGTAATTAATTACTTAACATCAAGAAAACTGAAACTAACTTAAGCACATTTAATTCTTAAAATACACTCTCTTTCTTCTTCTTTTATAAGTTCCAAATTCACTTAAGTTGTTGGTTTAGGAAAAGTGGTTTCAATCTTTTTTCCATCTGAAGAAAATTTTGCTACGAATCACTCATTTTGTGTGATTTTATATATCAAAAGAGAATGCTTGGATAAACAACTTAAAAATACTTCTTCTAATCATATGTGAATAAAAAATCATTGTCAAATTAGCTTATGATATTTTGAAAATTTTAATTTATTTCCTAATTTTGTAAAATATTAATCAAATTTGGGCCAATTTTGTTTTTCTCTAAATAATCACTTACTCTTTCCAAATAAATTGGCAAATAATTACTTTTCCAGAATATTATTTTATTTTTAAGTGACATCTAAATTTATGATAGAAAATAAAAAAAGTATAATTAATAGCTTTTTAATTATTATTTGTTTTTTTATTATTTATTTTATGTATCTTATTAACTGCTTTTTTGTTATTTAGTGTTTTTCATTGTTTTATTTAAATTTCGCATAAAGTTGTACAATTAGATGAAAAAAAAAAATAGTAGGTGGTATTATTCGAATTGTTAAAACAAAAAATAAAAGATAAAGAAAATAAATTAAACCAAACGTGCACTTATTTTTTGAAGTTATTAACTTATTACACATTACTAACTATCTTTGCAATTGGTTTTTAAACTTGGGGTTCTGCTACTTAATTTCTTTAAAATAAGTTTAACCGAGTGCTTATAACAAATACATAAATTAAAATTAATTGTTAACACAAAACCAAGCTATTTATCCATTTGTAGTGATTATATTATTGGTATGAGTTAACATGAATAATGAATAATGAAGATGATTTATTCCATGTGATAATTTGATGAATAAACTCTTTGACCTCTTGAATTAAAAAATAACATGTATTAGAAAATCACAATTTAAAATAACTTAATGTGAAAAGAACTAAAGATGAATTGGAGAAAAGTGTAACCTTTTAATATAAAAAAAAAAAAAAAAAAAAAAAAAAAAAAAAAACCTAAAATAAAGAGAATTATGGTCCTACGGGTCAAAGAAGAAGAGACAGAAATCAAAAGGGTGTTTGGCTTTGTGAAATTGTGAATGTCACAAATGGGTGTGAATGTGTGGATAAAAGAAACCCTCCATTGTACGCTCCCTTAATCCTAACCCTCATTCTGTGGGAACATTTGACTTTTTCCGTCTCTAAACAACTTTTTCTTCCATTATTTTGGCCACGTATCTTAAACTTCTATTTCATAATCTCTCTTCTTTTTTTCTACACTCCAGAACTTACCCATTTTCTTTATCACCTATCATAACAATATTCGAAAAAATCATCATGAAAAAAAAAATAGAGAAAAGGTTCATTATGAAAAAACTATTGAGGGTTTTCTTCTTATTGCAATGACACTTGAAATTGGGGAAAGGTGAAAAATTTAGAAGGCGAGTCAACCAATGAGTGCTGAAATGGATGAAGCAACTTGGGCAAACAAAAACAAACTTGTTTCTTGTGAACCCAATAATCATTAGTTTAAACAAAAGTTAACACAGGTCTAAACACGCGTTTCGATCAGTACACACGTGCATAAAATACCATACTTACTTTCATAGAATAATAATTATTTTCAATACTAAACAATTTTTGTTATAATAACTCTTTTTTAAAAATATCTAAATGATTGATATAAGTAGTTACGAAATTAGATGCTTAAATAATGAGTCAAATGTTTAAATCTATAATTTTTTTTAGGTTAATATAGCTTGGTCTCTCTACAAAAATATATAATTGGGTCAACATATTTCTATGCCTAAAACAAATTTTGAAGTAATATCTTTATAAAATTAATGACGGAGACAGGGATAAAAATGAATTTGGTTTATTTGAGAAAAAAAATATTAGATTTCAAAAGTAACTATTGGAATGAATATCATTTTGGTGAAATATTGAGATAATAAAATTCTTTAAAGAAGAAAAAATAACATTTTTGATATCGTAAATTATGAGAAATATCAGTAATTATTTTTTTACACAAGACAAAATAAGAGTAAAATGATGGGTCTTAATTACTTACATAATTGTGAGCAATTTACAATCTTTACTTTTCGGCACATTGCTCTAGACACAGAGTAATAATAATAATTGTGTCTTGCGTTTGTGAAATCGAAGAATGAAACATGAAAACAAAAAAATTAAAATTGATTTGTCGGACACAAAATCAAACACTTGCTCACACCCTTTCGTGCAGCATTTGAGGGCCAACGGTAAAGAGGACAACCATATAATTCCAAATCTGACCAAAATTTGACATCATCAGATTTTGGATTCATAGACATAATCATCACTTCTTAAATTTTGTCCTAATTATATTTTCTCCTTTTTTTTTTTTTGTTATATCAAGTTTCATAATCTTCGTGACAATAATAAACAGTGTTAGTTTTATTTTATTTTATTGTGTTTTTGGTTAATTTATTAAAAGCTTGCGGTAATTTTGTATGTAGTTTTGAATAAAAAAAATCAAAATAATAGTAAGGATTTGTCATATTGCTCTAATTAGTTAAAAATATTATTCAAAATAAATTAAATCAAATGTATATATTTTATCAAAAATAAAATTAAAAGTATAAAAAATGCACATGTAATTTATTAAAAGTAATATTACTGAAGATAAAAACTTTGTCATCTTTTGAAATTAACAATAATAAAATCGAAAAAAAATAAAATTCTAACCTTTTATTTATTACCCTATTGACTAATAAAAATCGAATCTCGTAAACCAGTTTTTTATTTGTTATTAATTGAACACTTCTAGAAAGTTATTTTTAGTCAAATAAGACAGTTGCATAACTTGTAAGTTATGTAATAATTTTGTGAAAGACGTAGATGTTACTTTCTTTCCATTCACATTAATGAGGTACAATAGTTTGAATATATGTGAAAATTCTCAATAAAACCAAATTCAATAAAATGATGAAAATGATGTACACGTGGAACAAGAAAACAAAAGTGACAATCTTAAACTTTGATATTTTACTTGCTTTGTCATGAAATTTGACTCTATTTTATTGGTTTACTAATTACCCTGAAAAACCCGTAACTAAAGGAATCCACATGTAGAACAAGAATAAATGAAAATGATATAGAAAAATATCAAATTAAGTAAAAAATTTTACTTTTATTTGTCTCAACCCATATTTATAATTTCTAATCATATATCTTATAGGATTGAATATGTTTTCATGATTGCATTTTATCACAAATTTGATTTTAACTTTTATATTAAAAATATTAATTAATATTTAAATTTATAAAAATGTATTATATTAATTTTTTATATATTTAAATTTAATATTAGTAATGATTTTTTTAGTTTAATTGATAAAATGATTAATTACGACTATAATTTTTCTTTATATTTAAACTGAATATTTCATAATTTCACTTCTTATTATAAAATCGATAAAAAAATAAAAAAATAATTAATCTTATCTTCTATTTCAATCAAGTTATCAGTTAGTTAGACATCTCTAAAGAAATTTTTTAACTATAATTACTTATAAATAAAATAAAATATTTTATTTTAATTTTAAAATATGATTAGAGTTGTTTATCTAAATATTTTTTTTAATTTTAAACAAATTTCTTTATTTAAGTAACTTAAACATGAAACCTGTAATAAAATATTATTTTTGTTTAAAAAAGGATTTGTTTGTTTTTAAATATTTGTATATTTTACCGTTTCATTTATAACAAATTAAACAAATCAACCTAAATTATTTTATATAATGAATCAAAATTCAAGTACGTTCTACTATATGAAATGTTCATTAATAAGTTGATTATAGACTTTAAACTCACCTATTAATGTTTTTTCTTTGTTTTTATCTATAAAAATGTAACATATGTTACATATGCTTTTGATATTGAATATAATTTTGGTCTCTTAATTTTTTAAAAAAAATTATATATTATTTTAAAAAAACATTTGAAATACATATTATTCTCTTGAATAAAAGCATTTTGTGTTGATAGAAGATACTAGAAAATAATTCATTAATATTAATTTTTAACGATAAGAAGCATGGGCATGAAAATGAAGTTAATTGGAAAAAGTATAAAGTACCTTATCTAACATAACATTCATCACCAAACCTTCAAACAATACGAAACCAATACTATTACAATTTTACAATAATTAGTTGAGCTAAAACCTATTTAATAAATCTATCTCCTAGTTTTATAATCTTTTACTATAGACAAAAAAAAAAAGTGTAGAAAACAATGTCTTACATAAGGTGTTTTTAATATTTTTTTATATATATTTTTTAATTTTAACTCCTTTTAAGTTTGATTTTCTTTCATTGCATAAAAGGTGAGAACACAAAATTAAATTTTTCATGATGCCATCACTAATTCAAATGATGATGAAGACAAATCATATTTTTTAGGCGAGTAAGAGCTATGAACATAATAAATAAAATGAAAAAATGGTCCAAGTTTTAGGGTCCATTGATAAGTTGATTAATTACAAATAACAAAGTAAGTTGATTTAATCTGCTGTGAATTATAACAGTAAACTTATTAATAAAAAAATATTTTTATTATAATATAATTAATTATAAAGATAATATATAAAATTAAAATTTATAAAAATAAGAATTCAAACCATTTTATGGTGACTTATTACATAAAATAATTTTCTTATTTAAGTATAAACTCCTATCTCTTTTTCTTATTTTTATTTATTTTTATTTAAGTATTGATTGTTTTCATTTTCATATCTTGAAGGTATAAAAATTATTTAAGAAAGAATAATTTAAAATTTTATCAAATAAAAAAATATAATATAATTTTTATTTTACGTATTTAATTTTTTTAATATAAAAAATAAATTTTTTATATAAATATTATTATTTTAAATTATAATTTTTTTAAATAATGTCTATTATTAACCATATATATATATATATTAAATTATTGAAAAAAATATAATTTTATTATTAAATTTATTAAAAAATTTATTTTAAAAAAAATAAATATTTTTTTAATTATGACACATCAATTTGTTGACATGTTTTTTTATGGGACAGACCAAAAGTTATCGTTTATCATAATTATAAATTATCAGGCTTCCAATCCGTTTTAGCTGGTGAAAAATAAGATAGAATACCCTTTTCCATCCTAATAAATAAGAATAAGTAATTTAAAATAAATTCAAGATGAAATTAAAAATAACAATCAAATCAATTGAATTTATTCTACTTCTAACCACTCTCTATCCTTCAACAAGAGGAAAAAAAATGTTTTTTTTTCCTTCTTAATAAAATTTTTAGGTATTGTATGATCTTATATTGAGTAATAAAACCACTCTGATCGAGTTGAGAAATAATAATTTAAAATAAAATGTTAATGAAATTAATTTTATTTTTAATAAAAATATTAATATATAGATTAACATAATATATGTATAACACAACAATATTATTTTTAAGTTTTTAAAAAATAAATATTATTTTAAGAAATATAACTTAAACTCATAAGTTTATAAGACAATCAACATGACTGGATGAACAAAATATAATCTTGTTCAATCTATAACAATTTTTAAATTTAGTTTAATTTTTGATAAGAGTCTACCAAATCTAACTGATTTTACCAATTTTGTTGAATCAAATTCATCAACTTTGTTGATAAATTTTTTATTTTTTTTATCAAAAGAGAATCCTATAAATAATTTGTAATGAGGGTTGTATTAACTAATTATTAGTTTTTATCATAGATAGGCCTATGGATAATTTTTAAAGAGGATTCTTTTTAACTACAATTTTTTTTAATTAACTTGAGACCTTAATTAAATGTATTGAATGTATTGAATTTAATTTATCATCAGGAAACCATAAACTAGATACTGTGTTGGATTTATAGATGCATGATAGATTTAGATGATATATGTAAAATAATGGATGAAAAATGAACCATTTTGAAGATAATAAATTCCTCAACAAACTATTTGAAGTACACAGTATTGTGCAAAGTTATGGAGAGGCTAACAAATGACAACAACTTGTCCACAGATACGACCAAGGCCGTTCACTTCCACCACTCACGAATCATTCCTTTCATCCACCACCAGACAGAGAAGAGCGCCAGAATTTAATTGAAAAAAAAAAGATTTTTTTTTTTCAAGAAAAAAAGAATCTAAAGCGCGTTTTAGTTGCTCTATTGCGAGTCCAAAAGCGCATCTAAGAGGAGGAGAAGAATTTTCTTCTAGGGTCCTGATAATCAACCGTCTTCTGCTACCGTTGTTATCCTCGTTTTCGTCGTCCAATGTAACGCAAAACCAGCGACAACATCGTCGATGAGCTCGAGCAATTTGACCGGGTTTGTGTTGGCCGTGGTTTCCAGCGCTTTCATTGGCTCCAGCTTCATCATCAAGAAAAAGGGTCTCCAACTCGCAAGTGTCAATGGCCCACGTGCAAGTATCTGCTTCCTCCTCCCCCCCCTTCTTTTTAAAGAATTCATTTTTTTTTCTGGAAAATAATTTATCGCGCGTGCGTATTGCGTTGAAATTTGCAGGCGTTGGTGGCTATGGTTACTTGCTTCAACCCCTCTGGTGGGTCGGGATGATTACCAGTATGCAGCACTTTCTCTTTTCTTTGTTTTTTTAGTCTTTAATCCAGCGATTTAGAGATTCTTTCGTACTGAGTTTAATTTTAAATTTTTTGTAGTGATTGTTGGAGAGATAGCTAATTTTGTGGCGTACATTTATGCCCCTGCTGTGCTTGTTACTCCTCTCGGTGCTTTGAGTATAATTGTAAGGTGAAAGTTTATTCCTGTTTTATCTTATTGTTATTTTTATTAGGTTCAACCGCGCACTTTGCTGCCTGTAGATATCTCCATTTTAAGTTTCAGTGCTTATGCGAGAAAACTAAAAGTTTCAGTACATATATGGGAAACTTATTCATCAGTGCCGGAAAGTTATTTTTGGTCTTAGGAAGAGGGACCAATACTTGGAAAATCGCGCATGTGTGTGTAGACTAAAATTTATAATTTTGTGGTATAAGGACTAATTTTAAAATGGAGACAATTACAGTACAGAACCTGTGGATATTTTAACTAATATTATTTCAGAGCTAAGAATTTATATGAATATGGGCAGTGCCGTTTTAGCTCATTTTCTCTTGAAGGAGAAGCTCCAGAAAATGGACGTGTTGGGTTGTCTTCTATGCATTGTGGGATCCACTGTTGTTGTGCTCCATGCGCCTGAAGAGAAGACTCTTAATTCTGTGCAAGAAATATGGGAATTGGCCATTCAACCTGGTATCTGTTGATGTTTCATTGATTGTCCATTATGAAATGCCTAAGGATAAAACTAAGATTCAGTACTTCAAGTAAATTTTTGTGGTGGTCTCCAATTAGAGTTGGAGTTCTACGTTGGTAACGTATTTTTGACCTTTATAAATTTTTATACAGATTGTGAGATTACCATGGAGAAATTCTAATTGCAATTGGAGATTAATACCAAAAGCATGTAGAGAACTGTATCTAAGTTTTGTGCAATGGTTAATGAGTTTTTCCTGATTATTGCTTTCTATATTGGTGTCAGCATTCCTCTCGTATACAGCCTCTGCCATTGCAGTGACATTGTTCTTGGTTTTGTATTGTGCTCCCCGTTATGGCCAGACTAATATTTTTGTTTATATTGGAATATGCTCGATAGTTGGGTCCTTGACTGTAAGTCTTCAGTTTTAATACTTTGTGATATTTATAATTTTGGATATTTCCGCCTGTTCTAATTGTTGACTGATTTGTATACCATATACCACCATTTGTTTGATCTTTATGATAACAATCTAATTTATCAGGTCATGAGTGTAAAAGCAATTGGCATTGCCATAAAACTTACAATAGAAGGCTCAAACCAGGCTTTCTACTTTCAGACATGGATTTTTACAATGGTTCTTGTCACCTGCGTCATTGTCCAACTAAATTACCTTAATATGGTCAGTGCAACTTTTTTTGTGCCATCATAATTTTTGCATTATGGCATTAAATAACTGTTAAAAATATGCGTGCTTACTTCAAATACTTTGGTGCATTCTGTTGCTTTGTTCTCTATGCTTTATATGTATATCACATCCTATTGAAAAAGAATATCAGTTAAAAATAAGTTAGTTAGTTTGTGTTTCTTTGGCATAATACAGGCTAATATTGGGCATTTATTTGTTTTTATTATTGCTGCGGTGAGACTGTGATTGCTGAAAACTATTTGAATTTTGTGCTCTTGTTTATATCCTCTTAATTGTCTTCATTACGGAGGATAGGCACATTCATGTAGACTATTTATAAAATCTTGATTATAAAAATATTAATTTTAATGTTTTCCTTGCCATAACGCATTTGTCTACATATTTGTACGTTCTAATCCTCTAATCCAACCAAAATTTTGATGAATTCTAGGACAAGTATCACGGCTGTTTCAAAGTGAGATTTAGTTATCATCACTTATCTATTGTTTTGCAATCTCACCTTATATATTTATATTCAATTTTCTCTACTAATTGATTGATTGAAAGTGATAGGTGCATTTTCCATAGTTCCATCAATGAACCTGTCCATCCCACCACTTACTTGATCTGTCTAGACTTATAATTTTGATTGTTGTAATATAATTACTAAATGTAGAAAACCCATCAAAATTTTCTGTCTATTTGTTGTTCTTCCTCTTTTTCCCAGCCTCGTAGGCAGTACGGTGACTTACTTATTTCAAGGTGCAGATAAATAGTTTGGCTTCTAATCAATTATTGGATGTATGTTGACTGTAGTCCAGGTAAATAATAAGTAACCCATACTGAATCATAAAAAAAGAAGAAGCTTAAATATATCATATAAATGATGTGTATTGATATTGAAATAGGAAGTGACATAAACAGCTTAACATAAATCTTACATAAAAAACAAAATCACGATTACATGTCGTTGGTCAGAGATCTCAGCACAAAAGATAAGCAATAGTATTGCCAAATAAGGTGTCCATAGAGAGATCAAGTGTCTGAGTGAAGCCTTTGTTTAATGAAAACAGAGCGACCAAACAACCAAATAGGATGCATATAATGAGTGAGTGACTCTGTGAAGACCTTTTTCAGAAAAATGACACATTAATGAAATGATCAAATATGGTGTGCTCTGTAGTGCTCCTTCAATTTCTGAGACAAAAATTGGTGAAAGCAAAGCAAAAATGACAAAAGAGATTAACATATTAAATTGTGCGATTTTTATCAATGATACACAATGAGACCATGAATAAAATTTTTATTTTTCAAATTTTCTGTGAGTATTTGAATAAAATTTTAACGTCCAGAATCATATGAAATTAGATTTTTATCCTTCCTTTAGAAGAAAAAATCTTGCTCATGTTGCCTTCCTTTTACGTGTATCATCTGATTATATTTAGTATGAGGAATTATTTTAGGTTGTAGGCTTTGGTCATACTTTTCTTGGCTCCATTTTCACTTTCTTTTCTTTGATTCACCAACTATAAACATGCTTGTATTGTGTTTCCTTGCAATTCTTTCGATTCTGTGTCTCCGTTACTTTTTCTTTGTCCACTAAATTAAATGTGTATCCAATTTTTGATTACTGTTTGAAGGTTGTGAAGTAATTTAGAAGTCTGAGATGTAAATCCCTTGTCCAAATAACATCCATGTGATGATTGAGATCAAGCCCTTCACTCGCATTTTGATTTACTGGAGTGTTTCTGTTCCTTTTTATCCTCATCATTTCCTTGTTATTTAGTCTTCAATCCTGTCTTTTAATATGACCAATTCTTTCATGGTTGCAGGCATTGGATAATTTTAACACAGCAGTTGTTTCTCCAATCTATTATGCATTGTTCACAGCTTTTACAATATTAGCCAGTGCAATTATGTTTAAGGTTGGTACTTTTCAGAACAAAGAGAATCTGTGTGCGGAAGGAGACATTTTATGGTTCAAATATTTTTTTTATAATCCTGCTTTTTTTCATATTTTAGGACTATTCTGGTCAAAGTATAAGCAGCATTGTGTCAGAGCTATGTGGTTTAATCACCATTTTATCAGGAACGACTTTATTGCACAGTACAAAAGAGCCAGATTCTCCAATCATTACAGGTAATACCTCTTGTACTTTATGGTGAAGGACTTTCATTAGAATGACAAAATGAACTAGGTCTGGTGGATTGGCCGGCTAAAATATGGCTGGATTGGTTGGTGATTTTAGTCCGTCAGTCTGTTTTAATCCACCCACCAAACTTGTCAATTTGGCAAGCTAAGGGTAGGACGGGATGAATTGACCTACTGACCCACTTTAAAAATGTATTTATATATTAAAATAAAAATGATTATAATTAAAAATATTATATATTTTTTATTATGTTATTGAAATATGTAAATATATTATAATATTATAATTTAAATTATAAAAATTAACCAATTAAGTTTAAATTATTAATTATAATTAATTATTTGAATACTTAAATATAATAATATTTTAATTTATCTAATAAAAATACTAATTAATAAATAAAAAATTAAAAATTATTCATATAATTAAATATATATTTTAAAAAAATACATATAAAAAATATTATTGACGGGTTGACCCACTAACTCGTTAGGCCGCCTTTTGATAGTGTGACTGAGATTTGTAACTCGTATTTATTATGGTAGGTCAGTTCATCTTGTTTTTGGTAGTGGAGAGGTGGGATGGGCAACACAGGACCGTTTGGCTTCCATAACTTTTATGATAGAAACTCCTCATTATTATATGTGGCAATAAATGGTTTCCAGCTTTGCTGGACCTGTGATATAGAACTGTTACGTCATAGGCAAAAACTGAACACAAATTTAGATAGCAGGGAAGAGTTGATCATATTTTCACTTCTACGGACTTCACAGGTATTTGCATGGTAGGGATTCTACGAAAGGAAAACGTTTAAATAGGAGGTCATCTATGTGACGAAATTAAGAACGACAGAGATCTTAAACTAGAAAGAAGAGGAGTGTTTCTGTAGGTTTTAAATAGCTTAGGGAAATGCATTTCTTTTTCTGGTTGAAGAATAAATGAAGAATGCATTATTAGAAAGGGAAGGCAGAGTACAAGTAGGGATAAGGTGGGAAATCGTCCCAAGTAGAAAAACAATTAGAGAAAATTGGCTCAAAAATAGAACTAAGCAGTTGAGTTTCATTGCTTTTAAAGTGTATAAATTCCTTTTGAAATTGATATCAAGGAGCACCAAAGATAAACCACATAATACAGTCATATCCTGTAACAAATGGTAATTCACCAAAGAATTTTATGAACTGCACACTGGAATAATAATAATATAACCTCTTTATTCATACCAAAATCTTTAAAATATATCACTGGAAAGTACAAGGTAAAAAGACATACGCAGTGTTTGCAATAACTTTCATACTACTGTATTAAAATAGGAAATTTCCTGTAAAGATGGGGTAGCAAAAAATGATGAAATATTTTCATACTAGCTTTATATGCCCTACTAGTGTTACCAAGATAAGCTGAAATATGGTAATACCCTTATTCACCAATCTTTTCATTTAGTTAGGTTACCGATTCTGTGACCGTATACAATTCAAAATTAAATAAAGCTTTCTGTATAAGGTAGCTACCAAAGTCATCTCACAGTGATCCTCAATGCAGTCAGCCTTATGGAGAATTGAGAGGGGGGTTGCTAGGGTATTGTCTGAAAAAAAATAAACTTTTATGAAAAGATATTAATTCAATCAAACAACCAATCCACTAGTTAGGTTTAATCAATTACATACCTTTCTTGAAAAGATAGGGGTTACATCACATATTCAACAATAAAAACAGTGTAGGATTGTTTTAGCATAACTGGATATGTAGGCTCTTGCAGTTAGATTGGAAATTATTTGATAGTTTCTATCTATCTTAAGTTGAGCTAACTAATGCTGTTTTCCAACAGTATACACATTTTCTGATTATTCTCTACATACAGATTTATATACACCTTTGTCTCCAAAAGTGTCATGGTACATCCAAGGCAATGGGGAACCTTGGAAACCGAAGGAGGAGGATGTGCCACCCTTTAATTTGATCACAATTGTACGGCAAGACCATTTCAAGTGATAGTGGCTAAACTGCTAGAGGTAGATTTATCCGAGCAATCCTTTCATTGAACAAGATACAACATCAGTATTTTTCGTATTCTTTCAGCTTATTTATATTAATAAACATGAATGTGATAGTATTATGCAGTCTGTTTGACTCTGTAATCTCATAATATTTTATTCTCTTACATTGTGCAGGCAGAGAAGAGATGGTGCTTCCTTTTTTCCGAGGGATTTCTTGGTTTTTGTCTCCTGGTAGCACGGGAAACGAAAGCTTGAGTGCTATCATTTGAAAATTTAGAATGGTTCTGTGGCCATGTTTCCAAGTAGTGAGTTATGTAGTCTTGTTTGCTTCCTTCCTTTTTCTTATCCCTCCTGTATTCCTCCAATGTATTGGTTCCCTCCCAACCAACCTTGAAGAAGCTAATCAATGTATATGGATCTGTGTAGTTTTAACTTTCAATTATTTAGTTATTGCTTGGAAATTATTGGCAGGATATATGATATATTGTTACTCCCTAGAGACCAGCAAAGTCATAACACAATGAAATTATTCAAGCTTTATAATTTATGGAAAAGTTTGTTTAAAAATAATCTTAATTATAAATCTCAAGTGTTTGTTTCTCGTTGCTGTAATTTCTCACTTTATTTTCTTAAAGTAAATCCTATGTTTTAGAAGAGATAGTCCTAAATTATATTATGTAGGACTTAAAATGTTTATACTACTACTACGTTCCCATTATTGAGGATGAACTCATCCCTTCTCATAAATTTTTTTGTTTTGTTTCATAATATACTAAATTTTACCATTATCCAATAATGATAAATTTTCTTTATATGTTTTTCTTTATGTTTATATTTTTAAAGGTTAAGAAAATAATTGTGCAATAAGCTTGCTAATAAAAATATTATAATTATTATATAAAAGACTAAACAATTTATTAAGTCATCTAAACATTTACTTAACATAAGTTTTATTCTTTAAAAGTTTACAATATCAAATAAGTCGTTTTTTTTGTCCTTTAATTTTACACAACTTAATATCTCAATTTTTTTAAAATGAAAATACTAATTAATAATTTTACATTTCAAGCCATAATTTTCTTATGTATATAGTCTCTTATAAGTTATATAATGTTGGTAAAAATAATAATGAAAATTAAAATGTTTACCTTTTCAAATAAGATCAAAATTTTCCTTCTTTTCTTTACTTATTTCTGTTTTTTTATATTGATCTAAATTTATAAAGACATGCTTAATTTAAAAGGAACTTGTTAGTACACGTTGAAGAACGTTTAACTTATTCTAAACATCCATGTGTTGATTTAAAAGTTATCAGATAATATAAGAATTATTTAAACACTTGGATCAATGTAAAACGAAGCATGTTCGTGTACATTACATTTTTTTTCTTTGGATAATTATTGAAATATTTTTGTACCCTATTTAATGGAAATATAAAATAGAAAGATATAAAAAATAGTTAAAAGTTATCATATCATGTGGCTGTAGTTTAGTGGTAAGAATTCCACGTTGTGGCCGTGGAGACCTGGGCTCGAATCCCAGCAGCCACACATTTTCATTTTCCTTTCATTTTTTTTTCCAATGTAGTTTCGAAATTTGGCTTCATTACAAACTAAACCTTGTTTTTATTAATTAAGTTTAGCAAACCTATGTAGAGGTTATTGCTTATTTAAAAATACAAAATTTCATATTTTAATGTGTATTATTTTAGTTAGATTAAAAGTAGTTTTTAATTCTTCTGTTTGGTGGAAAAGAAAATTGCTGATTCTGATCCAGGTTAGCTGGCAGTTAACGTTAATTGCTCCTGAGATTTTGGTAATTAAAACACCAAACTAGACTCACATTCCTCACCAACAAGTCTACTTAAGACTTTATTTATTTATTTATTTTTGCCTAAGGTTTCAGATCTTCGGAATATTCATGTCTGAAAGGATGCAAAACTTGGAACCTACATTATGGGATTCCACTTCATCCTCCAACAAACATCCAAACAAATCTTTGATACAAGTAAAAAAAAAAGTTATATATGATTAAATTCACTCAATTATCATTTTAAAACATTATAACTCTCTTCAAAATTTTAATATATATTTTCTTTCTTACATATTAATAATATATTCATATTAAAATTACACAAATGATAGATAGTGTAAAATATTTTTATTCCATTCATAAATTTATTTATTTTTATAATAATTACTTTAATGTAGAACTATTTTGTAGCGTTAATATATAGTCGTTAACTTTTAAAACTATTTTGGTCAATAATAGTACATATTTATTTATTCTTATATATTAATCTTTCCTGATTTAAGAAGAAAGCCCGTTGACTTATTGTTTAAATAAAAGGATCCACGTGATTGTAATTTTTACAAACTCAAATTATTTAATATAATTTATAATTTGAAATTAATTTTGCAAATGTTGGCAGCAGAACTTTATAATATTTATGTTGTCTTTTAAAGCTGTCATTTGCCATGTGCTGTTGTCCTGTGTTTCAATGGGTTATCAGTGCGAATTAATATTATTGGGTTTGGATTTGGGATAAAACCTAATTTAATTTATAGAACATTATTTTTTTGTTACAAGCAATGACAGGTACATAATACCAATAATATTTGATCATGCCCTAAATTCAGGATACGAACTTAATTTGTCATTATTCTTCCAACCCAACCCAAGGAGGAATCTATTACTATATTCTTCTAAGAAATTGGGGACCAGAATATTCCATAATATTCTCACCACATTTGGGGAGCAGAATTTTATCTTTCTTGAATAATACACATTTGCTCAGTATTATAAATATAATGACAAAAACATATTGAAGATGTAGTCTTAACTGTGAATACAAGGGTGGATGTTAAAATGGTATACACTTCATGAAGTGTATAATCATGAAGTGTTTGTTTGTTCCCATACACTACGTACCATTCTAACATCTTCAATATGTTTCTGTCATTATATTTATAATACTGAGGGTGATATATAATACTGAGGGTTTTAAAGTGATTTATATAAAAAAGCATATTACAATATATAAATTATATATATGAATTAGTTAATACAAATATTAATTAATCCATTTAATACCTAAATTTATTTATTTTCATAAATAAATTATATTTTATCAAAACATATATGGAGAAATTTCTTCTAAAACATACAAAAAAATAGTAAATTAGATATTCGAAGAAATTGAATGGGAACTGTTTTAATAATATTATATTGATATGGAATAATGCATAAATACCTGTCTATGAATAATAAAATCATGGTCTACGCAACACATGCATAGTTAGGAATATTCTTTAAAAAAACTAATATACCTTTAATGTCTTTTATTTTTGTGTCTGAATTCTTTTAATATCTTAACTTTAAATTACTTTTTTTAACAAAAAAAGATAGGAAAATAAAAAATGTACTTATTTATTTCAGAAAAATATATATGAAAAAAAAATTATTAATTAAAAATTAGTATTTATTCACTTATAAAATTACTTATATAATTATTAATTAATTTTATGAATGAAATATTTTTAAATATATTTAATTAATATATATATATTTAATATATACTTGATATATAATTATAAATATTTTGTATTAAAAATTATATATTTTAAATATTTTAATTTAAAATAATAAATAATATTATATTTATATATAATTAGTTATTTGATTTTTATTATTATTTGTATATTTATGATATTTTATTAAAATAATTATTAGAAATTTGTATATATAATAAAAATTATTTTAATAATCAATATGAAATTTTCTTATTTTCTATAGGGAAGAGGAGAAATCTGATTTCTCTTTCTTGATTAGTCTTAAATTAAAAGATAAATAGGTATCTTAACACTTAAATTTAAAGTTTATATATTATCCTCCATATTTTTTAGTTATTGATAGTTATTATTCTTGTTATGTTTTGAAAAATAAAATTGACCGTGATTGAGATAAATAAGAAATGAGTTTGTGCTTTTTGTTTTGAAGATATCCAGTTCTTATTAAAAAAAATGTATTGAAGGTGGTCCATGACTCGAAATATATTATCGTAAATATATTATCCTAAACCCTAAACCCAAAATATATTATCGTAAGAAAAACTATAATAAAATACAGTCTATCGATCTTTTGTTTGTTAAGACGAGGAAATTTATATGTTTATGAGGCCAAAATTTTATGTATTTGGCATGTAGGTTTTTTTTTATTTCATTTTTTATAAACTAGGAGAGAACCGTACTTTAATTCACCGCTAACATTATCCTTTTAAATAAATGAAAATTAAACAATAAATCATAGTTTTAATCTAATTTTAGGAAATTAGGAAATAAAGGTGTGCTTTTTAAATTTGTGGGTTGATTGAGTTAAGAATTCAAAAGTTTTTGAAAACTGGGAAATAACTAAAAATGAATATAATAATGTATTTGATGTTAAACCTAATTAATAAAAATATAAAATTAAATTGAAATTGAAATTGAAAATTGGTTGATTAGGGTTGTTTAAGCAGAGGTGGAACAGGAGCGTTAGAAGTTTGAACGGTGTAGTGGGACTGCACATATCATATCATATGACCTTGTCGTCTCATGAAGTGACATGGTAACTCAGTGCCTACCTAGCCTCTCTGCATCACCAACATACTCTGTCTCACCCTCATTTCCTCTCACCTTTTTCTTTTTCTTTTCCTTTCCATTCATTTTTTCTTCATCTTCTTCTCGTTCTTCGGGAACCTTTCAGGGACACCCTATTTTTTTTTGTTAGTTTTAGATTATCTTCTTCTCCTTCTTCACCCTGAACGGAAAAACCCTTAAAAAAATTATAAATTATTATTATTATTATTATTAATTAATCCTATTATTCAACACAGAATAAATTTGAAGCACACTTTATTTTTGTTAAATATGAAAAACAAATATGTTTTTGATAAAAGTGTGTATAAAAATTGTAAATGAAAATTAGAAAGAAAAGTGAAAATGCGAAGACGAAACACTGACATTAACGAGTTTCCCAAAAAGGTCATACATTTGGGGACTCCAGCTTTTTTTCCTTTGATAAGACCCATTTCTGTATCCACTCATTACCATTTCGTCTTCACGTCACGCTAAATTGTTATTTGTTTCTGCAGATCAAAATTATATATATATTTTTTTATCTTTGTTATTTTTTTATTATTTAATTTAAATTTGAAAAATTAAAATAAGTTTTAATTTTTGTATTTTAAATTATATATATATATATATATATATATATATTTAAGAGTAAAGGAAATTTTAAACCAGGGTAAATATTTGAATAAAAGTGAAATTGTAAAAAAACAAAAGATAATTAAAGTAAAATATACTATTATTTGATAAAAAAAACAAGGATATTAATAATTTATAGGTATACGTTATTAATTTTATAAAAATATAAAAAATAGTTCATTCTTATTTTTCAAAATAAAATATCATATTTTTTGAAGTGTATGAACCCTAAATAATATTTTTCGTTTTGAAATTTTTTTTATTATAATTTTATACTTAAAAATATTTTGATGTTTTATGAGAAAAGTGATATATAATTTTTTTTTACGTAAGTCTTTTTAAATAAAAGTAATTTTTTTAAAAACAAAGTTATTCATTTTCGCGTTCATATGATCATATGCCTGAAATATAAATTAATTAATTCATACAGAAAAAAAAATTAGATGATAAAAAAATTTACTATACCAAGGGGGGTTTTATGACTCGGATATTTTAACAAAGCATATATGGAGAAATTCTTTCTTGAATAATACACTTCATGATTATAAATCACCCTCAGTATTATAAATATAATGACAGAAACATATTGAAGATGTTAGAATGGTACGAAGTGTATGGGAACAAACAAATACCTTTTTTAATTAAACAAGTTGATGGAATGACGCAGGGAAGGTGCAGGGTTATTAAGATTTTGAAATATAAATGGAAAAGTCCTTCTGCTACGCCAATCATATCACTCTGCAACTTAAGTTTCTGATGGGAACTCCTCCGGTGAACTCGTTGCCAGTAGCATACCAAGCATGGACAAGCCTAGCAGTGCCGGATTGGCTCAACAAAGGAGACAACGCATGGCAAATGGTGTCCGCCACCTTGGTCGGGATTCAGAGCATGCCGGGCCTCGTCATTCTCTACGGAAGCATCGTCAAAAAGAAATGGGCCGTCAACTCCGCCTTCATGGCTCTCTACGCTTTCGCCGCCGTCGTCATCTGCTGGGTCACGTGGGCCTACAAGATGTCGTTCGGGGAGAAGCTGCTGCCGTTTTGGGGCAAGGCCGGGCCCGCCCTGGGCCAGAGGTTTCTGATAAAGCAGGCGGCGCTGCCCGCCACGCCGCACTATTACAGTAACGGTGATTTGGAGACTGCGGAGATTGAACCGTTTTACCCCATGGCTACTATGGTGTGGTTCCAGTGCGTGTTTGCGGCGATTGCGCTTGTGATCTTGGCTGGCTCGGTTCTGGCTCGGATGAACTTCAAGGCGTGGATGATGTTCGTCCCGCTCTGGCTCACTTTCTCTTACACCGTTGGCGCTTTTAGTTTGTGGGGTGGAGGCTTCTTGTTCCACTGGGGTGTCATGGACTACTCCGGTGGTTATGTCATTCATCTCTCTTCTGGAATTGCTGGCTTCACTGCTGCATACTGGGTTAGTTCACTTCGCCCCACTCACTCTTTCAGATACTCCTTCAATCAACCCCTTCATAACATATGGATTAACTCACCAACCAACATAACTTTGTTATTAATTAGGATTCAAAAGGATCTTTCTTTAGAATATAAACATACTAAAAATTAATAACGAAGATGACACATACACGAGACATATGCATGCATGGTTGACCTACGATTCACTGTTTACTGTTTTATGCAAGGCATGAAAAAATAATTAACTTTAGTTTATTCAAGGAGGGTTTTTCCTTGTTCTACCTACGTGACATTTTTCTTCTTTTACCTGAAATTGGATAAAACGAAAGTGTGATTTCAATTGATCGAAATGAAAAAGGAATCGTTTGATAGCGTTTGTAATTTATACATCCTTAATCTCTCACTTCTAATAAAATTTGTCAACATATTGATATTGGTGGGGGTTCTAAAATATGGTCAACAAAATCACATAGGTTTTCTAAGCTTAGACGCTTCGTTCAAACGTAAACATTGGCTTGGTGATGTAACCCCAATATTTAAATAAAAGCGGGAAATGAATGAAACAGAAATAATGAACTTGAAAGACACAAATTAGTGTGAAGACAAAGACGTAGTTAGAGATGGAGAATGGTGAAGGTTAAATAAGGAATAAAAAGTTGAAAATGAAACAGGTGGGGCCAAGATCGAAGAAGGACAGAGAGAGATTCCCGCCAAACAATGTGTTACTAACGTTGGCAGGTGCGGGGCTGCTATGGCTGGGATGGGCGGGTTTCAACGGCGGAGATCCGTACGCGGCAAACACGGACTCATCGATGGCGGTGCTGAACACCAACATTTGCGCCGCCACCAGCCTCCTCGTATGGACGTGGTTGGACGTTATTTTCTTCAAAAAACCCTCAGTTATTGGAGCCGTTCAAGGCATGATCACTGGCCTTGTCTGCATCACTCCCGCAGCCGGTACGTGATCATTATTTTATTTATTTTTCAAAATATACTCGTTAGTAAATTTAAAACAAATACATCTTATATTAAATATTCAAAAAATATTTCTATTGTCGTTAACTCCACATTCCTAATATTAAATTGAATTGCGTGCATAATCCTTCACGTTGCCATAGAAAGAAGCCTTAACATAATTCCAATGAATCTAATAATCAAGAATCACCATTCTATAATTTTTTTATGTTTTTTATGTATGAAACCAGGTGGGAGATTCCACTCTTGACTTTGGGGTTGCAATGCTTAATAAACAAGTAATAGCACTGTAGCAGGTCAACTCATAAAATTTTCAGGATATATAAACAAAATACAAATATAAGAATCTAATTACAAAAATAATTTAGAAATTTAATTAAAATTTTTCAAATACCTTAATAATCTAAACATTTTAAAATGCTTTTAATTTATTGTCAATCCCTTCTTCTTCCCCTACTTTGCTTCTTTTCACGTATTAATGGAAATAAAAAATTGAAGCATTCAGCGGAAACAAACTGCAGCCGCATTAACTATACTATTGATAAAGTCTAGTATTATTTCTAAATAATTTTCTAATAATATATATATATATATGTGTGTGGATCAAGTTTTGATTTATTGTTATTAATTAATCATACATTAATTGTCTAATAATAAGTATGGAGCAAGTCTTGATTCTGTATTAGTTAATCATTCAATTATTAGATGTTATTGTAAAAGTTATAAATTAATTATTGTAATGAAACTCTTCAAACTTGCCGTTGATCATATAAAGATTAAGAGTGATGATATTTTGACAACTAGAAATCATACCACCTTTGAAACAATTCATTTTTATTAATATAATAATTTATAGAATAATCTATAGAATGATTTAATAAAAATAAAATAAAACTATTATTATAATATTAAAAGAGAGTTGTTTATAAGAATTGTATGGATTTGGGTTCTCAAAAAGTATCATTTTCCAAAAATTAAATTCATATAAAATATTAAGATAATTTTTGACCGGTCAATCAAAACTTAAAAAGTTAATTATCACATTGATGTTATTCGCATTTAAAAAAATGATGTTCACACATCAAAACTTAAAAGCTTTATAAATTGATGATGGTTGTGCTATCCTTTACAATGAGTCAGGTAAATATCTAAGGTGAACATATCTATGTATGTAAAACTAACATTTTTCTAACACAGATACTAAAACTAAAACTTAAACATAATGATTTGATTTTCATCAACACAGAATGACATTGAGTCAATCTTGAGGGAAGATGATTGGTATTTGATGTTCATGAACAGGTCTGGTTCAAGGATGGGCTGCCATAGTGATGGGAGTGCTTTCAGGGAGTGTGCCATGGTTCAGCATGATGGTGTTGGGAAAAAAGTGGAAAATATTTGAAATGGTTGATGACACCCTTGCTGTGTTCCACACTCATGCTGTGGCTGGCCTTCTTGGAGGAATACTCACTGGCCTATTCGCTGAGCCACGTCTAGGCGCACTCTTTCTTCCTGTCGCCAACTCCAGAGGAGGAATCTATGGAGGCCCTGGAGGAGTCCAGATTCTTAAGCAAATTGTCGGAGGTTTGTTCATCATTGGGTGGAACCTTGTGGCCACTTCAATCATTTGTGTGGTTATCAATTTCATAGTTCCACTCAGAATGACCGAGGAAGAGCTTCTCATAGGGGATGATGCAGTTCATGGGGAAGAGGCTTATGCACTGTGGGGTGATGGAGAGAAACTTAGCATCTACAAAGATGATACTACACACCATGGAATCGTGTCCAGTGGTGCCACTCAGGTCGTCTAATACTATGCCCAGCAAATTAACAGCAACAAAACTTGCAAATTATTTTCTTAGTGAAATGTCATGTTTTATATATTCTTCAATCAGAATTAGAGTTTCATTTCAACACTGCAAGCAATCAAACATTCTAAAGACTATTCAAATGAAACTCTAATTCTGATTAACACAAGCACAATAGGAAGAGTTAAAGAACACTATTTAGTGGCCCCTAATAATCTCTTCTTATTTTCTATTGTCTTTGGGTTTTGAGGGAGTGGGTGTGATTCCACCCTCAAAAATGAATTAAATATATAAACGTGATGTGAATAATGTTGTTTCCAAGTGGATGCTTCACAATCTCCCCCATTAACTATCTAATTCGGAACTCAGAATCTTTGCCCAATAATTCTACTTTGTAAAAATTGCACTGACATCAAATTCAAATCCATCTCACTCTCACCTCAGTGGTAACTTTAATTTTTATTTTCTTTAGTGCTTTTGCATGGCAATTAAATAATCTGTAAATCGTAACACAGAAGATTCATTGGCTTTGGTTGTACCGATTTGGACAAAAACATACCCCGAAGGTTTGAATAGGTCAAAGGTAGAGAGAATTGGTGTTCTTCTAATAATTTAATATTGAGATGAAAACTTATTGAGAGAAATGGACATCAAATACTGACGCTGCTGGTTCCAAAAACGTCTCCAAAAGAGTGCTTATTTGTGGCATTATTATGACTCAATCAATTTCATATATTAATCTTTAATTTAGTGCTTGCTGATTTTAAGATTACAAATTTTTCTCAAATCGATAAACAAAACCTAAATCTTGAAGAACACGATTGTCGGTGACATCTCGTATCATAAACCGACAAACCTCAATCAAATGAATAATCATTTCCAATAATTTAGTCCTATTTATTCTTTTTGTCAATCTGAGGATTTTCTTTTTTTATTTTAAAAAACACCTTGTTCAATCATACATACATATCATCTACTATTAAGAGATTCATAAAAAATAAAATAAGAGTAATATTCTATCCACTTATCAAAATCATTAAGCCCATCATCATCATCATCATCTATTTGTGACCTTTTGATTTGTTTTTGTTTTAGTTTGCATTGATGCAAAAGCTAACAAGACATTAAGGAATTGTGACATGGGAATCGATCTTATTCTCCTTGTCGACCATATCATGAATAATGTTTTGTGATGAATGTATTAAAAGTAAATTAAATAATATGCAAAGTTATTGCCATTTCTACAATCTTTAATGGAGGTATTCTTTGTGATTACTTTAGTTATTAATTTATATCACGCACACCCAAAATATCTCTCTCTGTATGTTCCTTTATTTTAATATCTTTCCTAAAATAATATTATGGATTTTAACAAAAAAATTATTCTCCTTTTAACTAATTTTAAATTTTAAGGCTAAAAATCACCTAAATAAAATAATTTAAATCTAAAAGTAATTCTTATATTAAAAAACAACTTATTAGATAATGTGAAATATGCTTTTATAATTATAATTTAAGTATTTTTCTTAAGTTCTAAAATGTTAGACTTATATTCTAATCGTTTATTTTAAAAATATTTGTGTGAAAAAGTTGGTAAAATTAAATAATTATATTGATTTGGATATGTTTTTATTTTTTATGAAAATGATTTCATATGTTTTTACTTTATGAAATTTTTTTTGTTAATTATAATTTTCTAATATTTTTTAATCGTCAATTTTTAGTTATATTATCAATTATAGTTAATGTTAAAAATGAAAAAAATGTTAATTAGTATTACTAATGTAACAAAAAAATATTTTAAATAAGATAATTATATTTTTTAGCACATAATTTACTTATGTAATATATTTATTATTTAATATAAATAAGGTAATTTATACATGTTAATTCATTTTTTATTCAATAATTTAATTTTTAATGTTATATTCACTTAAATTTTATAATTTTTTCCTATATATTAATTATGATATTATAATATTTGAATAATTATAAAATAATATTTTAATATCTAGATTACAAGGATGTATTAAAAAGTAAATTATTGATTAAAAAATGAAAAATATATAATTATTTTATTTATGTTAAATATGCATTAAAAAATAATTATCCTAATTTGAAATATTTTTTTTACCTTAATTATATCAATTAATATTTTTACATTTAGAGAATTAAAAAAATTGTTAAAAAATCATGAATTTAAAACATACAAAGACTAAATAAAGATAGAGTCATATTTGCATTTACTAAAGCGATATTTAAATTTAATTATTTTTATAAAGTTATAAAATAATTTAAAGTTATATATGGTCTAATTTTTTTATTTATTTGAAAACTACTTTTAAAAGTAAAGTTTAAAAATAGGAACTTTATAAAAATAAAGTATAATTTATTTGACAATTCCAATTTAAAGCCTACTCTTTAACTAAAAGTGCTGCATCTTTGTCCCACATGAGAAAGGAGAAAGAACTAAAATATAAATGCAACTTATTTTTAAAAGTAATTTTAACTGGTTCCTTTAGAAAAGATATTTTTTCTTCTTTTCTTTTAAAAAACCAAGGCCCTTAATTTTTTCAGATTTTTATTCAAATCTATTTTCTTCAACTTTCAAGTGATTTTTTTAATAAAAGTAGCAAATCAAACGTGATTTAAGTTAAATCAAGATACAGTGTTTTTATTTCTTCCACCAGGTTATTCTTGAAATTATATGTATAGGGTTTCTTAAGAAAAACAAATGGAAGAAAAGTGAACACGTGAGCATTTGACCCTTAAGATTTTTCAATGAAAACAAGTACAACTACAGATAGTGTTTCTTTCTCCTCAGTTTCTTGCCTTTCGTTGTTGATTGTCGACCAAATGTCCAACACCTCCCACAAATTACAGTAATTCCCCAACCTTTCTTCATTTCTTCCCCTGCCAACAGTAACACCATCTACTATTCTGCCTAAAAACGTTGACTAGCATGTCCACCACTTTCCACATTACACGTGTCACAATCACACTTCACTACAGTCATAGGTAAGTGTCACAAAAAAATATTACTAGGTTTACAATTATCCTACTTATAGAAAATTTCTAGATGTTGCTTAAAGAAACTAAACTTACCAAAGTGTAGCCAACAGTATTCCAAAAATTGAACTTTCTTTGAAAAAAATTCGACTGTGAACTTTTAATTATTTGTAAACTGAACCATTTGAATTGAATGGAAGTGTAATCTATGAAATTGAATATAGTAGGTAAGAATTGGTTGAAATTATGCAGACATATGAATTATCTAACAGTAATGTATCGTGGTGCACAGGTGATGCCACAATTATCCTCAATGCCTTATCCTTCTTAGAACTTTATTATCAGTCTTGCTCTTCGCCCACCAGGGTCCACGAATTTTGGTTAATTATTAATACTAATGGGACCTTTTAAAGATGTAAAGTGGTTCTTTGCCTTTAAAAAATAAATAAATGAGGAGGCACTGTCATGGAACAGGAGAATAATGCATAATGAAATCAGTTTTAGTGGAAGGTTCATTGGTGTCACAACACAGCTGAGCATAAATAAAGATGGGAATGAGATATATGCGTTGGAGTTGGAGCATTTTTTTTTTTGTTCTGGTCAAATTGTGTTAAAGAGAGATATAAAGGGGTGATGAAGAAGGAGATTATTATCAACAAAGTGAAATACTTGTTTAGTGGGATTCTCATTCTCTTCCCACCACCCACTCTCTCACTCACACTACCAACACTCAACCAAATGCCTCTCATATTCCTTCCCATTTTCCCTCGTTCTGCATTTCTTTATTGTTATTGTTTCTACTATTTTCATTGTTTTGGTTCATGTGTTTATTATTTTTTTTATGAAAAAAGGAGTCCTCGTTGTTTCCCTTTTGAGTCCCATTGCTCGTTGCCATGTGGGTCCCTTGCACTCAACTCACATGATCGTGACACTCATCATAGAGACAGCAATAAAGTTTCCTTCTTCAACTGCCCCTCTCCTTTCAATGTTCATGCTGTGTGCAGATAGCTAGCTAGCGAGCTAAACTAGTATGCTTTTGTTCTTTTTCTCTTCATTTTATCCCTTTACCAACTTCATACGCATACTAGTTTGTTACCTAGCTTCTTGTTACATAGATATTTGACGAACATAATTATGTATTGCAATCATTGGCTCTCAAAACTCATGGACTAATAATATAGGTGCATGGTTATTCTGTTCTGTACTTATATTACTTCCTTCTTTTTTTACTCAATCTAATTCTTCACTCTAATAAATTCAGTATTTAGATTTTTTTCAATTGTCTCCCTTTGTGTAACAGCTATGCTAGGGAACTCACCCCGTTTTTGAAGCTGTTATGTAGTTCTATGTTGGTTTCTTATGCTGCTTTGTTGTTCTATGTTGGTTTCTTAAGCTTTTATGTTGTTCTATGTTGGTTTCTTAAACTTTTATATTCTAGTTGGTTTTATCTCAGGCATTCATTTTGAAAGCAAGTAGTTTCTGTCGTAAACTTTATATCATGCTGTGTATAGCTTTATTTTGCATAGTTTTAATGTTCTTTATGTTAAAATGTTATTTAACTGTCTGTGTTTGTTAATTTTTCCGTGAAAACTTCTGAAAAGGGACTCGACCGGTGAGTTTTCCTTGGACATCAAAGAGGTTTATATGTTTCGCCCAAATTTTAGCAGGGCTCCTCTCAAAATATTGACGAGGTGGCTCGTATTCCTTACTATCTTGAAAGTCAGTTCAGCTATCAAAGACCCTGACGTAGAAGGTGGGTAAAATTTACTGTTATTCTTTCCTCACCTGAAGCATATGTTATTTCAATATAATTTTAATTCTGTGTTAACCTATCAATGAACCATACAAATGATGAACCTTAGTTATTGAAATAATCTGACCCTTTGTTTATTTTAAGCGCAAAAATCAAGAGTTTTTATATTGACACTTGTTTCTTTGTCTTTATTTTACGATTAAGTTCCTATACTAGAAGATTGCTAGTTTTAAGTTCCTTTACATGCATAAAAGGTAAGTTTTGATTCCTAGAGTTAGAAGTAGAGAAGAGTTTTTGGCAGTATAAAACAGTTTCAATAACTTTTAGACAGATATAAACCACTGCAAAAAAACTGTGTAGAAGTAAAACTGTAAAACAATAACTATTTGTTTTATAAACTAAAAATAAAAATAAAAACAATTGTAGAGATAATTGAATAGTTTAAGCAGTATTTTCTTGAGTTTCCTTACTTTGATAACTTTGACATTGAGGATCACTCTTGTGTTGCACCATTCTCTTGAGTCATCGTGAATGTTTTTACATGTTATAGTTAGATTGTTACTACATTTGTTTGCACAGACCATTTTTTTTCTATGTTGTTCTGTAATTCGCGAATAACTTCAACCCCTCGATAACATTTTTCATTATTTATTGATACTCTCTATTGAATTGTTGTGAACTCATTTGGTCTAATATCCAGGTGAAGCTCTGCTTGATCTTTTACATTTCCTCAATGATTCCAATAAGCAAATAACGGACTGGGACAGTCATTTAGTTAGCCCGTGCTTCAGTTGGTCTCATGTCACTTGTAGAAACGGACATGTCATATCACTGTAAGTTCATCATCTTGGAAAGTATTAAGTGCATGTTTGGTTTGGCATTTGGAAAATTGGATCCACATTTTCGGTTTGTGAAAAACGGAAGTTGCCAAATATGCAATAAATGTTTCCGATTATTATTGTATTCTTAGTCTAGTCTCATCATCCTTTTGTCTAACTTTTTTTATGGCATATTGGAACCTTTCAAATATTCAATCTACAGGGCCCTAGCTTCCATTGGATTTTCTGGAACACTTTCTCCCTCAATTACCAAATTGAAATATTTGGTTAGCGTGTAAGTTGTCATCATGATAAGTTGACATTTATAAGATTTGCATCTATTGCTGCTGCTATACTAATCCAGATAACCAGATTATCTTCATTTATCTCTAGTAATTATTCCTAGAATTAGGAATATGGTGCCATAAAAATTGAGGTCGTTGTTTAATTTACTTTTGTAATTCCAAAATGCATAATTGTGTCAATCATTTTATTAAAATAATTAATGTCATTATGAATTCATCCTCAGTTTGTAGGCCAAGCTATCTCTTGTGTTTGCAGACTATAAGAAATCAATGGAAAATATATCTAAGGTCTTTGATTTAGTGAACAGTTGACCAGTGATGTTTTTTTCCTTCCATGATATAGTGATATGTCTGGTAATGCAGGGAATTGCAGAACAACAATCTTTCAGGACCCTTGCCTGATTACATTTCCAACTTGAAAGACCTGCAATATCTAAATCTTGCTGACAATAATTTTAATGGTTCTGTACCAGATAAATGGGGTGAATTATCCAATCTAAAGTATCTGTAAGGCATCACTTTTCATTTCTTTGGTCTTTCCATCCTTCTATAGCTGTATGTGTAAAAAGAGGTTTAAAAATAAGGGCTTCTTTTAAGCAGTTCAAATTTGAAAATGATGGCCTCATATGTTATTCATTGTTTTGACAACGAACCACTGTTTCTCAAGCAATTGCAAATCCTAAAGGGTCACTAAAACTATAAAAAATTGTATCAAAGAGACTATTTTAGTTTTTATGTTTCGTTGCTGCCACACTTCATTTCTTAAAATATCTGTCCATTGCCTTTGCTCTTCTTACCTTGATCTTGAACACTATAACTGACATGTTTACATTTGACAGGGATCTTTCATCTAATGGTCTTACTGGAAGGATCCCAATGCAACTCTCTTCAGTTCCAATGTTTAAGTAAATTTTATTAGAACGTTGTATTCATTTGAGTATTTTCTTTTAATAACAAGCATTTGTTTATACTCTAACGAAATTTTGTTTAAATCATTGCTTTCAGCTATTCAAATACGCAACTTCAGTGTGGTCCTGGCTTCGAGCAGGCTTGCGCTTCTAAATCTGAAAGTCCAGGTTTGATTGTTTAACACAGACAAAAAGAGTGTGGAATTATGCTTTGCTACATATGAAAGAAAATGTAATTTAAGTTGAAGAGTATGAACTTGAGTAAAATAAAAACTAAAATGTTTAGCTAGTAGCTATCTAAAGTTGACATTTTCCTGCAGATTCAACCCACAAATCAAAATTGACAAAAATTGTACGTTATGCAAGTTGTGGTGCCTTTGCACTTCTGTGTCTTGGGGCTATCCTTACATATCGACACCATCAAATGCATAGGCAAAAAAGGGAAGTCTTTGTTGATGTTTCAGGTCATTTTTCCTTTCTTTACGTAAGCTTAACAAATGTCCTAGTAGCACATCATAAGGATATGTTCGTTTGAGAAAGAATGAAACTAATTTAAGTTTTGTCAAATATTCTTCTTTTAAGCAATTTTAGAAGAGTTACATCCGTAAATATATGTATATAAATACAGCGAGCATTGAAGAGCAGAATAATTCATTTGCACCATGCAAGTATCATGGATCATGATTTTAAAGAGTTTCAAGCTATATTTAAATGGGAAGAAAGAGAAATACAGAAAACAAAATATTAAAAACATGCTTTTTAAAAAATTCAAAACTTTCCTAAATTTCATTTTGTCTTCGAATCAAGTTTCAAAATTTCGGCAATTTATTTCTGTTTTCTATGAACACAGAGGGTCGAGGTATATTCCATGCACCTTAGAAAAGTACTAATATCTGACAAATTTATCGTACAGGCGAAGACGAGAGCAAAATTTCCTTTGGGCAATTGCGAAGATTTTCTTGGCGTGAACTCCAACTTGCCACCAAAAATTTCAGTGAAGGGAATGTAATTGGTCAGGGTGGCTTTGGAAAAGTGTACAAAGGAGTACTCTCTGATAACACCAAAGTCGCTGTGAAACGCCTCATTGATTATCACAACCCTGGTGGAGAGGCTGCATTCGAAAGAGAAGTTCAACTTATAAGTGTTGCAGTTCATAGAAACCTCCTAAGACTAATTGGCTTCTGCACAACCTCAACTGAAAGAATCCTTGTATACCCTTTCATGGAAAATCTTAGCGTAGCTTATCGACTGAGAGGTAAAACTAGATTGCTGTTTTTAACATTTTTGATCAAGCTTCAAACTTAAGTTTCATGCATGTCAAAATATTTGAAAACGTAGAATAATGCGCATATTTTATTTTACTATTCTTTAATGCAATTTGAAAGGGTGTGCAAAGGTGAAGAGATATCATAGTGTTTAATTAGAGAAGAATTGGTTCTCTGATCCATCGCTTTCCAAGTTTTGTGCTTATTGTTTGACACTATTTATCTATGCTACTTTAGATTTAAAACCAGGTGAGAAGGCCTTGGACTGGCCAACAAGAAAACGTGTGGCTTTTGGTACGGCCCATGGTTTGGAGTATCTACATGAGCAATGCAATCCGAAGATAATACATCGTGATCTAAAAGCAGCAAATATCCTTCTAGATGATGAATTTGAAGCTGTTCTTGGTGATTTTGGGCTAGCCAAGCTGGTGGATGCAAGGATTACTCATGTCACCACTCAAGTGCGTGGCACAATGGGTCACATTGCCCCAGAATATTTGTCCACTGGAAAATCTTCAGAGAAGACTGATGTATTTGGATATGGCATAACACTTCTTGAACTAGTCACCGGTGAGCGTGCAATAGACCTCTCTCGGCTTGAAGAGGACGAGGATGTTCTTCTTATTGATTATGTAATATGCCTCACCATTTACTTCATCATGTCACATAAATGCTGCTTAATGCTGATACAAATGTGTTATTGCGTAGTTGTGGATGCTGTTGTGGGTTTGTTCTAATGCTTTTCCTTTTCTTGCTTTAGCCCCTAGAAATCATATATGAATTTAATTTTCATGCACCAATCATTTGAAGATTTGTACACTATTACCTAACCATATATTGTAAGTTTTGTTGATTTTTTTATTAACTATTTTAAGGTCAGACCTAAGATGAATTCCGATTAGTTGACCGTGTAAAAATCTTTACAATGACAAGGCATCAATGCCAAACACTCATAAGTTTTCATATTGTACAATTTAATTGGTCCTTGGAGCTTTTGTGATCATCACTTTTTAAGATGTGATGATAATTTATATTGATGAAGCATGAATTGTACAGGTCAAAAAGCTGCTGAGAGAAAAAAGGTTGGAGGACATCGTGGATAGAAATTTGAAGAGTTATGATCCAAAGGAAGTTGAGACCATTCTTCAGGTTGCATTGCTTTGCACCCAAGGCTACCCCGAGGATCGTCCAACCATGTCAGAAGTGGTAAAAATGCTGCAGGGAGTGGGGTTGGCAGATAGATGGGCTGACTGGCAGCAACTTGAAGAGGCTAGGAATCAAGAATTCTCACTCATGACTCACCAATTTGTTTGGAATGATGAATCTACTCTTGATCAAGAAGCCATACAGCTTTCCAGAGCAAGATAAGCAGTGCTGGAGAGTCAATTTTGAAATGTGGTACCTTGTTATGGCATAGAATATAATATATACATACATACATATGTGTACTTTAATGTACTCTAAAGAAAGATGTATAAATGCCTAAAAAGGCCTGTGTTTATAGAATGGAAAAGAATGGAAAGGAAAGGGATGTGGTGGTTTTAGCACAGGCAACATATTTGAACATGAGCAGAAGGGAAGATTCAGGTTGCAATATGTATATCACAACTATGTGTTGCTTTTGTAACCTTGGAAATGTTCTGTGCTTGTATTAACTGCTACAATCTCTCTTTTGTAGTTTATTCTAGTTTTTGGTTTTCAGGGCTCCGAAGGCACTACAGCCAACCAGTATCTCGACAGGAGGAAAAAAAGTATATTAAAAAATGGTACTACTGCACTATCAATATTTACCATAATTTATAATAAAATGGACTCCTAGGACCAGAAGATATGTTATGCCTTGCCAATAGATCTGAAAGTTGATTTTGGTTTGTGTAATTTGAGTTTTTGTCTATGAATTGATAGTGCATTTTAGTTTATTGTCTATGAAGGATCAAACTATTTGGTAGCTAAGCTTCTGTTACTAGTTTTTTTCTATGAAGCTAAAAGAATTATATTGAAAAGCAAACAAAAAGCTAAGCACAAGGTATGACTAAGTCCCTGCAATTCAGAAATACAACCAAAATGGGAGGGCGGAAAAACACTCCTTGCCACCCAAAACAACAGAATTAACTGAGCAAAGAGATCAAGGTGTAGGTGTGTCCACTTCTACAATGTATATGCCACTAGTTAATCAATCGAGAATGATTAGAACATGTATTCTAATGGATATCAGTGCCACACTTTTAATGTCATGCATCCAAGATAGTGATGTGATTTAAGTACTTCCTTGAACTCTCGTATGTTAAATACCAAAATCTTGACAAAAGTTAGAACCACCATTGCGGTTCAAATCTGCATCTTTCAAATATACTACCAAACCTTGCTCTAGTCCTTTGAGAAATTTCCATAGCTCATAGTATTCATTCTTATATTGCTGAACCAACCAGTTTTGCAACGTATGGAAGAATCCCCCTCCTAGCTTTTATCCATTTATATGCTGAAACTTTAGCAGTTTTCAGAATTTCTTTAGGATTCAGAACCCATCTTTGAAAATTCTGTTATAACGTGCCTTCCAAATAGACCAAATAATACCAATCCATATTACCAGATCCTCTTGGGACTGATAACTCCTCCTGCCAAATAGTCACTGAATTGCTGGGGAGATAATTTAATGTCATTATCTAATGATGCAGATATGCCAAGCCATTGCAAGCAGTCTTCCCACGATTGAGGGAACCACCTATACTCAACATTAAAATTCGTGACAGATTCCAATTCTCGGTGACTCCTATGCAAGGACATAGTGCGCAGTTAAAATTCATGCAAACATTGTTACTGTCGAGGATACACATTTACTCTCCCTCCATCTCCACACCATACCTCTCTACCCCTCAATTCCATCATCCCTTAACACTGCTATGAAGAACTCCAACTCCACTTGATGTAATCAATACGAGTGATTTAGTTTATCAGACATCATTTGATAGTTTGGTAGGCTTCTCTAATCAATTCTGCTACTAGTTTACTGTATGAAAAACCATCACACATATACTCCTGCATACATATATCAAATTACTCCATTTAGATAAATTAACTTTTTATATTCTTCCAATAAATAGTTAATTTTTAATATTAACGTGCTAAAAATTCGCCGATGAAAAAGAGACCAATCCCAATAAACAAATTTATCATTCCGAGAACAGAACTCCGAAGTGAGGCAATTGTGGACCCCATAACCAGAAACGTGGCAACGTGTGGAACAGAGGGAATCAAAGGAAGAAATCGTGTTGGGTTTTTCTTTATCTTTTTCTTTTTTTCGTTCACATTCATTTTCCGTCCACAATTCCTCACCAAAAATGACCCATAACTGAAAAATATCATCCACCCACCCTCCTCTCTTATCTTTACATTCCAACCAATCATCATCTTCAAAATAAACACTTTTCTCAACGTTTTTTTATAAATAAACATTCAAATTTTTAAGTTTCACTTTTTTGATAAAAAAAACATAAAAAATTCGTACTGTACAACAAGGGCATGCGCCGCCCTACAAAAGTCAGGGCCCACAACGACATTGAAATTCATCGAAATGTGGCTACAAGCAATCGTCAGAATTTAAAATTTACCCAGGGATACGCAAAAATAATAATGAAAATAAATAAATGTAATGATACGAGTTATTATATATACAGTAAAATTTACTTCCAATATAAAAAAATGGATACAAATAATAAAACCTTGTAAAGTTAAAAACATCACGTCACCAAGTAAAGTTTCATACTTTTTTATATTTTGGTTTCCAGAGTTACCTCATAACCTGAAACACTTCTCAAAATTAGCTCTTTTCGTTAAGCCCAACCCATCACTCTGATTCCTTATTTTGTAATGTTTCAAATAATTGATAAATAAACAAAATATTTTAGACATGTTCGAATAAATTTTTTCATAAAAGAAGTTAACTTCTCTAAAAATAATTTATGCATACTTTTATATTCAAGTGGATATGGTTGTCAGTGAAAAAATATATTATCTAATGATAAGGACGAAGAAATTGCCGGATATCCGTACGTGTGGGTTTGGTCTAAGAAGACAAACTTTGACTAATCTATTTATTTTTTTAATTCCACAATACGGTGCCGTGTTGCACTGCCACTTTTGTTAGCAGATCTGACGGTTAGGATTTGGATAAAGAAAACTGAATTAAAGCATATCCGTAGGATGCCTAGTGATCGTTAGCGTGACACTAATCTGACTATGATCATTCATTTCTGCTGCGTCACCACCGTTCATCATCACGTCATCGTCTTGTTATGATTGACATATTTTTAATTCCCGTTAAACCACAGCGTGCAACATGAACAATTGAAAAATAAATCCAAAACAAAAGATTTTAGGGTTTAGGGTTCCACTTGAAGACGATTTTTTGAATAAATTTTGATTTTGACGTCCCCATCTGACACAATGGGCCCTCCGATACCGGAATGGGACGGCGTTTGGAGGGAAGGGTTCTATGGTAATTAGATTTTTTTTATTGTTTTTACAAATTTATAACCTCAATCAATATTTCTCTATATAAAAAGGAAACACACGTTGCTACCTACCCTTGCGAAGAAGCAAGCAGGTGAACTAGGGTTGATTTCCTGTCTGAGGAAGAAGAGAAGAAGATGAAGGTGAAGAAGGGTTGGCTGGCAGTTGAGGTAGAGGAAGAAGCAGAAGAGGGTTGTGGAGAAGGGTCTCAGAGATTCATGATTCCAATTTCGTATCTTTATCACCCACTCTTCAACAACCTTCTCGATAAGGCTTACGAGGTTTATGGGTACCACACAGAGGGTCCCCTCAAGCTCCCATGTTCAGTTGACGACTTTCTTCATCTCCGATGGAGAATCCACAAAGAATCCACCACCCACCATCGCCACAACCACAACCACAACCATCATCATCATCATCAACTTTCTCACTCCCATTTCCTCTCTTGTTAATACACACCGGAAGAGACATGTTACTGTGCTTACGAAAGTTTTTGTCTTCTCTGTTTTTATTTCTTTATGTTTTTCTCTTATCGGATAATCATACACATGGCATGTGGTTTATCTTCATCTTCATCCACTGTACAGAAAATTTGAACTTAATACAAAAACAAGAAAAGAAATCTTACTGAGAGTAATGCAATTTTCAGTTGCCAATTTTTTTGCAGCATCTTGTCGACCCAAGAGCAAGACATGATTTTTGTTTGAGGTGGTTACTATAGGATATATATTATTATATTAACTGATTTAATTTAATTGATATTTTTAATGTCATAAGCTTCATTTAAAATGCACTTATTATTATAATTTTTTAGATTGTGTATAAATTTAAGATACAAATTCAGTTTTTTTAAAGCGAAAATTATTTGTTAGATTAAAATATAAAAAATAATTGAACCCTCTTTTGGATTAGTTATATGCATTTAATAAGGGTATTAAATTGTGTGTAAATTACAAACTAACCAGCAATATGGGTATTATATATACACAAGGATCAATTTATATTTGTTTAATTTAGTTTCTATAATCCTAAAAACTCTATCTTTTAGTTTTGCTTTTATAAATACTTGTTAATCTATGTAATTTTATTTTTAATTTTATAAAAAAAACTAAATGAGATTAAAAATAAATCAGTAAAAAGTACAAGTAAAAAAATGTAAAAATGTGTGGATGAACCGAAAATAAATGTTTTTTAATAAGAAAATTTTGATAATTAAATAAACATATAAGTAATTAAATCCTATATAAATAAAATTTCATTCACAATATAACTAGTTATACAAATAAATTCGTATACAAGTGAAACTAAGTTTGGTTTTCTTAAATAAGTTTTCATAACATAAAATTATGGATGAGGAAAATGTAGTTGAATTAAGAGATTTTATTGAAATGGATAAGTTAGGTTCTTTGAAAGATATCAATACTGATCAAAACCAGTAAAAACTTTTTTTTTTTTCTATCATGTTATTAGACGAGTTTTTTTGCATACAGTGAAAATTGGAATAAAATTGAAAAACAAAAAAGCTAACGAATGGTGATGAATGAGAAAAGTTGTGTTAGAAACATTTGATTGGTAGAATTTGTAGTTTATGAAAGATCAAAGTTAATGGAGCTTTGGAAAGGTGAATGGACAGGTTTAGGGGTGAGTGGTGGTCTAATTCACAATGACTAAGGGATATGCTCTTTTCTTAAAGCAAAATTTTGTGGCTTTGTGTTCATTTCTATCTACCTCCCACCACACTTATTCCCAAAGGGGTGGCTAAACTTCACTCAAAAATTGCAATTCATTTTAGTGAGAAACCCATGAATGTCCCAACTTTCTTGGGCCATGTCCCTCTCATTTCCTCCCATCTTTTCAAGATGTCACTTGTGCATGTACCTACAACTTTAGCTATCAATAAAACTCTTCTTTTAATATATTGGGTTCCTTAAAATTTAAATGATATCTCTTCACATTAAAAGAATCTTTAATTTATAATAAAATCCTTATTAAAAGAGATATTTTTAATTTCTCAATTTTCACTTTCTTGTCAATCCCATTATTATAAAGAAAAGTTTAATTACTTATTTCTTCCCTATAATTGTAAAAAATTCACTTTTTACTCCTTCTATTTAAAAATAAATAATTTTATGTTATATATATATATATATATATATATATATATATATGAATATAATGTTTTTAATATCTTTTAGTTTCTATAAGTTTAGAGGATAAAATCTAAAAATAACTAAAATAATATTTATAGAAATTAAAGAGATCCAAATGGGTAAAAAACTAAAAAAGTGTTTTTTTTTTAAATTATAAGAATTAAATGAGTAATTAAACCTAATGGAAGTACTTTTTTTTTATGTTAAGTTGATTAAATATGGCCAGTCATTTTCAAAATTGTTACAAAATGTAAAATAGATTGGTTCAGTTCACCTCGTTCTCAATCAAAGCTTTAAATATAATGGAAAGAAAACCATAAGTCCTTGCTGGGCCTTTTTTTTTACTTTCCTTAACTGGGCCACCTTGGGCTATATTTTTGTTATTGGACAAAGGCCCGAGATTAGATTATGGGCTAACTCACTATGGATGTTGTTTCATGTTATTCTTTAGATATATTTTTTTGGAACAGTACGAAGGATATGTATTATATAATATGTTTAATCCTTTTTAATCGCTAAAAATTATTTTTAAAACATATTTTCAACATTATTCCCTTCAACTTGATATGCATAAAGAGTAGATAAAATCTTATTTTTAACTATTAATAAAGGTGATTACACTTTCATAATTGGTTTCTTTTTATAGTGTGATAACTGTTATGACAATTTTTTTTTAATTGAAACTGTTTTCTGTATAAACTCTTTTTAATTTAACTTTCTAATTTAAACTGTTTTTAGAAGTGTGATAAACTCTTTTGAATGTAACTTTGAACGTAAAAAAATTTCAGATTTTGTTTTATTTAAATAAATAATTGTTATCTTCAAGAATTGTTGTTACAAGATACATACACATTTGGACTCAGTTTTATACAATACAATAAAATATATTACAACTGCATGTCTGGTTGCAATTTAGTATTATGTCGGATTGATTATTAGCAAAAGTTTGTCTACTTCAATCTACAAAGGATAATTTAGACTCCATTGGGATCAATCTAGAAGAAGATAGTAGTCTAACTTTCATCGGATTAGAATTATAGATTCCTCCGAGATTGATGATTGGTTGTTGAATAATGATAGAAAGATGGAAGAGTGACAGAAGTAGAAGTATTATAACAAGACAAAATCCCCCATGCAGAATACCAGACATATATCTTCATTTTCAAGTAATCAATAGGTCAATACCTCTATCTCAATTTAATTTCAGCATTTGCAAAGATGGCACCTGAATTTCAAACCTTAAGCTCAAAAGGGCTTTCATTTGAGGATTGAATTTGTATATATTATGGATTTTGAGCTGAGTCATATACATGTCAAATTCATAGTCAATATATTTTCTTGTACCTGACTAGCATGACAGAAGCACAAACTGAAAGATAAGAAAGCGAACAAATGTCTTTGACTGCTATGCTACTGATGAATCCTATTAGTAGACATGAAGCTTATAGCTTTAAGTACATATTTTTCACTATGTTTCTGCAAATTTCCTAAATTAAAAACCGAACTAAATTCTTATTCAATAAGTTCTTATCAGATAAAATAGCATAAATTTGACTTAGAGAGTGATTGAAACAAGATAAACAGAACTTGTAAGACTGAAGCCATTTTCATAAGCTTAAATAAGGTTCTCAAAGAACACTTTATTTTTGTCTATAAAAAATTGAATGTGCAACCATGGTGTCAATGTTTGGTATGCTTGTTTCAATCATGAATGCCCTGAGAAGGTTATGGAGGAGTGTGCTGTTGAAGTTTGAAGTTAAATTGAATGCCTCTTTGCTTTTTAATTTAAGGTAGATCTATTGGCTTAAAGAGTTTAACTATTAACTGCTTTGGTGTATGATTCGATTATATATATTGCTACTTAGTTAAATTTGGGTTGGACTAATAGTTTCTCAGTAAAAGCTATCAGCACTTGGGGTCATGAATAATGCATCTGTCATTGATTAGTAAACTTTCATACTCACACGTTAAATATGAGGTGCCAATCACACCTGTGTCCGGAAAACAAGTTAATCATTTTCTGAAGTTTTGCAGATTTAGTTATTATTACATTATCATTGTAATTATTGTGTTCGCCAAGATTCAACACTGAACTTTAAAGCGTGTTGCTTTGCTGTTGGGAATCAAGCAGCTAGATATCCGGTAGTCCATGTAACATTGATTACTTCCTTTTTTATTCTTTCGAATATTAATTCTGGTAATATGATTTTTAAATTTTTTTTTCATCTCCTCCTTTCATCTATCTACCTTATAAAAATATGGTTAATTGTTGAAGTCATAATTATTTTAAAGGTTTAATACCAAATTGACTTTTATAGTTAAATAAATTTTACCTTTGGTTCTTATTTATGAAATAGATTAAAATTTGTATATACAAAAAATAAAAGGGATTAAAATAGTGTATGAATTAAAAGGAATAAATTTGAAGTATAGAAAAGAAAGTAAAGTTATACTAGAAACTAAATGAATAATTAAAGCTTATATGTTCAGAATGTTGTTTCTCCTAGTTGAGTTGTTGAAGATATGACTGTTAAGTAAATGAGTTTAAAGATTTGACTGTTAAGCTAATGTCTGGACATGTATTGACGTAAACTTGCTGTCTCTGTGGTGTTTGCTTATTCAGAACGTAGAAAGCTAGAAGTGTCCAATCAAAAAGCCCAGAAAAGAAAGAAAACTATACAGATAGGGTTTTGCATTATCGAGTAGTGTAACTCCTAGTCACTTGTAGCTTAAGTTGAAGCAAATTAACTGGACAGATATGAACCAACTATATACAGCCTCATGCGCTGACAAACATTTGGCTGATGTATATTGTTAGCCATAGTTGGGGTTATTTGGTTCATTTTCTGTCTTTAGCAATTTTTAATTACCTTGTAGGATAGTTTAGTTCCCTTGCCATGAAATTTGCTACACATTTTCTGTTTGTGAGTCCTAACGTGTGTGGTACACTCCAAAATGGGGTGTAGGTTCCTCATGGTCCATTTTATTCATCTGGGGTTTTGAAGATTGAACACACAAAACAAAACTAATGTGATTTGTCATTCTCTTTGTTCCCCGAGAAAGATAACCAGGTGGTTCTAGTAAATTGCAGTAGTAGGCGCAATTATATGAACCTACATGTTGTTAATTGTCACCCTACGTGCTGATGTATATACCCTTTTTTATTTGGATGGATATGGTGATTGATGTAATGGTTTTGCAATGAAGATCCATATATAAGATGAAGCATTTAGGAGTAGCAGAAACTTGGTACGGCAGAGGGTAGTTTATAATATGAAATTGGAATTGGAGTTCATTTTTATAGTTTGTCTAAGAAAAAGATGCGAGTGAGGAATATAAATATTAAGGCGTGACATTGGTCAGAAATCAAACAGATGTGATTCTTTGGCCCTGGTGTTTCTACCAACAAGACCTACCATGGCACGGCATTTATTAAAAGGAAAATGGAAATCTGAATTTGATGAGCATGAAAATGGCATTACAGTGGTCCTGTAATTCAGCTTTCTTGGCCCCCATTAATTAGTTCCTCTGTGAGTATGCAATGAGCGAGTATTAACTGTCCTTTAAAACATAAAGCTAAAGGGTGTGATGCGTGGAAAATGCAAGGTGGTTTTGAAGTTGTTGAAATGAGAAAGATGGATCTTTGGATTCCCCCGCGCGCTTGACATGCATGCACAGATCTTCATATATAAAGTCGACGGTAATAAATGTCTGCGCTGATTAGTCAAAACATTGGGACATAGCTTTCCTGTTGAGCTTATGGCTCGAGAATTGAGACTTGAACCTCATCCACTCACCTTTCCTCTTCCCCATCTACACATAATCACCCTCTTCCATCAAAGTTTTAATCTTTGATAACGTTATCGGTTTAACATAGAAAGTGAAACGAAAAAGTGGGATTAGAGGAAGAGATGGATGGATGATGTGCAGTGCAGGGGAGATGCAGGCGATATGTGAATTAGGGGAGGGCCCGAGAAATGCGCAAAAGGAAGAGGAAGCTACAGGGGGTTGAAGATGCTTAACATAAACACAGTAACATACACAACACTAGTGATGAGCATTATGATGAGCCCATAATTGAAAAAGGTGGTCCCCACTGGAACAGGAACCAAACATGTATCTATGTATGTGTGCATCTGGTCACGATTGGTGGTCCCCCACGTGAGCCGTGTCTTGAATTGGCACCACGTGCTATTGTCCCCCGCCATGGGACCCACGCTCCGCCGTACCAGCCAGCATTTATTGCTATCACATGGCCATGCCTGCAGCGTACCGTGCTCGGAGAATCTCACCCGTCCATTCCACCCCCACTGCTTTGACTCTTCCTTTGCTATAAATAAATCACCCCCTCTTATTTTAATGTCCAAAACTTGTAAGATAAGTTGAATTTTTTCAAAAGATTATTTGGAAGAGAAGAAAGAAGGAGTGTGGTTTGGAGTGGTCCACGTGAAGAGGATTAAATGGCGATGCTGGTGTGTCTTGTACTGATAATAATAATAATAATAATAATAGTAATGTAATGGTGATAGGTGAAGAAGGGTTTTTGATATTGGTGTTGGTGGAGGTGTTTGGTAGTAGTAGCTAGGGTTGGAGTTATTGTTGTTGGTGTCATTGATCTGTTCCTCTTCATTTCCTCCCTTCTCCCCATCCTACGCTCCCGCTGACACCGACATGTCCCCTCCTCTTTCCCACCCTCCGATCACAACTTCCAACGGCTCTCATTCACGCATTCCCTATTCGCCGTCTTTCCCATGACGTCTTTCACGCAACACACCCTCATTCATTACTCACCCTTCACCCTTCATCATTCATTCATTCATTCACTAATTCATTCCTTCTCGTAACGTAATCAAACAACACCAGTACTCCCTCCACACACACCAACTGCATGCATGCATGCATTCATTCGTTCATCATGCATGTGCATTCCCATTCACCTTCCATTCCACGCCCTCCATTTCCACTTCACATCTTCTTCTCAACGTAACACATATCTGCTCTCCTTCTGCTCTCAGTTTCCACTCTTCATGCTCTTTTCTTTTGCTTAATTACCATTCCATCAAATCTCAAACGCCCTTGCCTCATCATATACATCGATTAGTAAGACAAAAATAAAATACCTTGCATTAATTCAATTCAATGAGTTACATGAAATTGGTGTACCTACTCAAGCTACCGAGATATAGTCATACGGCCATTCTATTTCAGTACTTTTCTAATGCATTCATATCTAATATATATCACAATCTTATATTATAAGAGAAAACAATTCATGTCACATTTAACTATACTTAAGTGAATTTATTAATGAAATATCAAATTATATTTTAATTTTTATAAATAAACTTATAAATTCAAATAGATTTTAATTTATAAAAAACATCAAGGGAATGTCTTGAAGAGTTAAATAACATATTTAGTTAGAAACTCGTGTTTATAAATGAGTTACAATGTATCACTTAAACAGTAAATAAATGCATAATAAAGTCAGAATATAATAAGTCAATTAACTTGTGTTTTAAAGATAATTTTTAATCAACATTTAAAATAATTTATTAAAAAATTCATTTAATTAAAAACTTAATATTATATATATATATATATATATATATATATATATATATATATATATATTTTTTAGAAAACGACCTATCGACCATGATACGGTTGACCATATTAAATCTTGTGCCTGTCTCTCTTCTTATGAATAGGAAACCGGTCTCACATATTTAATGTCTTTACATGAGGAACGGATATAAATTTTAACCAAAAAAATTGTTTGAATATAATACTGTAAATACTTTTGAAATTTATGAACCAAATTTAAAAGTCATATTCTATTATATATTTATTTATATTTTGATAAATCATTTAAATGACTGATTAAGAAACTCTTATCACCAAAGAATTACATTGTAAATTTAATTAATCTTAAAATTTTAGTAAATCAGTATGTTTATAAAACTCATGAGTTACAAATTATTTTTCATAAATTCAAATGAGTTTTTCTAAGTATATATATACATTAAAAAATTACATCAATTAGATTTTTCATTAAGATACCACGTACTATGATTACCTATTTATCGAATAGAGAATCAAGTCATAAGAATGGACAAAACTCTTATTGGCAATTCACCGTAAATCTTGAGCTTAGTTTTTACATTTGATGGTGGAATAGTGAGTAAAATGTAAACTCACCAAGTGAAGGAATCATTGAAATGTGAAACGAAAGTATCTGTTGAAAGGAATAGCATCGATATTTAAAAAAAAGATTGTCCTGATCACATTTTCTAACAAAATACATGCATGCGTTACCTTTACACGAAAGGAATAATAAAAATTGAAGCATAATAACGCATGAGAAGCTACATAAAAACATTTAAAAAATCAAACATTTCATCTTAAGGATCGTTAGTTTCTTGAAACTGTAAAATGAGATGACCTATAAGAAGGTAGACACTAGACATGACACTGGGTGGAGTCAGAAGTGTATCTCTGGCCATCTTTATGATAGTTTTTATCTGCTACTGTAAATCATATACATATTACCTATAATATGCAAAGGCTCAATACTTATAATATGCTACTCATTACCATTTCATTTCTTATTCAAAAATATGTCTCTCTCTTTGACACATAGAGAGACTCGTAATTTTTTGTATTGAGTCCAACAATTGACGAGACTGGTGTAGCATAAAAGGCTGAGACTATTTTCTGTAGCTCAAGTAGGCCATAGAGGTAGGAGGAAAAAATTTCTTGTCTACATACTTTCACTGTAGCTTTTTCACGTTTAAATTCTTCTGGCACTGATTTCATGCCCAATGTTAAATAAACCAGAGAGTGTGGACTTTAACTGTGTTTCTAATATGACATACATTTAACAGCGAGGGCATAAGATAATCTGAGAAGACTTGGTGGGTAATTAGAGAGAGGGAAAGAAAAGTGAAAAAGAAAGGAAGGGTGTGATTGTGATATGATGTGGCCGTGCGGGTAAAGTGTAGTACAGATGAGTTTGAAAGTAGGGATAACAAAAGGCTAAAAATAATAAGGCAATGATGAAAGAATCGCATTAAAGACATGGTTGTCTCGTGTCAAGTGTAATTTAAATACTCATTTTGTCTTCTTCTCTATGTTTGACTACCACCAACTGTTGGTAGCAGGTAACAGGTCGGTTGGTTGACTGGCACCATCAGGTCATTCCCATAACAATCTCTTCATTCAAAAACTTGTTAAATCATTATTAATAATAATGTCATGTCATTATTTATTATTATAGTATTGTTTGTTTGTTTGTTACACAAGTGAGAAGTCGAAGCTAGCTATTATTAATAAAATGTGGCTGAATTTACGTTAGGTAACTGAGTTTAGTAAATTTTGAGTAAATCTCGTAACATGAAACAAATCGAAATCACTTGGATGTTGTTTGTTGAAAGAATTTCTGCGTCTTTTGTGGTGAAGAGTTAACAAACTAGTACGATGCTTGGTGGGTTTTTGTTGTTTATGTCATTGTTATGTTACAGGGTGAGTAGTTAGTTTAAGTTCCGTTTTGCATAAGCTAATTTTGGAACATTTGAATGGGTGACTAAAAGCACCATTAGTGTGGTGTGAGTCAGTGCTTGCTTTCTCTCTCTTTCTCTCTCTCTTCTCTTATATAAGAAGGTATATGTGGGTTAGGGTTTTGAGGGAGAAACAAAGGAAACGCGTTGAGATGGGTTGGTATTGAGGGGAATGTTGGCTGGCTCGAGGCTTTTCACAAAGGAGGTTCACAGTAGATGGAACTATAAGGCTTCGGACCAGGCTTCATTCCCCTCAAAAGTACTTCCTTCATGGATCAGTTTCTACTTTATAATCATCAACTACTTCAAACACAAGATATATATAGGTAGCTAGGTGGTGCTTTCTTTTGGAGGCTCTACACACATGTCGTGTTTGTGTGTGTTTGTGTGTGTGTGTGTGTGATTGAGATGTTGTTCATTCCTTGCAAAGGTGAGGTTGAGAGGAATGTTGTCTGGCTCGAGGTCATGGAGGAGGAGAGTTCTGAGTTCAACTCTTTCACTGAAAGTTTCCAATGGAAATTTACCCTCTAACACCAAAATGATTCTCGGACCAGGCTTCATTCCCCCCACCCAACTTTTGCTATTTCTTTCTCACCATCTTCATATCTTGCATGCCCCCATGGTAAGGCTTTCTCTTTCTTTTTCATCTTTCTCTGAATTTGTACAATGAATAATGCCCTTCTACAGCTTGTTTTTGCAGGGTCAGAATTTCCAACTCAGCAGCCATCTTGTTTTGTTTTACCTGTAAATCTTTTATAAAGGTTGTAAATTCATTACCTGAGATTTGTTAGGAATGTGAATATGTTAGCTTCTCCCAAATCTCAAGCTAGAACTTCTATGAATCAATTTATTTGTATCATAACTTAAAAAACAAGTTTTGAGTTTGCTTCGGTTCGGATTGTTATGTAACTGTGCTCAAGTTTCGCATTTATAGACTTACTTTTCCTCAGGAATTTGAAAGCATTTTGCACGCATTTGAAAATTTATTCATTAATTTAGGTGATAATCATATTTTGTTAAATAAATGGTTATCTTTTCACACGGGACTTCTTGTGTTTGTTTGTTTTCTCTCTCTCACTCACACGTTCTCTCAGAGAGAGAGGCATGTAGACCACAAAGCATATCTGTCTAGTTTTCTGTTATACTAATTCTAGATTAACATTTCAGAGAGATAAGATACTAACAATATATTATTAACAAATAAGTTGGCTAATCCAAGGCCCTCACACCTGCGGAATGTTTATTTTCACGTGGACAAGAAAGGTGAATGAAAGCATCAACAGTGAAAACCTATCAGATGTGAAATTCTTTCTTTATCTGAAACTAGCTGCTATGCCTCTTAGGTCTTTCAAGCGTTTCAAAACATAACATCCCTCTTCTGAAGTCCTTTCAGCTTTGAATAATGTTTCAGCTTTTTGTCAATTAACCTGTTTTCAGGCCGGTGAAAATTATAGGGAAGGCAAGTACTTCATAATTTACTTGGGAAAAAAGCTTGCCATCATTTTCATCAACGTCTGAATGAATGTACTTCAGGTAAATTAACAGTTACCCAGTAAAGCAAGTAATAAATACATATTTAATAAGCTATTAAATTAATGATAACACTTATAATACATGTACTCCTTCAAAAGAATTCTCATAAGTCTAAAGATATTAATGTGTGTGATGTGAGCTTTTGAAACATGATGCACTGCTGAACTTATTATAGTTTTGTTGTGTAGTGAAATGACAGTGGCGAGTGTTGAAGGCATGCATACTCACTAGTTGCTGAAGCTTCTGAGAGGCATATACTAAATGTGAAGGAGTAATGAATGAAAGAAGAGAAGAAAAGAGATGAGATAACAAGAGATGTGCTGGAACAGTGAACGAGAAGAAGTGAGAATCAGGAGAAGCTAGCAAGCTAGGGATTCTATGTGTCTGAGTCTGTCACTCTTGCTAGCTAGCTAGAGAACAGATATATGATTATGATCTATGACCACACCATGCCAGCTTCCATTATCATGACGATCCAGATGTGTGTATCTAGCTGCATGCATAACTAAGCTGATGCAAACTAAACTTGGAAAAAAGAGAAAGAGAAAATACAACTTCTCTACTCTTCTATTCTATTCTATTATTATTATGTGTCTGATATGTGTGTTTTAGTGTAATGTATTTATGGAGCTTCTAAAGCTGTTGAAAATGCAGAAACCATCTCCGGAAAAGTTTGGATCAGCAATATCAGGTTCATATGCCTTTTCGTGGAGTCACTGTAGTAATAGTGAGACGAGATCTTTTAGCATTTGAAATTGAAAAGCATTTGGAGAGAGAGAGAGAGAGAGAGAGAGAGAAAGTAAATGTAGAGTATCTGATGTTTCTTGGGAAATGAAACTAAGAGAAAGACACAGCTACTCGGGGACCGTTTCTTGACAAACTTGGTCTCTTTAAAGAAGTGAAACAATTGCACTCCTTTCTTGTTGACACAGCTTCATCGTCAATTTATTATCATTTGAGTAGCTCCTACCTTTTCTACTGTCACCCACCAAAGCAACAAAATCTTCAAAACAAATTTAACTTTCACAGAAATATCAGTTATAAATAAACAAATGTAACTTTGTTTACTTAACATTAATGCAGTGATAATAAACTTGCGTAATCGGTTACCATTTTTTTTCAAAATACCAAAATAATTTGATATTTTATAGTCCCTATAATTAATGCCCTAATCACTAGCTCATAGCTTTGTTTTCATGTGTACGACATGATGCATCCAATTATATCCTCTACTGTTATTCAGTCAGCCCCATGCCACAGCATAAAAAAAGGTTAAAATAATGAAATACAGTGTTCGTATATGTTCAAATATTTTGCTGCTGAATCATTTGAAATGTGTGGGTAATTTGAGTGTACTGAATGAATGACCTTCTATTATTGGACATCATATATGTTTGGTTTTTTTAAAGTTTAAACCCTCAAATTTAATTACACCAACGTAGTTTTCTAAAGTCGCGAATTTTGCAGTCCCAAGTTTCCTTTCTTCTTGTATTTGGTAGGATACATAGAAGGGGAAAAAGTGAGAGAAAAAGGTTTGGGGCATGATTTGTTTGGTAAGGAAAACCAATGAAAGGAAAGGGACAAGGAGATATGAAACCTCTCAGGGAAGATTGGAAAAGGAAATATAGTACTAGAGATTGGCCATATATGTCTTCATATTCGTTTTGTTTTGAACCGATTGCATGTGTCTTAATCCAACAAAGGTTGACATAAGCTTAACAGTACTTGTGCAAGTTGCTTGGTCAATGATGTGCATGATACGAAAGAAAATATATACATATATATATATATATATATATATATATACATATATAAATATATAAATATATATATATATATATATATATATATATATATATGTATATATTTATACTTACTCACAAACAATGAAGATAAAGGTGAGTCTCTATATCTCAAATCCTTCGTAACTAGTTGCATGAATTATCTCTCTCAGGTATGCTAAGCATACTATTTTGTGTATTACCAGGTTATTATTTAGCAGAGTGATTACATTCCAATATTTGTTTTCTCCTTTCTTCTTTTTTGAATAAACAAAAAATATATCTATTTGATTTTATAGAAATTAAAAAATTTAGTTAATATCATTTAATTTTTTTCTAATCCCAATTCAACTTTTTAACATCTCTTTTGGAACTTGGCAACATGAAAAAATAGTCATTAAAAATAGAACTATTATATATTATCTGAAGGATTTTATTATAAAGATCAAAATAAAAACTTGTTTATTTTACATGGACTTAATATATATTTAGACATAAATCAATTGATTTAAAGGGCTAAATTAATTTATAGTATGATAGAAAATAAAATTATGATAAAAGTGAGATGAAACAAAGAAAAATATTCAAACTTTAAAAGTTCAAGTGTTACATTACATTAAATAATATTTTTTTAAACACTATTAAAAAAAATAAATTATTAAAAATACTTTACTTTGTTCTTTAATTTGATATAGTTATTCCAATAATTTTCAAGATTATTTATTGTAAAAGTTAACAAACATTACATAAATGATTTGTGATAAAATTATGATATAAGACTATTTACATTGTCGCGATATAAGTTTGATTTTCAATTATTTATAATAATTTATTTTGGTGAAACTTCTAATTTAGTGTAATAAAATAGACATACTACTCTCTTTGTCTCAAAGTCGGAGATAAATCATCTTAAGAAATGAAAGATCGATGTTGATGCTTAATTCATGGATTATCACATAATCAGAATCACCACCGTGTGATTAATCACCAGCTTGACAAGTTAATTGTGATGGACAGCTATACGTAATTGGTACTACTTGCATACTGCCATAATGCTACGTAGTAAAAAAGTTATTTAGACAGGATAAATACAAGTTATTTGTTTAGTTTGTTAACTATTTTGTTTTCTCTTTCGTTCGGTAAAGAAGAGAGGGAGTAGATGAGTTATTTTCGTTTGCATGGTCGAGAAAAATAATAAGAAAAAAAAACTAAAATAATAAAATTCATTATATCTTTTTTTTCTTTCTTATTTCGTATCAAGTCAATTAAATTACACAACTTTTAAATGATATTTTTAATTTTCATTTATTTCTACTCTATTAAATAATTGAACATCAAATTTTACTTTTATTTATTTTTCTTTTCTCTAACATATTTCTTCATTTCCTTTTTCAAAATTTAACAGGCTCTAAAATTGCTAATACATACCAATGTAAAGAGAGAGAGAGAGAGAGAAAATAAGGGAGAGGAGAAAAACCCACTACTATGGATTTAAAGAGGACTAGTCATTGCAAAGTTAAAAAGATTGGAAATGCATCAACCTTCAACCTTGTGAGACACGCTGATTTACCACCATCACCACTAAACTTGCATTTGAACTCATTCTACCACTGCAATAATTCATCAGAACATTAACAAAGACAATAAATCATAATCTTTTGTTAGACTATATATACTAGACATCATTTTTTAATTACTCAGAAGAATTTTGAACGTTGCTTTTGGAATTCACAAAGAATATTTTAAAAATCAGAAAAGATCTCATTGCACAGTGGTAAAAATAGTAAAGTACAAGGATTTCAAGAAATGATATTTTGCCGGGTTACAATATACACAGCGTGGGGTGTTAGACGCAACGCAAACAGTAAACTGGAACCTCCATGATGCCGCCGCACATTTTTCACTCTTAAAATTGCCACTTCGTGGAGCTAATCTTTCTGTCTTTATTTCCAATATATTTCCAAAAATGGTCCTATAAAAAGGATTAGAAGGCAAAAAGTCAAAAACCCATGTATAGGGTGTATGGGCAACTATGCATAATGCCTGCTGAGCCAGCGATGGATCTTTATGAAAGATTGATGGCCATATCCTGGAGAAGAACTTTCTTCTGAGATGCATTTATAATGCCCTTGCACTCGGCATCTAGTAGTACCTCTGTCATAATTGCAGCTGCTCTTCCTTTCGGCTCATCTTCTGAAGTCTTCCTCGTCATGAATGCCTGAATATACAACATAAGACCTCATATTCAGAATTCTGGTGAACTGAACAGTCCACATTTACTCATGCTCAAATTTGAAGAAATCCGTAAAAATAAGTAATCATTTCTTTAAAACATGCTTACCCAGAAACGTGAACAAAAAAGTTTTGTTTTTTGTCTATCCTTTAATTCAGTTCAATCGCCAATACCCAATCCAGCCTTCCACAAGTTAAAGTTGAGATCAGGGGATCTAGTTGGAGGGGAAAAGGTATTGGATACTAGATAAAGCAAAGTTATCTCTTCGGCTTTTCAGACATTAAACCCCATCATGAGAATATAATACAAACCATTTTTTATTATTGCAACATGGACGGGCAGTCCGCCCTCCCCCTTTACATGTGATTATCATACAAACCATAATTCGATCTATCTATTTATTTTATGAAAGGTTGGATGAGATATCACTGTTTTAAACCCAGAACATGCATGTACACAGTTTTTGAGAGCAATTGTAACTTAATTAGATGGAAATACATTCTAGACCCATATGGATAAAAACGTATTTGGCTTAGACCGTATATACTAGAATGTACCATTGAGTAGAAGACGAGAGTTATTTACTGCAAAAATATGAAAGTATGTCATTCACCTGTCCGCGATGAGTAATTTCTAGGCATCCTGGTTGTAGGATAAAAGGCTCCCCATCAATTTGAACTGGGAAGGGGCTGGAGCAGTGTATCTTGATGACTTTACCTTGAGCAAGTCTTCTTGCTTGTGAAAGTCCAACCTATAAAGTAAACCAAATGTTGTTATTACTAATTTACCATGAATTTTAAATTTTAGGATAAATCACAATTGCACAAAACTTACAATATCTATCTCCCTTTAATTCCATCCATAATTTTGCTCCTTTTTTTTTTTTTTGCAATTTTAGTTCATATATTTTAGAAAGTCCACCATTTTAGTCCAATAATCAATTTTACATACGTTTTATTTCTTTTACTTTAATCTAATTGAACCCTACATCTAATAAATTCATTTAAAACACCATCAAGAAATTATTTACTCAATTAAAACGTTAAAAATAAAATAAAAAATTTATATGTACAATTAAATATTTGATCAAAATTGTAGATTTTCTAAAATAAACTGAACTTGCAGGAATAAAAATAGAAAGAGGTTAATATTGTAGATTAGAAGTTAAAGGTGGACTAAAATTGCAATTTAGCTAGAATTTTTTCTTTTATCTGTGTCATGCTTTGCAATAAAATATACAAGTGACATAAATGTACAAAGACATTAATCTCTTAGGTTTTTACAATATCTAGCGTAATCACCTCAACAAACAAGGTTATATACGAACGTGTGTGTATGCATATATATATATATATATATATATATATATAATTTATTTAATTTTTGAAAAAAAGTTTTACACATAGTATGACATGCTCTTATTATAAGATACTAATAGTAAAACAGTTTTTTTGGACTATAAATATCTTCTACAAGAGAAGATCCTGCTTCAGCCGAGTAGGTTTAGGTAAGTGGCAAAACCTCAATTAAATATTTAATGCAATTGTATACTTGAAACTCAAATTCAAGATGACTGCATAAGCTGAAACAATTTCATTCAGTTGACTGACGCACTTGATGGTATATTTATATTTAGGACCACACAAATTAAATTTGGAGTTCTACTCTGATAAAATCTTATTAAATGCATTACATATTATCAAGGTAAAACTCTAAATATGATTAGAAAATTGGAAAATAACACCAACATTACCTACATATGATACTATTTGTAAATTTTGTCTTATTAGTGACATTGACATTGGAACTATTAGTATAAAATGAAGTTTTTACGTCGCCTAATTATCGTGGGATACAAAAATAGCATACTTAAAAAAAAAAAGCAGTGACATTTTTGTAAGGGACACTACTTTTACGTCAGACCTCTTAGAGGCCAATGTAAAAGCTATTTTTTATGTCGGGTGACTATCTAACCGACATAAAAAGTGATTTTTATGTCAGTCCCTATGAGGTTCAACGTAAAAGTCGCGTTTTAATCGTTCCAGGGCTTCTTTTTCATCCCGTGCGCTAGAGTTTTTGAGTAACAATGACGACAACGACAAAACCAACTCCTTCGAAGATACATTCCCACCATAGTGAGTGACGAGAATTCGAGTTTCTCGTTGATTGAATTCGAATTTTAGAACGTTTTTTGTATATTTGAGATTAATGTTCTATGTCTCCTCTTTTGTGTTGATTAAATTCGTGATTGTTTTTGGGGACCTCAATCACGTTATTGCATGAATATTTCCACTGGATTGTTATAGAAATTGAACTGTTGCAGTTTGTAATTATCTGTTTATGCGTTTGAGTGGATTTATGATTTATACACTACATTTTTATGTTTTCACAGTTTAGTTGTTTGAATCTCATGTTTTTTGTATATTAATTATATAATAGTAATGAGTAAGTAAAAAAGAAAATGACATGGTATGATGTGAAGAGAAAATATTACAATATATAGGATTTAGGGTTTTATGATGATGAAAAGAAAATAAAAAAATGTTTGAAGAATAAGTTTTGACTCCGACATTGGATTTGAATCCACAACATATGAAAACGAAGGGAAAAAAGTGGAGTGTCCCAACAATTTTTCCAAAATATGCTCATAAACACATGTAATAGACAAAAATAGTGAACAAGAGAAAAATGCTATATTATTATAATATCTATACTCTTGTATTTAAATTTTGAAAATAACATTTTATTTTTTTTCTTAATTCAGTGCAATAAACAAACATACTCTTTTGAATGTGGCTACTATATCTATATCATGTATTGGATGGAGTCATAGTTTGTGCGGTTATCACTGATTATTGGACAAAGGTAATTACTTTCAACATTTGTTAATTTGTATTGCATGTTAACCGGAGTCATATTAATGTTTTAGGTATTTTAAGATTCATCTCCACTACCAGAATATAATATTACACAAATAAGAGAGCAATAGGCAATATTTTTTGTTCAATATTTCTAGTACTTAATTTGTAGATATTGTTTGTATTATATTGTATTGTATTATGTAGTTTAGAATTTAGGTAGCTTAGTTTTTGTACTAGTTTAACTTTTATAGTTTTTATTATATTATATTGTTGTATTTTTTATTTACTATCTCAAGAAACCTTGAATTTCTGGATTGTCCGCATTAAAATATGTTTGCAGTTTTTTTTGTAAGACAAAACAAACTCAATATTAAAAAGAAAGGACAAAATTTACGTCGAACCAGACTATAACAGACGTACATTGAACCTGGCCTCACCCGACGTAAATTTATGTTTGTTGTAGACTAGTCCCAGACTATAACAGACATATGTTGAACCTGGCCTCACCCGACGTAAATTTGCATCTGTTCTAGACTAGTCGGACATAAATTTACGTCTGTTGTAGACTAGTCCGACGTAAATTTACGTATGACCTGGCCTAATCTGAAGTAAATTTACGATTGTTGTAGCCTGGTCCAATGTAAATTTTGTCCCATTTTTTTAATTTTTGAAATCTTTTTACGCCTATTTCGTATTTTATCCAACGTAAATGGGCGTTGGTCCTCGATCTAGTTGACATAAATTTATGTCAGTCATAATAGCCGTCATAAATTTACGTCTCCTATATTAACATCAGACTTATATATGATGTAAAAAGGTAAAAATAACAGACATAAAAAAGCTCATCTTGCACTAGTAAACAAACTTAAAATCTAGTTCAGTATATTATACGGAAAAGTGATGAAAAATCCCCCTTGAAGTAAGAGATATAATGAAATCTCACATGGACTAAAGATATGATAACATTATAATATATAGGTGAATACAATCCTTGTAAACCAATTTTGTAGGATTAAGTTAAATATCTCTCCATTCCTAATATGGTATTAGAGGCATGTTTAGCAATGTTGGGATTATTCAAGGTGAGGGAGTGTAATGAAATATCTCCTTCGAGATAAAGGGGTATAATGAAATCTCACATTAAATAGAAATACAATAACAATATAGTATACATACATGTGAGTGCAATCCTCACTTTACTGAACTGATTTTATATAGTTGAGTTAAATATATTTCCATTTCTAATAAAAAGTAAGATTTTCAAATGGAAAAAGATACTAGACATAACATGAATCCAAAACTTCTATTACTTTCCAGTTGTCTGAGCCTTAATGCGTGTTTAGTCTAAAATTGGAAAGAATGGGCCGTATAAGAGTGGTGGGTGTGTGTATGAAGGGAGGAGGGGAGAAGCAGAAAAAGGACGAGGGTTTTAATAACTCAGACAGCTGGTGCAATATAAAGGGCGGAAGAAATGCGTGGACGAATTTGGACATTACCACCAGAAGCTGGAATAAATGTGAGGGAGAGGAAAGTGAAAGAATTAGGCACCGAACAATGTAGAGAAGTTTTAGGAGAGTGGAATATTCAGTGGCTGAAAAACTTTCGTAATTGTTTACATTCTTTCTGGCATTCTCCGCGAATTCAATCTTAGCTGAGGGCTACCTCACTGTACGGAGCTTAGGCCTAATTTGTTTCCACGGAATCCAACCTAGAGTAAAGAATCTAAAATAAAATGAAATGAAATCTTGATAGAAAGTATGCATCGTAGAATTTAGACCTAACCATTAATTTAGTGACGGGAATAATCAAACCCTTGAATACCTTTCACTTTTTAAAATGTTAAAATTTGGATCAGTTTTGCCATTTTCAATATTAGAATTACTTTGTTGAATGACTATAGTACATACATAATTATATCATTAAAACATAAAGAATACCACAAAAACTTACTTATTAGTGTGCTTGGATGGAAATTTTTTATAGAATAATTCATTTTTATAGAGATTTTGAAATGCACTATGAAAAAATATGTTGTTTGGATGAAATTTTAAAAGAAATTTAAATTCTAGAAAGTTATGAAAGTAATTTGATTAACTAAAATGATAGAAATTCAAACATCAGCTAAAAAAATAAGAATTTTAATTCTTTCTTTCCTCCCCCGAGAGGTTGTTGACTTTGTCTACACCAAAGTGTCATATATATATATATATATAAATTGAAAATTTGAAATTTATAAAATTTGAATTGATTAATCCAAATAAAGCATTTTGAAAATCAAAGTAATTCAAATTTCAAGTATTTAAAATTCCCTGAAATTCTAAAATGTTTCATCCATTCACAATATAAATTTATTCGCATCATTAGTTTGTACGAAAAATGTTTTGTTGATTTTTTTCTAGCCAGTAGACCAATATAAAATTTTTAAATTAACAAAATCAGTATCACTATAAATTCATATAAATATATAGGATAGAGTATAAAATTTAAGAAATTTAAATCAAAGTAATTGAAATTTCAAGTATTTTAAATTTCCCTGAAATTTAAATTTTTTCATCCAAATACAAGGTAATTTTATTGACATCATTAGTTTGTGCGAAATTTTTTTTGTTGATTTTGTTTTTAACCAGTATAACAGAAAAATTCAAATTAACAAAATCAGCATCATTATAAATTCACGTACCTGAAGTTTTCCTAGGTGCCATGCTCCACATACACATACCATCTCCAGCATTTTATCATGCATGGATTGCAGACTAAAATCATCATCATGCTCATAACCATTTTGCCAAAGATCTACTCCACCCATATAGCTCCCGATATTGAGCACAATTAAGCCCTCAGAATCCTGTATGAAAGAAATAATTAATAAATGATGTTTCACATATAAATTAGAGGACACAATATTCATAACATAAATTTCTTATGTGAAAATAATTAACCTTGGGAATCTCAATGTCTCTCCCATCAACTTCAAGCCATACTTGCCATGGCAAGTCAGCACATGTTCTGTCCATAATATCTCTTGCTCCTTCTTTTGCATATCGCAATTTATTCAAAAACTGTTAACAGAATAATCATTGGAGATTAAAAATCCCAAAAGTATTAGGTAAGGAAGCATTGCATGGATTGTACACAAGTTAAATACCATAGATAAGAGAACCTAACAAACTAAGCTTTTCAACAGAGAAGAGCCAAAACGAGCAAGTAAACATGTATAAGGTATAGTAAAACAAACATTAAAATAATCAATAATAGGCTCCTATTTCAGTCAGCTAGATTTAACGTCGTAATACTAACAAGGCCATTAAGCATGTACCAGCAGGTATAGTTTTTAATTAATATTGCTCAGTCATACAATGGTAGCAGAATGTATATACACTGAAAAAAATTTAAGAAAACTAGACAATTGACATGGACTAACACATGAATGAATATTTTCCAATGATATAAAAAGAGGAAGAGAGAATTCTACCTGACTAGAAAACTTTTCAGGATTTATTTGTCGAGTAACATGAAATTTATATGCAACCTTTGCATCACATCCAATGCCTATAAAAGCAGGTTGTAGATATCAGTAACTCTTTAAGAAACAATCTTAGGTGGTTATTGTTTCAGTAAATTACCTAGATAGTTCATCATGGACTTAGTTTTCACTTTATTTGATTTTCCTTCAGAGCTTTCTACAGAGATTTTAACTTTCCAGCAATCTAGCATTGTAACTGCTGCATTGCTAATGTCATGCAAAAACATGGTCAATCCGCCCTCTCCAACAAGGGTAGAGAAGCCTCTTCCCCAATTCAGTACCCTTGACAAATCATTTCCAGTGCCGAGGGGGAAAATTGCCACAGGTGGAGGTGACTCGTAACCATGTCTTTCTATAGCATCAAGGACCCATGCAACAGTGCCATCCCCACCACATACCAGTACTCTAAAATATCGGACACTTTTGAAAAATTCCAGGCCTACTTCAGGGCCTTGAGAAGCACTCAATTCAAAGATCTACAGTAAAATCACCAATCCACAAAATGTCCAGTGAGACTGATATCAATTTAAACAAATTTCTATATCCAGACAAGCAATACTAGTGTATAGAAGAAAGGAAAAAAAAATCATAGATAACTTGCTCTTAAAAGAAATTTTAGAAGGATTTGACTAAACATAAGTCTGTATTTTCATACAAATTCCGCAGTAAAAGCAAATAATTTCTAAGAGAGAAATCAACAAAAAGTTTTGTTTGGGACGAAATTGAAGATAACAATACAATAAACATAATGTGTTGACTTTTTCCTATAACTGCATACGAACCTAGTTTCTTTTTCTTATATAAACTTGTCAGCAGTTTTAAGAAAAATTAAATAACCCACCTAGCAAAATCGTCATAATTAGTAATTATATGGATTCAACAAATAGCCACAAGGGCACAAGGTTAAGAGTCGGTATAAATATTCATGATTAGGCAAAATGCAATTGTCATAGATGCTTAATAATGAACCTACAACATTTTTTTTTTTAATTTGAAATTAAGTTATCACTCAATTATACAAAACTGATTTGTAAGGTGACCTAGATTTATAAATTTTATTTAAGTCATACCTCTATTAAATATAGGACTAATTCACTACCCTTAAAAATTAAAGACAACCCTCAAAGACACCACAACTAAGGGTGACGGCAATTAAAACAGTCTTCTAACACTCTCACACCCAGGGTTACTGGCCTGGAAAAGAGGCAAATGAAGGTAGCCTAACAATTGATTTAAAATATACTCTAAATACCATTTTAGAATTTGGGCTTAAGGCATAAGTCAACTCACAAACCAGCTTGTAAGGTAGGACTATCCAAGCTTTATAATCTTTTTTTAAGTTATACCTGTATTCAATGACTAAAACACCACCCTTGAGACTACAATTAAAGAAACCCCCAAAGAAAGATTAAATAACCCCCAAAGAAAGATTAAATAGTCAGTATAAATATACATGAGCAGGCGATTTGAAATTGATATTGATGCTTAATAAAGAACCAACAACATAATTTCTTCTTAATTTACAATTAGGTTGTAACTTAAATCGTATAAAATCGATTTGTAGGTCACATAGCTTTATAAGTTCTATTTAAGTCATACTTCTAGTCAACATATAGGACTAATCCACTACCCTTAAGGGTGTAATTAACCCCCAAGTGACCACCACTGAGGGTGACTGCAATTAAAACAGTCGTCTAACATTCGCCTCACAGGCAGGGTTACTGGCCTGGAATGTGGCAAATGCAGGTAGCCTAAGAATGGATTTAAAATACACTCTAATACCATTTTAGAATTTGCACTTGGGGCATAACTCAACCAACAAACCAGCTTGTGAGGTGAGGACTGTCCAAGCTTTATAATACCTTTATTTAATCTATATCTCTAGTCAATGACTAAACCACCACGCTTGAGGCTACAATGATAGAAACCCCCAAAGAGGTCATAATTAAGGTGATCTAACAAATAAAGTGGCCTTTCCAACATATTTAAAAAAAAAATGTTCCCCTTGCAGCAAGAACAGAAAAGGAATTTTCAGTGTTAAGTTAAATTTGCAAGTATTTTATATTTTCAGGAATCAAGATGATGAATCCAAATCACACAAGGTTAAGCCAGCAGGTCCCAGCGTTCACACATTATGGTGGAGTTATAGTCTTCCATTGAATGAAAATATATGAAAAAATTATTCCTCTTTCAAAATGTGAATCAAGTTAAGGTAACACACTGTTCAACAGCAGTATGAAGGATAGAGCAAAGGTAGAATCAAAAGATTCTTGATAATAAAATCATCATCGAACAAACACATAAGTCACATGATCCAACTTGACTCTGAAAAATATATAAAAGATATATTTGCAATATGCTTAATAACAGATGTCATTACTCACTAAAGTAAAAAATAATTTGTTTGTCAAAGACAAAGTAATCACCTGAACAGGATTTAATAGCATATTCAATCTCCTATGAAGAGAAGGCCCAAGCTGACCACCACTCCTGGCATTTATGAAGACCAAAAGTGGGCTAGCATCTTGCGGCAAATCAACCAATGTGTATTTCTTGATGTTGCTATGGTTAGAAGTTAACCTGTTTCCTAATACTCTACCATTACTCAATTGATCAAAACACTTTTCATTACTGGACTTATTCCAGTTGAGACCATTCAACACATATTCCAAAAGTGTTGCATCAGTAACTGAGGAACCACGTGACTTACCATCAGCATTGTAACCACCTCCATGTTTATGGCGATGACGTCGCTTTCTAATCTGGCCATTAACAGAAGAGGTTATAATAGAACTTAGTCTACTTCCTCCTTTATGATCTTCATCAACTTCTTTAACACAGAGAGGAGAAAGGATAATTCGCCTCAAAGGACCCAAATCACAAAGGTCACCGGAATCTTTAGTTAATTTGTTATGACATCTAACATGAATGAGGCGCTGACACCACTGGCAATGCCATGTGGGAGAAGCTTTAACAAATGGAACACCACATGGCTCATCACAGTAAAAACAGAAGGTTGACATATCGTGATTTTCATCCACATTAACCCATCTTTCTGACCAGTGGTGCCGAATATGGCCAAAACCAGCCTGAGCCACACATTTGCAATCCTTTGCTGCAAACTGAGAACAAAGGAAATGAGCTGCGACACCACAAACGGAGCAATGATGTAGAGGGGTATGCGGTGAGGCTATTGTACCTAAATTTTGAGAAGGCCAAAGGGAAGTCAAGCAGAAACAACAAGTGGATGGCTGTTCCCTGTAAGTAAAATCTTCAACCCAAGAATGATCTGACAATGGTACTTTAAACTTTTTCCAAACTTTCTTCTTTTCTCTTGCTGCAGCTTTAATCCAATTCAGCGAGGATCTTCGCTGCCACTTGAGAACAGCATATATGACTGCCATTAGTCCAAATGATCCAGTGATTAGCCATCCAAGAATAGATACACCAGAAGCATCAGGGCTTGTGATCAACCTCAGAAATGAAACTCCCAAATCTATCATGGTTAAACTCATTTGATTACTCTTCCGTCAAAGATAAAACCTGCACGTTCAAGACACACTGTCACACATTTAACAAAAAAGTTATCTGACTGACAACAACAATTAGACAGAACATAAAAAAATATAGTAAATATGGGCAGCAATGGGTGATTGACCAGTAGCAGTGCAGAAAATACAAAACTTATAACCCAGAGTGGGGTTCACTAGCTTAATGCAGTTTCCAGAAACACGGAATTGAGCGCTAATAAAATTTACACAGAAAATATACGTCTTATGATTGGGTAACTTGAATAAAATAACACCCTTAACTTCAACTTGCTAAATAAATGGAAAATCAGGATACATTTAATTACACCATTCCCTATTATTCCTAAATCATAACAAATAAAAAAAAGTAAAATGTAGAAACGATATTAAATTTCGAAATAACTCATCAAGAACGAAAATAAAACTAAATGCTAGGGCATCGCACGGTGGTGCCTTAATATTCTAAACTGAATTGCATATTACGGCAACCTAGTATTGAAAATTGAGATTAATCCAGAAACGTTTCTGGCAGTTATTCGAAATGCAGTTTAGGATGGAGGAATCTAGAGAAACGATGAACGCAGAAAGAGAATTGATGAGAGAGATAGGATACAATAGATCTAACAAAAAAGAGAGAGAAAGAACAGTTGGCGTGAAACCTGAACAGAGGTTAGGTTAGAGAGGGAATTGGATTTCGGAGCTTGACAGACTACAGTTGCAACCGCAACCCTTCTCTTCGTCGTCTTCTTCTCCCCCTCCGAAGAAGAATACGTTAACGCAAATCTTACATATTATTGTTATCATCATCAGATTTTGAATTTCAATGTTTCATTTTGATTTTACGTCTCTTCCTTCCTTTTCACCTTACTCAACGGAAAAATAATAGAATATTTTAATTAATATTTAAATAAATGATGAAAAGGAAAAAGCGCAGTGTGAGAGAGAAACGGGAAAAGGGCGCGATGTCGATCACACAATGAACACGCTTCCCTGTTCGATTCACCGGAACATCCGAATGCCAGACGCGTTTCACCTTTAATTACCATTATATCCTTCTTTTCTCACGAATATTATTATTTCATCTTTAATAATAATAATAATACTCAACTTCTCTCCATGTTTTATTTGGACAATTATTTCTTGACAACCCAATTCTTCAAACATCTTTTTTTACTTCACAAATTCTGGTACATCTTATTGCTTACTAATCTTTTGAATAAAGTAGATTAGAGAGCAATGCCAATAGATATTAAATTAGTTCATCAATTAATATTTTTTAATTATAAAAACGTACGGGTACTTTTTATTTATGTAACTTTTTATTTATTTAAATTTTATTTTAAGATTAAAATTTAAAATCAAACTTTTACAAAGAAAGTGAAAATGTTTCATAGTTTTCATTCAAAATTTATTTTACAAGTCCTTTTCTAAAAATTAAGTTCCTTAATTAATTTTTAATCACTTTTCTCCGATTCGTTTTGTTTTTTTGAGATATTTTTCTCTATGATCGTCATTTTCCAACTCAAGTAAGTCATTGTATTAAATTTTGATTGACTTGGATAGTATTCAAATAATTCGACCTTGATTTTGATATAATAATAACTTGTGTTTATTTATTTTTTTTACTTAAAAAATTATCTGACTTATAAACATCAACAATTTTTTAATAGTTTGCAATTTTTCTGAGACGTTGTAGATTTTTAATATTTTTTATAATACTTATTAAATTAATGTTTTATTCTTTTAAATAAGATATGTTTATTATAATTTAAGATAAATAAATTAACATAACGAAAATATGGCATTTACTTAAAAACATGGTGTAAAATTAATATTTAAATGGTATATATTAAGATTTTAGAATAATTATGATAAATGGGCAAACTAGTAGAAATGCACGACGCAAGATCGCATTTAATGTCCACGTTTATAATTTTTTTTTTTCACTTTTCTCCTTGCATACTACGTAACATAATTAAAACAGTTATTATAATTTTAAGAAAATGTATTTTAAAAAAATCTTTATTAATTAATTATTATAGATGATACATAAAAAGATTAACTGTTAAAAAGTGCAATGTTATAATTATTTTGCTATTTTAAAATCAATAGAAGATTGTGACAAAGAAAAAAGGCAGCAACGTGTGTGCATGAGAACCACCAATTCATATGAAAAGTGCAAATTGTGGCAGAAGACAAAAGCAAGAACTAGTGGCCATTATCCATGCATGCACTGCACTCAGCAATGGCATGAGACAGGAACGACAACGACAACATCATCAACATCTACACCTTCTCAGCTTCTCAGCTTCTCCACCACTCCCTGTGCTCTCTGTCTCTCATGACATGATCACCACTTGCACAACTTCTTCAACCACCAACCTTGGAGGAGCTCAACCTCTTTCTCTGCGCTTCCTATCCAAACCACCGCTTCTATCTCTCACCCTCTTCTTCCCCTCCCACTCTGCTCACAAGGGCATTGCGATTTCCTCATCTCAGTGCAGACCCAGAGTCCGGTGTGAGAAAGAAGTAGGGAATGGCAATCATAATGGGGTAGAGGAAGAAAATGAAGAGGGTGAACGTGAGGTGCAGTGTGAGGTTCAAGTGGTTTCTTGGAGGGAAAGGAGAGTTAAGGCTGAAATTTCTGTCAATGCTGACATTGAATCCATTTGGAACGCTCTCACTGATTATGAACATCTTGCTGATTTCATTCCAAACCTTGTGTGGAGGTAATGTATATAAATATCTGCAGTGTCAGTAAAAAATTTACATGGTAAATGTAAATAAGTTTACTGTACTTGGCAACTTTATAACTAAGTAATGTTGAAAAAATGTCTTAGATCATCAACTAAACCAACAATAAGAAAACATGGGAACAAAAAAATGTCAATGAAAGACTTAACAAACCAAAGTAATGTAAGTAGTTAGATGTTGTTCCTCTGTCATTTCATCGCAGTAATTGATGATTTTTTTCCTTGACAGCAAAAATTGGAAGTGATTGCAGGATGAAATGTTAATTTTAATTGTATAACGGTACTGATATTTGTAATAATTTTTTCGTGTAAGTTTTGTATAAGATTATGTATGACTCTGAGCATTTTTGTTTGTTTGACAGCGGAAAAATACCTTGCCCATATCCTGGACGGATATGGTTGGAGCAAAGAGGGTTTCAAAGGTCAATTTATTGGCACATAGAAGCTCGAGTTGTGTTGGATCTTCAAGAATTCATCCATTCTGTAAGCATTTCATCCGCAAACACTTGGAAATAACTTTTATTCTTCTGTGATTCAGATAGTACATTCAGTAATTCAGTATTGAACTGGATGCAATTCTTAACAGGAGTTTAGTACTGTAGAATGGTTGTTTATGTGCCAAAATAATAGAATTAAGGTTACAGATTTAAGTTACTCAAATAAAATCTCACACTTCATCTCAAGAACAATGGTATTAAATAAAGTTGTCCCACGGATATATAAACTAATACCCCAGGGATTGAGACTTTGTTTTAAGTTGATATATGACATTATAGGGTGTTAAGTCACACATCAAGTAGTGTACTACAAATACAACAGTGCATATGTACACCCATGTTTCAGGGTCCTCAATTAAAAGGGAACAATAATAATAACGGATCTTTTACTAATAATCTCCAGAATTTGTGTTTGTCAGATTTTATATATTTGTAGCTGAGTAATGAGAACCTTACATAAGATATGCAAGGGATACATGAAATTTTAAGGTTTATAAGAAGCAATACAGCCATGGTTTATATAAACTTTAAAAGAAGACAGCTATGTAAAAAAGACAATAATTCTTTTTAATGTTTATTCCTTAGTATTAGTACATAAATTCGTATAAGAGAGGTAGAAGTATTTAAAGTGTTCATTTAGTGTCTATGAGTCTGTGCATCCTTGGCGGGTACCCAAGCCCAATTGCCTTACAGCAATTACTCGATTGATGGAAAAAATTCTCAAGATTTGTTCTCATACAAAGAAGGCATGCACTGCATATTTGATACATATTCTTTTTAATGCTCCAGGCATGGGACCGAGAACTTCACTTTTCCATGGTTGATGGAGACTTTAAGAAGTTTGAGGGCAAATGGTCTGTAAAATCTGGAACAAGGTAGAACCTATACCCCTGATAGCCATTGATTCCTAACAAGCCTTGTTTGACGTAGAAATTATAATCTGATTTTACTTCTGAACTTATTGGACACCTTCTGTTTCAACCCAATCTGTTTTGTTTACATGCACTAGTATCGTGCTAATAATGTATTGCCAACACAATCAATGTTTGGAATTCTGGATGAAGTTATGATGACGGAAGAGGCTTCACTTTTGGCCTCCATATGGAGATCCTTGTGTTCTTAAATTAAAATCTGTGGTGGGAGCTCCACTATGATACAAGTTCAAATATGATTCTGTTGAATATTTCAGATCAATGAGTTTTGAACTTAAACTCTTGTCTGTGTTCTACTTTTGTATAGACCAAAATGCAAATTGAATGAAAGAAAAAGAAGTAATATTCATTTTCTGTTAGCTTGGAACATTTATAGTTTATTCTTAAACTCTGTTTCTTGCAGATCTTCATCAACTAATGTATCTTATGAAGTTAATGTTATACCAAGACTCAATTTCCCAGCTATTTTCTTGGAAAGGATTATCAGATCTGATCTTCCTGTTAACCTCCGAGCCTTGGCATATAGAGTTGAAAGGAATATTTCTGGGAATCTTTCCCTGCCAGAAAATGACTTGCATAAAACTTCCAGTGATATTTATAGGTCATCTTCCCAAAAGACAAATAGTTCATTGTGTGAAAATAATAAGTTGTCACCTGGAGAAAAAGAAGATTTAGTCCGCTCAATTTCTGGTTCCTTGCCCTTGTCTTCCAGTGAGGTGAATATTAATCACTGGGGTGCATTTGGAAAAACTTGCAGACTTGACAGGCCTTGTGTGGTGGATGAAATTCATCTACGTAGACTTGATGGACTTCTGGTAACTTACCTACACTAAAATTGCTCTGTGTTGGCCTTAGTTCTGAGAACGAGCTAAATTTGTGATCAAAGTTTTTGCATGTGTTCATGTTAAGGAAAATGGGGGTGTTCATCGCTGTGTTTTTGCAAGCATAACGGTTAAAGCTCCTGTTTGTGATGTATGGAATGCCATGTCTTCCTACGAGACTCTTCCTGAGTAAGTAGTGTGTACTGTAGAAGATTTTTCCAGATCTTATGACTTTCCTGACTTGAAATAAAATCTTTTTATTGCAGAATAGTTCCAAATTTAGCAATCAGTAAGATTTTATCACGAGATAACAATAAAGTCCGCATTCTCCAGGTATGGTACAATTTGAATAATGAGAACCATGTAACAGTTTATATCTAGTTTGTTTGCTGGTCACTGTGTTATGTACCAACTATTAGTTTCTCCTTGTCAATGACTAATACAAGTATGAACTTGTGATACACATCATCCATAAATTGTGTGATTTTGTAATTCCCTAATTTAATCAATATGCAGGAAGGGTGTAAGGGCCTGCTATATATGGTGCTTCATGCTCGTGTTGTGCTAGACTTGTGTGAATATTTCGAACAAGAGATCAGTTTTGAGCAGGCTGAAGGGGATTTTGACTCGTTCCAGGGAAAGTGGACTTTTGAGCAACTAGGAAATCATCATACACTGCTAAAGTACTCTGTTGAGTCAAAAATGCGCAAAGACACTTTCCTCTCTGAAGCAATCATGGAAGAGGTGTTTGTGTTATTTGATTTGATTTATATCAATGTGCTACAGTTTACATTCTATGTAGTTCACCTGAGATAGCCTTATTATAGAAAATGATAGGAGTTCTGTCATCTAAAATAGACAGTTATTCAGTATGTTTAACCTATATAAGTTGAAGCAAGATAGATTCATTTATCCATGTCCCTTTTTCCTGTAAGAGAGAAGCGTTATACATTTGTATTATGTACAATCTTTTGAAGGGAAATTGATCCACTTGTCTGTCACTCTAAACAAAACACAGATACATATACTGAGTATTTGAATAGGGAAATGATATTTTATTTCAGGTGATTTATGAAGATCTCCCATCAAACTTGTGTGCAATAAGAGACTATATTGAGAACAAGACAGCATCAAATATATTGGAAGCAAGTAAGCAAAATACAAATTCAAGGCAGCAAACGGCTCCATCTGGCTTTGCAGATGATGACAGCTATTGTTCAGCTGAAGAGTTGTCTGATTGCAATGCTCAAAGTTTATCTCAACAAAGACCAAGAGTTCCAGGATTACAAAGGGACATCGAAGTCCTAAAATCTGAAATCCTGAAATTCATTGCAGAACATGGACAAGAAGGATTTATGCCAATGAGGAAACAACTTCGTTTGCATGGAAGAATTGATATTGAGAAGGCTATAAATCGCATGGGCGGGTTCAGAAAGATTGCAATTATAATGAACCTCTCTCTGGCTTACAAACACCGCAAACCAAAGGGTTACTGGGACAATCTTGAAAATTTGCATGATGAGGTGAGCTGCAAAAGTTCCTATCAAGATTCCACTTACACCCTGTTTAAGTAAATTTCTTCATAAACATTTTTAAGAAAAGAAAATAATAAGACAAAATTCAATGAGTTTCTTTTATAATTTAACATCAATTTCTATAGAAGCTCTCTTGTTTAATTTATTCAAAAGTTGAGGTTCACAATAGATTTTAACTTATGGGAGAAGGGGAATTCATTTTGTCTCCTATAATTTTTTTTATCCAAATAGGACATTTTCACTTTAATCAGAATGACAGGCTAAAGTGTTAAATCAATGACATTATGAAGGATAAAGGTTATGCACCTATATGAACGATTATTTCATAATAAAGAGAATGCATAAGCATAACATTGTTTTACATCAATCAGAATATGATTCATTTGTTGACGCAGATAAGTAGATTTCAGAGAAGCTGGGGAATGGACCCCTCATTTATGCCCAGCAGAAAATCATTTGAACGTGCAGGTAAGTTGATACTCTCCAAACTTTTGAATTTATTGCTTCCAACAACAACAAACCATAGTTCCCTTTCAAGTCTAAGAAAGAAAAAATGGATGAAATTTGTAACATCACATGGCTGTAACTGCATCCCACTTTCATTTTGAAATTAGCATATAATGGAATTTTTCCACAGGGCGCTTTGATATAGCACGTGCACTGGAAAAGTGGGGTGGACTAAATCAGGTTTCTCGCCTTCTGTCCCTAAAGGTAAGGAGACAAAGAAGCAAACAGGGCAGCCTTGACAAGGATAAGAAAGTTGAGGATGATGTAGCATCACCTGATGTAGATTTTGAGATCAAGACACCATCTAGAGCCACTGTTTCTCAAGATCCACAAAAATGGCTTACAGAACTAAAACAGTTGGACATAAATTGGGTTGAGTAAGAACAGTATGGATATATGTATATATTGGTTCAAATAGAATTTTGTGCGATAACACATGATTCTTGGTTTCGTTTTCTTGTCCGTCTGCCCAAATTGGCTTGAGGGAAGGTTCTTTATCAATGGCAAAACTCTAACCGGGGGACTAAGATTTTTTTTGGCATAGAATGAAATCTCTCTTATTTTGTTCCTTCATTAAAGTCATTACAGACAAAGTCATATCGCAAAGGAAATTCTGGAAGTGTATGTTTTCTGCTGTCCTTTCATATGGTATATATTTACCAAAATTATTATATGACAGACTAATCAATTCAAAGGCATGAGAGAAAATAACGTGAAATGAAGATTATTGCATGAATTGACAGAAAGGTGAAATAACAAGGAGATTATACAATATGCAGAAAGCTAGACAGAGTACACAAGATTTAGATGATCAACTAAGCACATTAAAGAAAATAAGAACTATCGACAAAATATCATCATACACATGGTAATCATTGGGTAGAATACATTAATTCACATCGCATCCAAACAACCCCGACTGACCCTATACTTTAAAAAGTAAACAAGAAACTGTATATGTTTCTATTCCTTACAGAATTAGAACACCATAGTGGACGATGCACTCTCATACTTGGCTATATCCTCTAACCTTTGAGTTGGTTCCTCACAGAAAGAAGGTAACAGAGAGGTCAGTTTGATATCATAGATTCTGGAATCGTCAGAGATGCCATCCCAGGAATGGGATTGGGAGGACAAAGTGTAGGCATAGCCAAGGTGATTGGCACAGTTGCGGCAAAGGAGCTTGGTTCTTTGTTGGCGCTTGGGGTTGAAAAAGGGTATCCAAGATGACCAGGGAAGTTGCCGGATCTGAGTGAACCTGCTCTCATCCACAGAGAAGAAAGAAATGACGCCTCTCTTTATGGACTTTGAGTCTATGAGACAAGTGTTGCGGTTACTGGAGTTTAAGTTCAGCTCATAACCGCACGAACCACAGCTACATACAAGACATGCAAAGGAAACACATCACAAATGCAGTTTGGTTTGCAACATTACCACCTTGGAATGATACATAGAATGTCGGAGTAGAGGACAAACTCACTCACCTGTAGTTTACATCTCTGACAATGGAGGATAGCTGAAGTTGTTGACATCCATATGATCCCTTGAGCATGTCACCGTAGGGAATCATTGTTGTGTGATGTAGAGAGAGAGAGAGAGAGAGTTTATAACAATGGACAGAGAATAGTTTCAGATATAGATGGCATGACATGGCCCCATTTCATTGTAACGGTCACAATAGATGGCAACAAATTATAATCATTTGAATATAGTGCGAGCAAATTATAATCTCATCCAATCTGATAAGATTACCTTTTATAATTGTTTTGGGTAATTTTGACAACCAATATAATAATAAAATACAGCATAAAAAAATATTATTATTATTATTATTATTATTATTATTATTATAAAAAGGTGAGCTATATATGGAAAAATTGTCTGTCAAGTAGTTATATATGAAAAAATTAATTGCAAAAATATCATTATTCTAATTATTTTCACTTTCAACCTTTTTGGGAATTGAAAAAGAAAAATGATACATGAATACCACCATAATAAATTATATCAAAATTATACTTGGAAAAAATAAAATATAAATTTTGTAATGGTTACAATATGACAGGGAGAAAAAATAATGTTAGATAAAATATGTCGTGATATAATTATAGCATTAACGAAATTTCACTTTGAGCACAAGCAGTATGAAGAATTTAGCAGCAAAATGTCAAAAAACTTGGTGAATCATGAATTTAACCCCCTTAGGCGTAGAGTAGTCCACAATCAGACCGTGCAAAAATGATGGTGCAACCAGCAAAGTGTTTGATGAGATTTCATGATGATGGAGCGGGAAGTTCATTGCCTCATGTTCAATGTTGTTTATAAAGGTTGCATAGAACAATTATACTTTGAATGAAAGAAACTAATTTTAAAGAAAAACAAGTTTGATTATTAATATGGAATCAATTTCTAAACTCGTGAAATTGATTTAACACTCATTTTGAATCATTTAAGCAACGTGTAACTGCTCTTAATTGATGCAAAAATGGAAACGTCTTAACAATTATGATGCTAAGACAGTACCTATACATGTATATTCCCACTACGAAGGACGAGGAATTAATGATTGCAATTACATTAGAGACAAAAATACAAGTGGCTATGTTAACTAATCACCTTGGCTGAACCATGGGGGAATAACCCAAAAAACAAAAAGACTCAAGTTTAAGAACCTCACATCATTAGCCTATTTCCAAGATTTGGATTCCTTTAATATGTGATGAGCCTTTAAAAGGCAATAGTGCTCTTGATGAACTCATACAGAGCGATTATTGCTTTTTTTATCCCCCAAACTGGCAATACATCAATGTTTGGAGTGTTTCAAGTAGACCACCATGCCAACGCTTGCTATAACAATTGCACTAGCAAAAGTAATAGAGCTCAAAGAAAGAACACTGGTTTTCTGTATAGTAGTAGCTGTACAAGATTTTGGAGTTGTTGCTTTGGTTGATGAATTGCCACAATCCAAATGCAACTTCAAAGCCTGAAATACAAAGATGCTTTGTATTATAAGCAAATTGAAATATCATGAAAAAGCTAATAGTAGCAGATATCTTCACCTTCAGTCCTGCAGACCTAGCATAGCTGACAGCCGTAACAAGATCACTATCATTTGCAAGAACAACTTTATCACCTTCATCGTCCTCATACTTTAAAAAGGAGGAAAAAGTTAGTATGATAATAAACATATACAATAATATTTTCACAAAAGGCAGAAGAAATTAAGTAGCATGAAACACACCAAAATTGTAGGGCGTTCTCCGTCTTTAACATCAACTCTCTGCATGACTGTAGAAACTAGCTCATCTAGATGTTCAGTACCTAAAAAAAAAACAGCATCATAGTCATTGTAAATTTTTATAAGAATCAAAGGGGTAGGAGGGAAGATGATAAGATTACGTGGCCCGGGTTCAGATATCAATGTGCATTATGTTTGCGTCTAACATAAAAAAAGACTAAACTTCACAATGCTTTTCCAAAGCAATCAACTCACCACAGTTGAATCGATGCACACGACCACAGAGATCCTCTAATTTGAAGGCAAATGAATGTCCACCACCTACAGATTGAAATGCAGACTTTGTTGTATCTGCCCCAGAAATTTCACTGCAATAGCACATCAAATAGGTTGTCAATTCATGGATCAGACCAAAAACAAAGCTTGTATTTAAACATCTACATAACCAGACTACCTGCGAGTATCGGAATCTTCTGGTGGCTCTAGATTAAGAGCTGAGTCCCAAAACTTTTGCATAATTGTATTTGCTACATCATTAACAGCTCCAGAGCTACTCTCAACCTACAAAGTACATTTTAGTCATCAGAAATTGGTATCTGTACAACAGTATAAACTGTTAATACAAAGAAATACACGAATTTTACTACACGAGATGATAGACTTCAACTTCTTTAAAGGTGCACACTCCACTAGACATAAAAGTGTTATGATTATTTAGAGAGACAACAATCAAATATGATGTATGGGAATCTGCCAAACAGATGGAAACTATCAATACATACTATCACTAAATCTAGAAGGCAATACTCCTTTGACCAAATTGAATTTCTATAGTTGGTTGTATACATGGACATGGAAATGGACATTTTCCATTTACCATGGGGTAAAGTGAATAGTTGTGAAATGCCTTTCAAGTTCCAAGAAAGTTATGATCAGTAAATTCCAGGGACTGAAAAGATGCTTGATCCTTGCACAATACACAGCTATCACCTACCAACATATAAGCACCTCAAAGCAGAATAATCAATCACATCCCAGTACATATTTCCATCTTCAAGGCTATAATCCATGAATAACTGAAACATGAAATTTACCATAGAAATTGCAGCATGAGTTATCTGCAAGACATCCATGCAAGCAACGATATATCCACCTGCAGAAACAATAATAAAGAGTCAGCACAATAAGGTAAGAATTAATAGACTGCCTACAAAATTAGAGAAGTAAAGATCACCTTTGTCTACGACAGGAAGATGCAAGAATTTCCCATCATGCATCATATGCAGCGCATCCAATATTGTTGTATCTACTGATGCACAATCTGGATGTGGAGTCATTACCTAAGTGAGAAAGGGAATAATCAAGAAGAAAATCAACTCAGTTATGAATATCTAGCAAAAAATCAGAACCAAACAAAAGAAAAGCCTCTCGAAATAGCAACCTTTTCCACAAGAGTCAACTGAGGAGAAAGATTTTGAGCCACAACACGCATTAGTATGTCCTTTGAGCTGCATGAGATACACAGAACATTTAGCATCTTACAATGATTAAGGTGAAAATTAGGAGGTATTGGATCAGCAGATGAGTAGCAAAGGATTGAGGCAGATAAGGTGGGAAGTATGAGGGTGGGAAAATCAGCATGGGACAGTGGCAAACCCTCCTGTCCTATGGCAAGATTGGGAGATAAATCAGGAAGGGAACCATTTCTTGTTAGAAGGTTATGAAGGAAAGTGAAAAAGAATAAAGGAGGGATATAGTGAAATGGGGAGAATTGACTAAAGTTTTGGGGCCTTAAGAAGGGAGGCTCGCAGACCCATGAGAAGTTTTGAGATGTTGCATCCTTCCTATTTTCTGTAATAAATGGCAGCCTCCTACCAGAGAACAATATATTTATACCTCTAAATTTAGAGTTCTTCTCTTAGAAAACAGGCAATTGTGTAAGTTATTCAATATCCTCAGACTTCAAAAAGAAGAGAATAAAGTCTTTGTAAAAGATCTTACGTGAATATCCCCTGAATCTTGGTTCCTGACAAGGACACAACAACAGCCGAATTAACACGCAACTCCTGCATCTTCCTTGCAGCTACATAAACAGGATCCGCAGGTGATGCAATAGCAACCCTAGAAAGATAAAGCTACAGAACTTTGTAAAACAATTTTATCCAATTATACAAGCATGTTACAGCAATACATACAAAAATAAGAAAATATCATGAGAAAATTACTTTGTATTTTCACCAATTAGAGTTGACAGGGAAGGCTTGAACATGCGCTCCCTCAATGTCTCTACCAAAGCACTAACTGATAAAAATGGTATCAATTAAAGCAGAAAATTACATTACAAATTGAAGCAGAAATATGACCATTTCATACACTTTCATATGGATAAAGCTAAGACAATGAGAAGCTAACAATTTACAGAAGCACGACTTACAAAAGAGAACTCAAAATACATGGAAACCACTCATCAATTTTGAAGAAACATAAATTATATATGTTAAAAAACACATTTAATGCCTAAACTTGGGTTTTTTATGCACTTCTATTAACAGTATTTGGTTTCCCATTTATCTATTTAGCTTAATATTCACACTGAAACCCTTAAAAGTTAACTTCGAAAGTATGTCATTGAAGTACAATTTAATAAGAACACATTACCAAGATTATAACAAATAAAAAAAAATAAGTCTTCTCACTAAATACACACCACATTTTGCCTACTCCTATTAGATTTAGATTTAGATTTTTATTCTTAATATTACTAACTGATTATGATGTGGAAGATAGAGAGAAATAAAGGGGGGGGGGGGGAATAAACAAAAGAACAAGAGAGTAAGAGGAACAAAACAAGTTCAGAATGGAATAATTAAAACAAAATATCCAATTAAAGAGTAGGCAAAATATGACATTCACACACACACATATATAGTGCAAATAACATTTTTTATGTAAGAAGAGGTTTACATCTACAATTTTGTTAGCAGAAACAGTCATTTCAGTTAATATGCCAAATAACAGATTTCATATTAAAGGAACATAAAACTTCTGAACTCAACAATGGCAGTTACAGTATAAAAATATGCATGGAAGTGATGTAAACATAAATTGTTCACCAACCAGATCCATTGCTACCCCCATGGCGCTCCACCCCTTCAACTGCAGCAGCAATGGCACTGCCCTGCTCAGCAGCCTTCTCCATCCTAGTTATAGCATCATAAAGACATCTGGTGATATCCAGTATGGCAATGACTTCACCATTTTCCACAACAGGGAGGTGCCTGAATTTACCTATCAGATAAAATCAATAAATCATATCTTATTTTATGGATTACTTCATAGACTGTCACAATAAGTACCACACGTAAACGGACAGAGTCTGATAGAAAAATAGGCAGTCAAAAGGGATAAAACTGGGGGTTAAAAAAACATTTCAAGACAGCACATCTAATAAAATGTGATGTAACTAGACTTTTCAACTTGATCCAGCCCACAGGGCATGAAACTGACACACATGAACCATGGCCAAAAAACCCACAGGACCCGAAAGCCCACATAAGAAAAAGCCCATACGCTAAAATGCCAATAAAAATCTTATGGGCCAGGACCAGTCCATGGAGCAATTTTTTATTTCAAGAGAAATTACTTTAAAAATGAGATTTCCAAAAAACATTTACTTTATAAAAGTTTTATACACATGAAAAAAATATTAATTTGCTCCAAGCTTCAATTATTCACAGCATAATCTAATTTAAATATTTAACATTGGTATCATGATTCACCATAACTTGATTACAAGTCTCAAAAATACAGAGAAGAAAAATATTTTTTTCTACAAGAAACTAAAACAAAAAGGAACCATAAACCCAAGCATCGATGTCATATTCACATCTTATTATAATGATCAACCATAAATTTGTAGTACCAATTTTGAGTACAAAACAACATTTGCACATGATTAGGAAGAATGAAGCCTCAATATTTGGAAAGTGCACCCCCACCTTTTCTAATGGAAATACTAAGCACGTATTTAATTTGTGGCCAGTGATGGGATGGGAAGAATTGACCCTTCAATGGAGCTGGTTTGGATTGACCCAGTCTCCACCTTGGGTGAACCTTCTGGTTTCTTCTCTTCCATGGCTGGGCAGTGCTAGGCTAGGGATGGTTCAGATCAAGCTCTGATACCATGCAAGATATGGATTATATTTCACTGAATCATATTAGATACAACAAGAGGTATAAATAGGAAAAGGGAAATGAATATGTACACTAATCTAGTGCTGAAAATCAGGATAAATATTTTCCCAATAAATGCTATAATCAAATAAGGAAAAATATAGATTATATTTACAATTAATTTTGATATAATCTAGACACTCGATTGATTTGGGCAATCTCCGACACAAAGCTTTGTCCCCAAGAAAAGAAACTTGAAATGCACTAGACATTATTATAGCAAACAGACATGGCTCCTACAAGAAGTGACAAAAAATATGAGAAAACCCTCAATATGATCCTTCAACATTACATGATTCACCAAATTAGTCCCTTGATGATCTAAATTGACACCATATTAGTCATCCAAAGATTTTGTCACCAAATTGTCCGTCAGATTTAATTTTCAACATATTTATTAGTCCCTAAAAAATCTAAGTTGTCAGTATGTTTGTCCTTATAATGGACTAAAGTAGTGACGAAAAGAATATTTGGGGGACTAGTTTGGTGACCAAACATTGTAGGGACTAATGAAGTGATACACAGAACAACAAACATGAACACACAGATAAGAGTATCTATCCCAGGATCTGTCCTATATGGGGATAAATGCACTAAAGAACTGCATGCCTTCTTAAACCATCTATATCATTAGAGATATTAGTATATTCTCTTGAAATTATAAGTTAGCCTGTCAGTTACAATCTGTAAATGATCTGTCTATTGTAACTATCTCTAACTCACTGCTGAATCAGCGGTCAGTAGCCTACAAATGAATATACTCTCCGCTATTCACTCACCACTGAATCAGTTAGTCATTTTCAGCATTTGTCTCGATCCTTCCCTTCTCTTGTTTTCTCTTTCTGCTTTCCTATTAATTGGTATCATGTGCTTCTAACCTTCAATTCAGCCACCACTTCCCCACATGGAACAATTATTAATCCTGAAACATGTCCTGCTGCTACTTTCACACACCAGATCAGCCTCAAGCATAAAACCAAAAAACGTTTCTCCTTGAAACAATGAATTGAAGGAGTTACACATGGTTACATTAGAAGCTTCATTGACTCATCGTAAAACCTACAATTCCTCCTTGTTATCTTACCAAACAAAAGAGGGATATTGATATCGTCAACCTGATGTATTTAGATTAGGAATTGCAAGATTCATTTCTCTTCAACTGGTTACCATCGACTCTATCTGATGTCGATCTTCCAAATGTAGTTCACTTGTTCATTCATGACAGGTGCAGGATGAAATTCATAAATTCTTCCATACATAGATGCACGCTTGATCCAGCCAACTTCATTCTGAGCTGAAATCTATCACCAAGGGAGATCTCATACCATGGAGGAGTATAAATATTTAGCTCATGTCCCAGCCATTGTTGACATGCTTCAGAGTTTCTTTTCGTTGATGATAGTGCCAACTCTGACCATATTGAAGCCATTCTTGAAGGTCTACCAGAGGAGTATAGTGCTCTTCTTCAATCATTTAGTATCATTTAGAACCGTGTTATATTCTTGAAGTTGAATTCATGCTTCTTTTGCATGAAGCGGAGCTGGAGAAACCTCAAGAAAGCCTATGTTGTTGAGTCTCTTTCACAGTTAATCTTGCACAAGTCCCTCCCATGCTCAAGATTATTCTCAAGTCAATCGGAATTCTGACTTTCATAGGCAAACTCAGCCCTACATTGCCAATTCTGGCATCTGTGACAGACAGTCATCTACACAGTGGTTACTAGGTACCAGTGGCATCCAGATTCTGGTGCAACCCATCATGTAACAAACAATCCAACCAACTTCATGAGGCTAACTAAAGATATCAAGAGAATATACTAATGTCACTAACATAGTGTCCAAAACAATTTCTCCCAATTGCAGTAAGTAAATTATTGTCAGAAGTCACAGACCCTTTTATCATGCAACATTCTTGTTCAATAGCATAGTAATTGCAATATAAATGCCAACAACTGATCTATTAGTGCAAGGGAATATAAATCTTGGTTAGCTCATATCCTAGGGTGAATAAGGCAGCGCCTTGTCATATCAGAAATCTGATGATCTTATGACCACCAATGTCCAAAAACACATACATCAACTGCATCCTTGCTCCAATGTAACCAGACCTCTTGTTACACACAAAACAACCACAGTAAAAGTGTTCCACCAAATTTATTAAATTAATTGGCATCAGCAGAAAACAATTGCCATTGTATTATCCATTTTCTTGAGAAACGAACCCAAACAACCAAGCCCAGAAACGCCAAAAATCCAATAATAACACTGACATTAACAGCAGATGAAGCTAACCTTGGACCATCTTCTGAAGAGCTTCTAAGGCTAGCGTATCAGATGTCACAAATATAGGACTCCTAGTCATTACTTTTGAAACCATAGTCTGCTCAGGCCGTAAACCCTCAGCTATAACTCTTGTAGCAATGTCCTGAACACAAGACACACAAACTTGTAAGATTCCACACACACACACACACAAGTCCAACAACAAAAAACAACAAAATGCAGAAACAGAAACCTTATCAGTCATGATTCCAGATAGCAAAGCATTGGAATCAGTCAGCAAAACAGAATCCACACGCCGAGCCGCCATTCTCCGGCACGCTTCAGAAACCGTTGTCCCCTCAGATATAGTGAGGGCTTTCGATAGCCGAAGCTTCTTAACGGTCCTTTCTCCCCCATCAAACCTAAACAATTAAACTCAATTAACAAACCACAATTAAACCAAAAACACTCATTCAACAAAACCCACCTAAACATTCATCAAAAGCTTTCATTTTTCCAATCACAACAACCCGTACCCAAACTTTTCCAAATAACCGCATCTTGTCAAGAAAAATCATATATTAAAACAATCAAATTTAGGTACAACAACCAAATCTATTTTATCTCTTAACATAAATAAGACGGCTTAGCTGGATTTATACGGATCGGTTTATCATTGAAAAGGGAAATCATAAACCAGTGTAAATAGACAGGATGTTAAGATGCAATCCAAGAACGTTGAAGAGAAAAAGGAGGTACTCTTGAGGCGGCGGAGAAGAAGGTTTGCTGGGAGGTTCACTAAGGCTTCCGTTGTCCATCTTCTTGGACAACGAGGGAGCGCGTCTGTGAGGGGCACTGTTTCTTCTCGTTAAGTGTCCACTCATTTTCGGAGACAGAGGTTACGTTAGGGTTATTCTTCTTCTTCCTCTGTCACCACCGCCCCTGTTCCTGTCTCTGTTTCTGCAACCTTTTTTTCCTCTTCCTCCGGTGAGAAATGTCTTTTTCGGAGGAAAATGACTAAGAAATGTAAAGAAGTGAAGAAAAGGACATGATTTGGATTTTGTTTTTACTGTAAAAATAGATCAAAGTTTGGTTGGGAGTTGTGGTTTGGACGTGTCCACTTGTCTCGGACATTAACACCCAAGTTTATTTTTTTAAGGAAAACGGTCTTTTCTTGAAAACACAATATCTTTACGAAATTATAATTCTTTTATATAATATATCAAATTCATTATAAATTGTAAATAAGATACTATATAACTTTTAATAAATCATATAAATTAGCTAATAATTTAAAAGAAGTAAAAAATTAAAGATGAATTGAGAATAATAAATAATTAAAAAGGTCTGTGTCAAATATATTTTCAGTGGACAAAAAAGAGTTTTGAGAATTTATATATTCGATTACAATAATCTAATATATCAAGTTAAATTTTATATTTTAATTAAAAAATTATAAATAAGTAATGTCAACTTGTCTATCGTAGTTTGTTAACAAAAAAAATGTTATCTGATGTAAAAGTCAATGAATTTTTATACATTGTATATTATAATTAAATGACCCTATTATACCAGAAATACATGTATTATTTCATCTAGAAAAATCAAATAATGTAAGATTAAATTTTTAATAATAAATATTAAAAAAACATAAATTCAAGACTATATTTTAAGAAAAATAGTGGAATGTGATGCAAATTAACCATGTCAAAAGTTATCAAATTAATTTAAATAAAAATTAAGCATGATGAGTTTTATAATTTATCTACTTCTCACACATTGTTTAGCATAAAGGATTAAAAAGTTGTTAATATTGTATTTTTTTTTTTACTTGAAATTGGAGAATAATTATATTTTTGCACGTATCATTAATGGTTGTTTAGATTGAATAGCATATTTGATAGAATAAAAAGGTATGAGAGTTAGAAAATAAAGTTATTTAAATTAAAATTAAATAATAAGAATGGTAACAGATAAAATAAGTTTATATAGTATCAATAAATTTATTTATTATTTTAATATAATTTTTAAATTATTAATTATGATAATAATAAAAATTAAAATATATTAATTAAAAAAATTAAATGTTATATATAAGTAATTATGTAAATAAATATTATATAATATTTAGTTTGATTATGTTTGATTTTTAACCATTTTTCGCTTTTCTTTGTGATAAAAAGGGAAATACTTTTTTTTTTAAATTACATGTATTAAAATATGTGAAAGTTACGCATCTGTGTTCCTTCAATATTTCTGTTACTAAAAATAAATATACACTAAGAAAGAAAGTTATTTATTTTTTAAACATAAATAATTTGTTTTTAAAACATAAATAGAGATATTTATAAACTATTCTTACGTAATTTTATTAAAATTAAATATATGAATTATAATTATATAAGTACGGTATTTTAATTTAGAGTTGACTTTCACAAGATTGAGACTTTTAATATATTCCAAACTTTTTTTAGTAAAATAATAGAATATTTTATAATTATTTTTCTTTTAAATAGGAGAAATTTTATATTTTATTCATTATAAATTAAAAGATACCCCATCCAATCTTCTAAAAATTTTTCAAAGTAAAAATTATATGACTCTTAATATAATTTTATGTATTTTTAATTATTTTATTTTTTATTTTAATAAAGAATTTTTATTGTTATTCTTATTCAAGTATAATATTACGTGTGTTGAATTCTTTCTTATCATTATGTTATTGAGTTTATTTTTCTTTTTTGTTTTTGTTTTTATATATTGTTCTTAACTCTTCATTTCAATAATTAATAATATAAAAAAAATTCTTTTTCTTTTTTTGTTTTTTCATGTGTAATCTTTACAAAGTTCTTTTTCAAGTTCATGGAAGAAATCTAATATGATATTAGATCGAATCAATTTTATTCGGTTTTGTTGTGTAATCTTTTTCTTCTTCTCCTTTTTTGTTGTTCTTAAAGATTGTCTCTTCTTATGAAAATAACAAGCAATAGTTGCGATGTTATGATGTCTATCAGAATCCTAAAAATTCATATTATCTTCACCCAAAAGATAATCCTGCCAAGAACTTGATCAATATAAAATTAGATGACACAAATTATCATCCTTTGAGCAAAGCTATGTGACGTGCATTACTTTCTAAAAATAAGCAAACATTTATTGATGGAGCTCTGCCTATTCCTCGGGTTGGTACTGATCTTCATGAGACATGACAAAGATGCAATATGATGGTCATTTCTTGGATCACCAAAGTTGTCATTAATCAAATTGTTCAAAGTGTCATTTGTATTGAAGATGCTAAGAATCTCTGGGAAGATTGAAGGAGAGATTTTTCAGGGGAGATCATTTCAAAATTTCATATTTATTACAAGAATTACATTCCATAAGACAAGGAGAAAGGAGTGTTAACAATTTCTTCATAAATTTAAAAATATTATGGGAAGAATTAGAATCTCTGAGGCCAACTCTTGAGTGCATATGCAAACCAAAGTACAATTGTTCTTAGATCAAGATTGTTATTAAACACAAAGAAGTTGAGTATGTGATGTGTTTTTTGAAGGGCTTGAATGATGTTTATGTCACGGTTAAAACTCAAATTCTCCTTATGGAACCTTTACCCAGTATCAATTGTGTGTTTTCGTTTATCATACAGCAAGAGAGGCAACTTGCAGGTAATCTTTTTACTGAAAATAAAGTGTTTATTAATGCTAGTAGAAACCAAGAAAACTGGCAACAGAAAACACAAGGACGTGGTAAAGGTTGTGGTCAAAACAATGGAAAACATTGTAGTTATTGCCACATGTTATATCACATTGATGAGGAATGCTACTCCAAGCATGGTTTTCCTCCTTGGTACAAACAGAAGGGTGATTGTCAAAGCCAGATTAATAATCTTGTTGCTGATGAGTTTGAAAAATATGAATGCTAGCGTACAGTATATGACAATCTACAAGTTGTTAGTAATGGGTCCAATCAATTTACTCAAGAACAAATCAATCAAATTCAAAAGATGATTGAAGAAACAAGGTCTATTAATATTCACAAGGTGAATAATTTTCTTGGTGAGTCCACTGCTGAAAGAATTATAAAGGGTAAGCAAGTTGATAATCTTTGGATAGTTGATACAGGTGTTACTGATCATGTGTCATATTCCACATCTCATTTTATAAGTTTTCAAAAAATTAAACCCGTGTCAAACTGCCAAACAGATCTCAGGTCATAGCTAAATTTGATGGAACTGTGAAATTGTTTGATAATTTTTTCATTAACAATGTTTTATACATGCCACAATTCAATTTTAATCTTATATTTATCGAATGCATTATTGATTCTCATAATTACATACTAATTTTTCTCTTCTAAGTCTTGTCAAATTTAGGAAATGGGTTCATTGAGGATGATTGGACATACCAAACTTCAAAATGGGCTATATGTTCTACAGGCTCATGGGATGGAAAACTTGATCAATATTTCTAGCAAAAAAGGGAACACAAAAGGGAAAGATGATAACAGAAATATTTGGCATTTGCGGATTGGTCATCTCTCTGGTCGGATTTTACAACATATTAGTAGCATTTTTTAATATGTTCAATTCAAGGTTCACAATGTTTTTGATGGTTGTCATTATGCAAAACAATGTAAACTCCCTTTTAAACATAATGACAGTCGTGTTAAATATATTTTTGACATAATACATATGGATATATGGGGTCCTTTTAACATCACTTCTACTCCAGGATATAAATATTTTTTTTACTGTGGTTGATGATCATAGTAGATATACTTGGATATTCTTAATGAAGTCTAAAGTTAAAACTAGACATGTCTTGATTAGATTCATTAATTTGGTTCATAATCAATTCAATTACAGAATTAAAACTACAAGGACTGTTAATGGGAATGAATTCTCTTGGGATGCTTCGTATGATAGTTTATGAATTATACATCAAACTCCCTAACAAAATTCTATTGTAAAGAGAAAGTACCATCACATTTTGAATGTGACTTGTAGCTTAATTTTTCACTCTATATTGCCTACTATTTTCTAGTTTTATGTTGTTATTCATGTTGTTTTTCTTATTAATAGAATACCTTCTAAAATTTTAGAAAAAATAACTCCTTATGAGCTTGTGTATAATCAATTGCCTAATCTGCAGGATGTAAAAGTGTTTGTATCTCTCTGTTTTATTTCTACTTTACAAAGAGATAGAACTAAACTTGATCCTAGGGCCAAAAAATGTGTGTTTAATGGCTATAAGACTGGTACTAAAGGTATGTGGTTCTAGAGATGGTTAGTAGAGAAATACGTGTTTCTAGGAATGTTAGTTTCTATGAACATATCTTTCCATATGAAAAGATTCCTAATTCTGACAATAAATCTAAAGATCAAAATAATGGTTTCAATTATTCTCTTAAACTAGATATTCATAACAAAACCCATAAGTTATCCTGCATCAGAATGAGAGTGACAATGATGACAAAAGAGAGGTATTGAGAAGATCAAATAGACAAAAAATGGTTCCTAATTTTTTAAAGAATTATCATCATAATATTTTGAACTATACTAGTAATAAGATTGTTGATGAAAATGATAATGTTTATTATCATATATCTACTTCTCTTGATTATAACAAACTTTCTACTGAGCAATTATACTTCACTTTAGGTATATCCTCTCATGAAGAACCTCATTCTTATGATCAAGTCACTTGAATGGTGTGAAGTCATGAAACAAGAGCTGCCTTGAATCAAAATCAAACTTGGTATATGACAAATTTACCAAAAGGTAAAAAACCCATTGGGTGCAAATGGGTGTATAAAAAAGATGTTCCCTTGGAAGATGTTACTTATTTTCAAAGATTGATAGGAAGATTGTTATGTCTCATTACACAAGACCAGATATAAGTTTTAGTATTCAATTTTTGAGTCAATTTCTCAAGGCACCCACTATCAATCACCAAGTTACTACTCTCCGTATTTTTTGTTATAATAAAAATGTTCCTCGATAAGGGTTATTTTTCCCTAGCAATTCTACTCTTCAACTCAAGGGATTTAGTGACTCGGATTGGGTCATCATTCCACAAACAAGACGTTCTACCACTAGTTTTTATTTGTACTTAAGTTCATTCCTAATTAGTTGGAAATCAAAGAAACAGTTAACGGTTTCACGATCTTTTTTTGAAACTGAATATCAGACACTTATTACTATTACTTGTGAGATTAAGTGATTTAAATATTTACTTGATGATTTAAAAATTAATGCTCAATTTCCTGTTGTCTTACACTATGATAGCCAATCTACTAAATATATTACAAATAATTTTAGTTTTCACCAACAAACAAAACATATTAAAATACATAGATTATCATATTGTACAGTAGAATCTCCAAGCTAAATTATTCAAATTGCTTCTTATTAGTACTATTTACCAATATGCTGATATTTTTATCAAACCGCTTAAGTATAGGATGTTCAAGATAGTGCCTCCAAGTTCGAAATGAAGAATATATAGTAAAGATTAAGAGGTTGTTGAATTCTTTTTTATCATTTTAAGTTTTAATTTTTCTTTTTATTTTTTTATATATTGTTCCCAACTCTTTAATTTTATAACTCACTTTTCAACAATTAATAATATCATACTTCTTCTTGTTCTTTTTCTTCTTCTTTTTTTTTTGTTGCATGAATAATCTTTACGTATTTATTTTCTTCTTCTGCGTTTAAATCATACGGAAGAAATATAATAATGTGAGAGATTTTTTAAATTTATAGATAAATAAAATTATAATTGTACCTAGACAAAATATATTAAGAAACAAAATCAACATTAATCCCTTCCATGATGTACCTAACAAACATGATGGAATATTTTTCAGTAATGCAGGGTAAGTCATTGTACCACAATTGACTCATATATTATATGGAAGACCTATATAAAATCAAACTTACATATTTATATTTTCATTCTTAAAACAAATTTGTGATATTTTATTTGAGTAAAAGTAACTAACAAACATACCTATAGACATGGTACAGAATAAACAAAACAAATGAGAGAAAGACAAAAAGGCATCAATCAATGCATGCATCTTCAAACCTCCATATCCTGAATTAAAACATTGAGATCATGTTTTGGCATATACTATACATTAGTTTTGGATTTTACAAATTCAGATTCAGTGGATCACACCACCACAATTTTCTTAACATTGTTCGATGACACGCGGGTGAGTTTTTTTATTATGGTGTTGAAATTGAAATTGAAATTGTGCATGATCATGAATCATGATTGTTGATACATAATTTTTAAGGAAAAAAAAACACGATCTTATATTTGCTACATAGACTTTCTTTGCGTGAAAGAAAGCCAGAAAGGGACAGGGAAAGAAAAAGGAAAACTCTATCTCCACGTCGTATCATGTGGATTTTAATCTTTTGAAGAAATTTGACAGTATTATCTGTCAGTGAAGAAATAAGAACTTTAACTTTTAGAAATTTTGGGTCATTTTAAAATGAGTTTTTTTTTTAGGAAAAACTAGATTTTATTCTAAAAAATAAGAAAAGACATGCACTTCCCAATGAGTTATTCCAATTGAGAACTTCTGTGTCCAATGAAAGCAAATATTTCCTTTTCAGGATATAAAAAATTGTTATATTCATATTTAGTTTTGAGTGAAATCAAATAAAATATGTGATTTTTTTATCCATTAATGCTGTGATATTAGTATGTATGTAACTCTTTTTAAAGAATAATATATTGGTATGACCCTTTATTGGTATCATATGTGTGTTGAAATGGATTTTACTCAATTTCACAAATTTTATTTAATGTGAAACGTAATCTTACATTTGATTTTATTTTCTATTATCATCTTTTTAAAATCAAAATATCAGGTCTTTAATATATTAAATGTTTATTTAAATATTTTAATAAAAAAATTAAATTAAATAATTAATATAAAAAAATATTATTATTAATCTAATATATGGTATTATTATTGTACATGGTATATAATTTAGAGTGTTGATAATTATTTGCACTAAGTCTCTTTTATTACCTGTATTGTAATGAAAAATATATAGGTTGTTAATGATTTTGACATAAAACTTTTCATTGTTGTTTTCTAAAAACATAAAATGTTACTTTAGTAGTAACAAGTTTGTAATTGTCAAGGGTTGTTAGATAAAACTGTTGCTAATGCATTCTTTACCAAGGAAACTTTGCCCTTAAATGAAAAACATCAATTAAGCGTGATTCATAAAATAATTGATAAAAAAAATATCATGTACTAAACTTATTAAAATGTGTATTATAAAATATTATCTAAAAATAAATCGTCTGCAGAACTATATACTTTTTTTTTATCATAATTTTATTATGATTTTGAATTACAATCTTTTAATGATTTTTATTTTGTAATAGTTTCAGGAACAGATGAATTTTTTGCAAGATTTATAATTATTACATGTTTATTACATGTTTAGTGGTGTCAATTAATTTGCAACCTTTGTTTTATTATTATAAAAACTAAATAATAGTTTAGCAGTGATTGGAAATAATTGTGTCTGAAAAAATAAAAAAAATTGTAATTTTATCTTCTTTATGACTTTAAATAATTAAATAGTAGATAAATGTATTCCTCTATAGTTGTACTTATTAAATATATATATATATATATATATATATATATATTTAAATTATTTTCTATTTTCATAAGAGTACTACGAGGTAGCTTTTTTCACCAGATAATTATTTAACTTTATTTGCATTGTTCAACTTAATTATTATTTTAATTTAATACATCAATGATATGAAAATAATATAGTTTTTTTCAATAATATTTTCATTTATTATTTAATAATTTTGGACGGTAAAATATCTGTTAACTCGTAATAAAAGTATTGGAAGAGATATGAGACATAAATTTATAATGAAATTCAAACACATGATTGGAGAATTCAACCCTAAAGTCAAACAAGTTAGGCCTTCTTTTTGAGATTCTTAATTTGACTTTGTTAATATAGACAAATTAACAATCTACTCATTTAACACACACATATTATATATATAAACAAATTTATTGAAAATTTAAAAATAAGAGTACAATTTTTAAATAAAAAATAAAAAATATGTAATTTAATTTACAATTAAAAATAGTTTAAGTAATTTTTATTTATATTTTTTTTATGATAATCTAATCACTTACACAAAATATTATTAAATAATTGGTAATTTAAATAATTAAAAGGATAATCTTGCTATGGGTTATTATTTGAACATGGGTTATTATTTACATTTAATTTATATATAATCTTGCTATATTATTTAATAAAAAATTAACCTACTATCAATATTAATTAATGAGATGACGTGATAAAAATGATTTCTTATTAAATATGCTGGTAAAGTGGTGTATATAATTTAAAATTTCAGTATGTTAATAAATGACATTATATCTATGCTTAGGTTTTGTTAAATCTAATTATCCATTAATAAGCAAGGGATTTGCAAATTAGTTTAAAATGATTTTAACTTAATTAATGATTTCAAATTCAAAAGTTATACAATATTCTATTAAATAGAAAAGTTTTGTTGGTTAGTACAATTTGAGTATATAAAGGGTAAGATACAACAAGTGTATAGAGGGTTAATTTAAAAATAGTACTTAAAAAAAAGCCATTAACTTTTTTTAATTTACATTGATAAAAGGATAATTTTTACAAAATCTAAAAAAGAATATTTTGAGGATAATTTTTACAAAATCTAAAAAAGAATATTTTGATCATAATATAAATAAGCTCTAAATATAATTAAATGTGAATAAGAAGAAGATGAATGGAAGAATGTAACAGAGTGACGTGTGTCTGGAAAGTACAGTGAGAAATATAGTCTGTCTGTAACAGAGGACAACAAAACAAGAACAGTAACAAAAATCGAATCAGATTTTGCAGTGAGAAGGAAGGACCAATGAGCGGGAATAACGCGCCCCTCGTTTGAAAAACACATAAAACACGCACACCTCCATCACGTCTAATAATTACCACCAAATCTTGGCAAAATAAACAACACAACAAAAAAGATTAAATTTTTAAAAACCAGGATTGCGTAGCATAACACTTTTGTTGTTCTTTTCTCATCTTCTCTCTCTCTTCACATGGTCTTCCCCACCCTCTCTCTCTTTCATTATTTCTTTTATTTTAATTTTTGGTTTTTATTGTGACAAAGAAACGTGTTGGATAATATTTCTGAATCTTCGCATGATGTTCCTTCCGCTGTGAAAAATTCCTCTGACATTCCTCTCCGATCTCCATGGCCTGTCTTTCCACACACTGGAAGTAGTGGAAGGTACTATATCCCATTCTTGTCCCTTTCAATTGGGTGCCTATAATACTTCTTGTTAAGCAATCCCGAGAGAGATCATTCAAGTGGGTCAATCAGCGCTTCTTATTTTGCAGATATTTTTATTCTAAAAGTTGGATTCAATGGCGTCAATTCGAGCAGTCCTTAGTAGGTGACTGTCAGAGGAGTTGTTACAATTTCCAGTTTAGAGTAATGTCCATGAAAATGAAAAGAAAAGAAAATAAATCTTTCCTTTTTGTTTTTTGTTTTTTGTTTTTTTGGCGTTCTGGAGTGATCTCTTTCAAGCTTCCATTCAAAGCACTACGCTTTTATGGGAAGTTTTTCAATAAAGTTGAGAATGGAGGTAGATGAGTTTGGGTGGGAAGTGAATTCTAAGCAAAGCTCATAACTAACCACTTTCCTTGTGTACTATTTCAAACTTGATTCTGGCTTCGCTCTCATATTTTTGTTTCCTTTGTGGTGGGGGGTTTCGCTTGCCCGAATGCAGATTTTGATAGTTATCTGATTGGTGTCATTGTCATATACCAATTGAGTCTTGTTTCCCTGATCAAGTTTTGAGTTTTTTGTGTTGTGTTGTGTAATGGTGTTGTAGGTGAGGTCATTGTTGTGAGGCAATAAGGGAGGTGGTGCTAGTTTCTGCTTTTGCTTATAATCGTAGATGGACCGGAGGAGTTGGCTTTGGCGCAGGAAGTCATCTGAGAAAAGTCCAGGTGAAACGGAGAGTTCCGGTTCAATCTCATCTCTTTCAGAAAGGTTCTCTGATGATCAGGTGGGCATTGGAATGGAAGTGGTATCCGTGTGTTTAAATTGACTTTGATTCACATGATTGTTGAGTGCTTTTTAGGCTTACTGTTCGCACGGTTTGATCCTATTCAAGACGCTTGATGTTGTAATTTCGTCATGATCCTTGAAATTACAGACAAATGTGGCTGATATGGCTGCAATTGTAGCCACGGATCCTATTCAATTATGCAAGAATCTGAACTGATAACATAACACTAACTGTTCATATTGTAACTTGAGACAGCTTGTAATGAATGTGTGGGCAAGAGGAAAACAATGGTCATAGCTTAGTCTGCAGTTTTTAAATGGACATGTTTCTTTTCTAAGCATAGTGGACTTTGTGGTTAATATATCTCTTTTCAAGTGTGAGAATTCTGCTTCTTCAGATTATTGTAAAGATGGAAAAGTAGTATGATGAATCTGATTCTTTTTCCCATGTTGTAAAGGTATATACAACACAAGCTGCTTTATCTCCTGAAGTCACGTCTAAGTCTTCACCAAATGACGACGTTAGTACCCCTAAAAAGAGTAAAGAAGAAGTTACGGATGTAAAGATTCTTACAGACAAATTAGCTGCTGCTCTACTGAATATTAGTGCCAAAGAAGACTTGGTAAAGCAGCATGCTAAAGTTGCAGAGGAAGCTGTATCAGGTATGCAATTGTTTGGCCCTTACCATGCATGTCAATGAAAATGCTGCTACCTCAAATATTTATTATCACTAAGAAATGTTGGGCGTTCAACCCCAAACAAAAATGGATACTTTAAGGAGATTAAAAAGGAAATTTCTTGATGAAGAATTTAGCTTTTTAGATAATGATTTGGAAACTATTTTTTTTGCACAATATTTACGTTCATCGATTCTTTAGACGGTATACCTATTTATTAGTTTCTTTCTGAAAAATTTTATACGTCTTGTGTACCAATAAATTTCTTCAAGTGCGGACTTTTTTCAACTTTTGAAGGAAGAATGTCTAAGCTAAAGCTAAATTTGTCTCTGCATGATACATGGTTTATGCTCATATTATGACAGTTTGGTTGTCATCATGACGAACACAATCTTCTGATCTAATGAACTATTGGGATGTTTAATCCAAATTATATGAAAACATTGCCTTTTCCCTGCCGAAAATTTATGTTAACGGAGTAAAAGGTTTTGATTGGCTTTTCATGTTTTTAGGCTGGGAGAAGGCGGAAAATGAAGTGTCATCTGTAAAACAGCAGCTTGATGCTACGAGGCAGAAGAACTCAATTCTCGAAGACAGAGTTGGTCATCTTGATGGGGCACTAAAAGAGTGTATGAGGCAACTTCGACAAGCTAGAGAAGTGCAAGAGCAAAAGATTGTTGAGGCTGTTGTTAATAGTTGTGGTGAGTGGGAATCAAATAAATCTGAACTTGAGGGGAAAGTTGCTAGTCTTGAAGCTCAACTTCAAACAGCTAAAGCAGATGCTGCTGCATCGATTCGTTTTGATTTTCGGCAAAGGCTAGAAGCTGTGCAGAAAGAGAATTCGAGTCTTAAACATGAGCTGCAATCTCGACTAGAGGAGCTAGAGCTGAGGATAGTTGAGAGGGATTTGAGTTCTCAAGCAGCTGAGACAGCTAGCAAGCAACATTTGGAAAGTGTCAAGAAGGTTGCTAAGCTTGAGGCTGAGTGCCGAAGACTGAAAGCCATGACTCGTAAAACATATTCTGTCAATGATAACAGGTCTGTGACTGCATCTTCAGTTTATGTTGAGTCTTTCGCGGATAGCATGTCCGATAGTGGAGAGAGGTTACAAGCAGTTCAAAGTGATATGCGTAAATTAGGTGGATGGGAGATGAATGAATGTGAGCTAAGTCGTTTTGATTCGTGCGCATCTTCTTCAGTTATGGAAATTGAACAATTTAAGAATGAAAAGACTAATGGAAAAAATCACATGGTCCCTTCAACTGAGATCAATCTCATGGATGATTTCCTTGAGATGGAAAGGCTTGCTGCATTTCCTGAGAATGAAAGTAGAAGCAATTTTGTTAGGGAAGGAGTTGGATCAGATCAATCTAATGTTGGTCAGGCTTCAATGGAAGCTGAAGTAGAAGCTTTGATTCAAAAGAATGTTGAATTGGAGAATAAGCTGGGGAAAATGGAATCTGAAATGGAATCTATGATTCAAAAGAATTCTGAATTGGAGCAGAAGCTAGAGAAAATGGAAGCAGGGAAAGTTGAGGTAGAGATGGTTTTAACCAAGTACCATACGCAGCTTGAGACATCAGAGAGTCAGATAAGAGAAGCAGAGTTGAAGGTCGCAGAGTTTCAAACCCAGTTAACTCTTGCAAAAAAATCAAATCAAGAAGCATGTGAAGAACTAAAAGCAACAAAAACAAAGAAGGAGATAGTCGAGTCTACACTCAAACTTACTCAAACTGAGGTCGAAGAACTGATTTCAAAAATCCATTCTTTGGAGGAAGAGATTCAGAAGGAGCGAGCTTTGTCTGCTGAGAATTCAATCAAATGTGGAAAGTTGGAGGACGAGCTTTTGAAAATGAAACAAGAAGCTCATGTTCAGCAAGACACCGAGATAAAGCATAGGAAAGTTGTCAATCACGAGTTGAAGTTAAAACAGGTCAGTATGCTAAAACTTACTAAGAACATAATTTTTTTAAGCCTTATTCAATGTATTTCATTTTGTTGGAAGATGCAAGCTAATCTTCTGGCATTATTTTTTTTATGAAGGAATTCATCAAGTGCTGGTTTTTTGGTGGAAAAATTTGTATGTGTGGAATAATCATGGTCTATCAGCAAATCTTTTTGTAGTGTTGACTTGCTAGTCAAGCATGATTCCTATATCATGCTTACCCTACTTGAGTAGATACAATAATCTCTAGTCTGTGTCCCACATATCTGGTCATTTTATCAAGGTTGCAAGACCCTACTTCCCAGTTCCTTTCTGTTGCAATTTTCCTATCAAATGTAATTACATATCATATTAGTGAGAGAATTTGAAGCTAAATTTCAGACAAAAGGCTATGTGTCACACTCTAGAAGAGACTACTTGGAAATGCATTTGAGGCCAAAACAGACAAATAAAAGTGATATTTGTTGATTAAAAAAATCTTGCATCACCCATTTTATACTTGTATTTTCATATAAAGTGCTTGGCATGCTCTGTGCAGGAAAAGGAATTTGCATTGGCTGCTAGTAGATTTGCTGAATGCCAGAAGACCATTGCCTCTCTTGGGCAAAAGTTGAAGTCCCTTGCAACTTTTGAAGACTTTCTACTTGATTCAGACAACCATGTGGAGTCAACTTGTGAAGTCACAAAAGGTCCTCAAAACGGTGAACAGATGAAACTACATCATAGTGATTTGAGCATGCCCAAAACAGATTCTGAGTCACCCCTTTCGTTAAACTCATCAGTTACCAATGAGAAAAGCCGTAATGGCTTTGGTAAGTTCATCCCTAGAAGCAAGAGTGTAAGCAAAAGAGGAAGTCACTGAGAGGAGAGTGAAGAGAAACTAGAAATGATAAGGACAAGGTTGAATCATTTGGCTTGATCATTTTTATTTCATGGATTCAACTAGTAATGGTTGAAGTAAAAATGTTGAAAGCAAAAATAGCAAATACAAAAATTCTAAAATGTTCATCTTGTATGGTAAAATATTTTATTACTGATTGTAAAATCAAAAAGATTTGAATTTGGGAAAATAAAAGAAAAATAATTGGGGTGAGAGAGGCTCGAACTCTCGACCTCAGGATTTCTCTATAGCTATGAGACCTACGCGCTAGCCAACTGCGCCACCACCCCTTACATATTAAAATTTTAGATAAAGTTGTTATTTATAAAACTTATTAAGTTTACCAAAATTGATTAATTTAGTTCATAACATTGATTATGTTGTGAAGTTATATTTTTCTCTCCAAAACTGTCCTTATCATGATTACTTTTCTCCCTCCATCTAAATTAGTATGTGTTTTTTTCAGTTGATAAAATGGATGGATTCACAAATTAAATTGGGTATGGATTGAGAACTGCTCATAATTATTTGCATTCTGGAAAGAAAAAGAAAGTAGTTTAGATTTTGTAAGATGAAAAAGAGAAATGAAATGAAAATAAAGAGCAATAAGGCTCTTACTCTACCCTATTCATACCCCACACATGTGAGTGATGAGCTGCACATCACAATTAATTGTTGCATTGCATTTGCAGTCATCAATCAGATCATGCTCATCACACTCTCCTCCAGAGGGGCCTCTGTTTAAGAACCAACACATGTCAACAATTTTCACATTCAAAAACTCATCACAACATAAACTTAACAAGACTTGTGGATATAATGATGTAGGGGTCAAATATGGTGGTGTAGAATCCACAACATTGTTGCCTCTTGTTTACTATACCACAGATCTATCTTTCTTTTGTAAGATTATAGATTTTATGCATTATTATTATTACCATCTGATATGCATAGAATATTTGCTATATTTATATGTATATTTAAAACATCAACAAGGGTTCTATGGTGTAGTGGTTAGCACTCTGGACTTTGAATCCAGCGACCTGGGTTCGACTCCCGGTAGGACCTTCTTTTCACCTGAGTTTATTTTTATGTTATCATGTTTTACGGTATTGCTATTTAAAATTCCAATTGAATCACAAGTTTGATGAAGTCCCTCATACAAAAGAAGATACAGACAGGGTCTGATCACAAAATAAAAAACATAAAAGCATGTGATGTCACATATTACCATATCTCATCATATAAATAAAACATTAGAATTGATTCTGTTCATTCTCATTCTTCCTTTTCATTACACATAGGTCAACCAACTAGGAGTAATAAATTAAAGACATTGGTACAATATCTTTCTGAACCTAAATTTTATTAATTCAGTCCATATATCATCCTATCCATGCTACAGAACTATGCTTTTGACTGATATCACCAAACCTTGCTATCATGTGCATGAATGAACTGTGTTAATCACAAAAGATAAATGAAGAGAAGGACTTTGAAGAAGAAAAGTTAACATGGCTCTGCTTCTGCTTCTGCTTGAAAAGACATGCTACTGCTAGTCCATGCTTCCCCTCTGACTTGCCTGACCCCATTTAATATTTTTTTAGTAGATCATAAAAAATCTTTGGCTTTCTGTATTCTGACAAGCAAATGGCCTGAGATCATAACAGCACCATCATGTTAGTTCTCAAATCTGGACCACTACTGGGATCAAAAGAATAATTATTAGTTCTCACATGCCTTGTATGATGTGGTAGTGGCTACATTCAAAGGAATTGAAATACCTGCATTGCAAATGCCAAGTGGATCAGGGTTGCTTCTGCCCAAGGCCTTCCAATGAACTGAAGCCCAATAGGCAAACCCAATTTATCGTATCCAACCTGTGATGAAAGGATGATAGAGTTATCACTGAACCTTAGCTCTAATGGAATACACAGAAATTTAGTTTAATTATGTTTTTATTAGGGATTTGAATAAGATCACTTTTCGTTTTCTTTCATATTACTTTTTCAGAGAGGAGGGGCAGAGTTCCTGCAAGAGATATGGACTTCGTATATTATGATACTTTGATAAAAAAGAAATCATTTTCTTCTATAGAGTTCAATAACTCATTCAAGAGATGTTTTTATCTGATAAAGAAGAATTAATAGAAAAATAAAATCCTTATGATAAGATCCATCTCTATTATTGACAAAGTATTTGCCATTTCTGAAACTAGCATTAATGGAGTCACCAGGATGAAGGAGAATAGATCATACCGGAACTGTCACAGCAGGAAGTCCAAGGAAGTTTCCTGATATGGAATACCGAACAAGTGCAGCTGAAATTGTGGCAAATATTACATATTATTCTAAGCATATGGGCAGTTATACTACCAACAACTTCTAAGTGTCACTACAAATACGAATTTCATTTATACCTCCATTTACGTAGTCAAGTTCACCAGTCTTCAGTGCATCATCTTGAATCGAGTATGCAGTCACACTGTAACAAATATTAGGCACTGTGTTACCTAAGAAAAAATGGCTACCTATTCAAAGAAAGGCATTGTAAGAAAACAGGACAAACCCTGTTGTTGGTGACACAATGACATCTGCCTCAGCAAATATTCTCTTGTGAAACTTTAACTGGCGATTCCTGACCATAACTCAACAAAACCATGTGACACTTAAAGTCTAAAAGATATATTGCTGTATGAATATATATGTCTATGTATGTCTTTATCTTAATTCAAATGAGATTGGATTGATTGCAAGAAGGTTTTGTTAGATTTTGGAAAATAGAGCACACAAGAAAATATAGGATTTACTAGTCAAAACTTGATAACGGGTTGAATTTTTAGCATTGTTTCCATAATTCATGAAGTATAAACATTGATGCTTAGCCTTCATGACTATTTTGATGCAACTGAGAAGTGATAATGTGTTGTTGACCAGAATCAACGATTAAATTACAGAAGCAAAATTTAGTAACGAGAGATGAATACCCTATTTTCAAGCAGATGACAAAATATTGTCTATGTTTTCTAATATTGTGGTTTGATTTTATTGAGTTTGGACTTTCATTACAGGTTTTCTCTGCTCAAATTTTAATTTATAAGAAAAGCCGACCATGAGTCATAACTAACCTCAATTTCTGAGCTTTAATGTACTCCTTGCCACTAAAACCACCATAGATATTAAGTGCTACCCTTGCGTCCCATCCTAATTCTGCAACATGTCTTTGGTAATAATTTAGTAATGTCAGCAATCACCCTCTCAATCTAGAGGGCAAAATTGAAAAATAAAAATAAGGGTTTTGGATGTCATACTTCTCTCCAAAAGAATCAAACCAAGTGGAACACTCTGATCCAATTGTTAAGTAATGTGCCAGGCGCATTGCTTCTATGTCTGGTAAAGTGATATCTATTGTCTAGTATGTTTAAAATAAGGTTGGAAGGTTAGTAAGTAATCACTCACTTTTCTACTTCTGAATGAAATGTTCAATAATTGTGATTTTCTACTCAAAACAGTTTTTCTTCCAACTTTTAACCATGGTAGCAAAGTCAACATTTAAAACTTTTTGTGCTATATTCTGCAGTACCTTCCAACCATAATAATCCTGAAGGTTGCTCAATGCATGGGAGCAGCATAATCTGACATCATCACTGCAATCATCGAACCACTAATTGATGGAATTAGTGGTTAGAGGGAGTAAATGATGTTATGGCAACCTACTTTTCCAGATATGGGAATCAATAGTCTAAATAGTCAAAACAGGGAAACATGCTTCTGACCTTCCCATATTTTGCCAACTTGATGTCTCGTATGGACTTTGTCAAGGGCAGCATTGGTAGAATTATCTTGGGCTAGGGCATTGCACAAAAAATATTATCAGAAGTTTAAAAAGATTAGAAGCAGGTGAAATTACCAGTTCTTTGAACTTCATTGGCAATGTGAAAAATTGAAACATAGAAAGGAGTCATTTGAAAAATCAATCATTTTGTATTTTGAGAAGTAGAGAAAGTTCTTACAACCATACTAGAGGGCTGTTTGGATGGAATTTCTCCACTAATAGCTGCATAACTGTAAATATTGAAATATTAGAAGCTGTGAACCAATCTTAAAAACTTCCTTGGATAAAGAAAATCATAGAAAGTACAACTAACGTGATCAATGCATCCTCAACAGTGCCTGCTAGTATTCCAACCATCCCAACTGTCCAATTTAGAGGAAGGACTCTGAATGTAGTGCAAGATTAATCTTTTAAATCATCACAATCCTCTCAAATTATTCAAACATGACAAAACAAATTTTCACACCCACCCGGAATGAGGTACGCGATCAAAAGTTGGTTTTAGACCAACAACACCACAAAGTGCTGCAGGCATTCTCACAGAACCTGAACAAGTATGTTTATAAAACATTAATTCACCTCTCATGTTGTCTATCGAAATCTCATATACCTACTGATATGGACTTGTCTGTTAAATTCATGTAATCATTGGCTATAATATAAGTATGTGAAATGCATATGAGCAATAATGAATGATGATTTCATTGATCTTTCACAATTTAAATGGAATACCTCCCCCATCAACACCAAGGGCAACAGGGCACAACCCTGCTGACACCACAGCAGCAGATCCACTAGAAGAACCCCCTGCAATCTTGCTGGTATCATATGGGTTTCTAGTTGCCCTACGGAAGAAAATAAACCACATACTCTTGTCAGCAACAAGTTTTGTCAAATTCACCAATATATAGCTCAGAAATCACAAAAGATGTATCATAATCTGAATAGAATACAAGTTGTCTTACTCATGGTTACTTTCTTACCCATAATGTGGATTGATACCACTTGTTCCAACCCCAAGTTCATGCATATTAGTCTTCCCAACAAGTATGGCACCACACAATCTTAGACGCTTAACACAGCAAGCATCATCTTTACAAGGCCTTTCTTTATGCAACCACTTGGTACCTCCTAGAGGACCACAGCGAAAATGAGATCAACCGCTAAAACATCTGAAATTTAAACACAACACGTTAGTGAGAAGAATAACACATTGCTCTACCTGTTGTTGGATATGGCAAACAATCTATTTCATCCTTGACAGCAACAGGAACTCCATCTAGGACAGAGATAGGTTCCCCTGCAAAAACAACATGCACCAGATAGTATCTGAAGACGGTTGAAGATACTCCAGCAAATAAGCCATAACTTTTTAGTGGAACAAAGGTAAATTGTATGCATCTTAGATTCTCAATTTCAACTTTCAATAACACCATCATCAGATTAAATCATCTAAAGGTCAATGGATTTGAAAGAGAATTGTTATCCTTTCGAATTGACAATTGAGATGGATATATAGTACCTTTCTGATACCTAAGAGTTGATTCATTTGCTTGTCTTAGTATATCCTCAGGATTGTAGTTAATGAAGAATGCCATTGGGAGTGGAGATTCTGAAGATTCATCAACAGCAGTTATAAATCGTTCTGCAACCTTTGCAAATGAAAACCAATGAATGGAAAAGTACATACGAAGAAAGAGCACCAACAAATATGAAGGGCATGTTATGAAATGAAATAACCTTGCATAAATATTTATTCAATATAAAATTTTGAATGGTAGAACTTTAAGCAAGATGATGTTGATGAGTAAACACAGAAAATGATAGCATGAGGATATATTAAAGAATACGAATATCGAAGTTATGAAATACCATTAATGGTGTTATATCTCCCGAGCTATAGGCTCTGGAATAGTCCATTATGGTCCAACGAGAGAACGAAGGGTTTGTTCCATTATGTGCTTTTTCTGAAGATGGAGGTAAGCACTCTAGTGCAAGTTGAACTTGCTCTTGTGGTGTTGACGCAGAATCTAAGCTTTTGACTTCTTTTTCTTTGTGGTCTGCAAGAATAAACGGATATCAGACCCCTTTCCATTCAAGAAAAACCTGAGAAAATGTTGTTGTTTGAGATACACAAACATCTAAGACAAAAAGAAGAACACGTCAATGTGGTTTATGATAACTGCAATCAAGCAATATCCATGTTCGCACCTTCATGCAGGTAACCTGTAACTTTCATACCTGATAGAAAGAAGCAAGTGGAAAATAACAAACCTTCAAAATGATGCGAGGGAACATAGAGGGGTGACTCTTCTAACTCAGCATTTGTAATAAGCTGAAAAGGAAAATTGCTATTTAAGTGAAATTCGCACCGGCAAAGTGATACTAGTACACAAATAGGATGGAGTTCTGATTCATTTAGCAAAAGATTTCACGAAAATGGAATGAATAGATCATGGACCAAGAGCTTACCTTGTGAATAAGATTGTTACCCTTCAATATATACAGTAGCAAGGCTCCAAATATTGGAAACTCCAAGAACCAAGTGAAAACCTTGACCAAGATTCCAGTCATCCGGGGAGCTATAATAATTGAAACAATGACTATTACCAACTACTAAGACTTTTGACAACCAAAATTCTGATATAAATATCCTAAACTAGATAAATCGTTTGCAGCTTGAACATTTTCCATTATGAACCAACACACACATATTCATGTCCTTCTCTGATGCCAAAATAAACTTTCCACGAGAGAAAAAAATCATTCCAAGAAATGGTCACACCTTCATGTGACACAAAAATCAAGATAAACAGAATAAGTAGCAAGACATGGCAATAAAAGTCAGTGAATTATGAACCTTTAACATTGGCTTGGATATAGAATTCAGTGCTATCAGAACATAAGTTGACATCCTTCACAGGCCTATAAACCACGCCCTTACTTTTGAACAAACCCATTGAAACTGATTTATCTGAGAGATGGACAGAAAAAGTGGATTACATAATATAGTAGTTGGCTGCATAGGTGGAGATAGCTAGAAGTACAACACATTAATTCAAACTTGCTATAATCACACATCTTAATTGACATGTTGATGGATTGGGTATGGTATGACAACTGGAAAACAAGTCATTTTCTTTTCACTAACCAATTGAAAGTTTGTATGAAAAAAACTAAGACCTCAACATTGTATTCCTCCTCATATTCCTTATTCAGCTTATATATTCATATTCCAAAATGTTTCTTAGTACTCTTCTGTTGCATTAGCTTCCAACTTTTGGCTCCTCTCTCTATGCCCACCAAGTTTTTATCTGTTCTTGTCTTGCAATAATGGTTAAGGTCTCTTTCAATCATTTTTTTTTACAAATTTTTTATAAGTGTTTATAAAAGAAAAAATAAAAATAAAATAATATTTTTATAAATAAAAATTAATTTATGCACAAAAATCATGTAAAATATTTTTTTATAATTTATTTTAGTTTATGATTTTTTTTTATGGTACCAGTATCTAGAAACTCGTATTTAACATGTTAAATTTTAGGATTTTATAAATCACTTGTATTTGTCTATGATTAGTTAACTAGTTTGCAGACCTCATAATAAAAAAATAAAAAAATAGAGGAATTAAAACATTAAAAATTATTAAAAAAATAAAAATGAGATTAAAAAAAAACAAATATATATCAAAGAATAATTCATATTTAGAGACTATAAAATGATAAATATCAATTAATATAATGCATCAAAAAATATTTTTTTTATTATCAATTAGATTAATTAATTTTAATCAATTTAAGTGATTGAGGTTTATATATATATATAGTTGAAAGCTATTTAAAAAAAAGTATATTAAATTTATACATTTTCTTAATATATATATATAATATAATATAATATAATAATTGTTGGCCAAAAATTATATATTTGTGTTAATACATTATATTGTGATTAAGAATGCAAAAGTTTTATTCACTAAATTATGAAAATGTAATTCGTTAAAATTGTTACACTTTTATGTTTTGGACAAATATTTCTAATATTATTTAATACTAAATAATCAAGCTAATATATTGAACAGATAAATACAAATATAAATTTTTAATACGTTAAGTTCAAAACTTTCCATTAAACTTATTTAAATAAATGAATCAAATTTAAACAAATAGGTTGTTTTTACTCAATTCTCTCACGTTAAAAATATATTAAATATAAAATGTTAATATATAATATATAAGAATATATAAGAGTATAATAATATTAAAACTGTAATAAAATTATAAATATTAATGATATAGTTATAAACTGTGTTTAAAAAAAGTACCTAAAAAACTATATTTTTTTAATGATCAGATTTTAAAAAAATAAAAATAAAAAGAAAGTAGAGATACTTTATGCATCATTAATTATTTTACCATATATTAATGTATGGTCCAACAATTTCGGTCATTTAACACTTGTCATAAACTCTCTGGAACGTTAAGATGATTGGATGTGATGCTTAAAATGATTGCAAGTTGAAGAATTAAATGTTAATTAGAACATAATTATGTTGATTAATTAATTAAAAGTTGATAAACGTAATTTGTGTAATTTATTAGAGAAATGTACTCTTTAGTTGGTTGGCCATGCATGCAAAAAGTGTGTTTAGGGATACATCTATCTTGATATAACGTTTACCTACTCTTAAAAGGTGACAGTTGAGAAAAAAAAAAAGAAATTTTAATAAAGAAAAAGTAAAAAATATTGGGGAAATAAATAAATAATAATAACTTGTGATTTGGAAGTTGAAATTAATCAAATTAGTTCAAAGCAAGAAACTTGGTCATTGGTCAAATGTGGTAGATGAAAAGAAAAAAAGGTAAATATTTTATTTTTCACCAAATTAATAAGTAACAAGATATTTTGTTTTGGTTGACAAGCAACTTTTTTTTTCTTCTTCTTCTAAGTTTTGGTATGATTTAGATAAAATCCATGTTAATTTAGAATAAGACTTATTGTTTTTAAATATAATTCTTTTCTAGATTTAAAAAAAAACTAAAAAAGTGATTTGATAATAGTTTTGTTAAAATAACTTTTAAAGTTTTTTTTAGTTTTTACAAATTTAATTAAATATTTGTTTAATTTAGTTTTATTTTTTATTTTTTAAAATAATTTTAGAGATAATTTAAAAAAAATATTTAAGAAAAATTGTTAAATAATTTTAATTTAAATATTATTACATGAAAGAAAATAATATCGAGATAACGATGAAAAATTGTAATAAAATCTATAAAATGTTTTTGTTATTTTATAATAATAATTATTAATGAAAATGTTATAATAGAAAAATAAAATTTAAAAATATTTTTATCAATTTGAAATTTTTAAAATTTTAAAAACTAAAAAATAAAAATAGTTTTTGAAAACCATTTTCATGAACAGATATTAAACAAATTATTGTAGTTTTCAAAACTAAAAACCTAACCATTGTTTTTTAAAATAATAAACAAACAAATCTTAACTTAAACGTTTTGCTAATTTTTTATTTTATTTTCATTAACAGTATTCACACTCTTATTAACAATAGTACAGTACAAGTTTCTTTCATAAAATTGTTTATCAATTTTTACCGCAATTTTTTGTGTTATTGTCAGTATTATTTTTTTGTTATCTAAAACAATTTTTAAATTAAAGTTACAAATTATTTTAAAATATTTTTTAAAATTAAAATTTATCTTCAAACTTATTTTTGAAAACTAAACAACAACTAAATCAATATAGAAAATGAATTTCATTAAATTAGATCTTTGGAGATGGATAGGCATGTGAGTTGTTCCAACTACAATGGTGGTGACCTTTAATGACAAAACAAGCCTCATCCCCCATCAGAAGGATGAATAAGTTCTTTCGTATTTCGCGAGGGTTTCCTCCAAAAATAGAAAACCAAACGCAACGTTTCTAAATGTTTGAACTCTCCTTAGTTTCAATTACACTACAACTATTTGCATAAGAAAGTTTTATGTAAAAAAATATTATATATCAATTAATACTCATTAAAACATTTTTAAAGGAAATTTTTAATAAAAATTATTTAAAAATAAAATTAAATATTTTATTATAGATCAAGTTATTTAAAATTTGATTAGAATTATTTATGTAAACATTTTTTTCTAATTTTAAATAATTTTTTCTACAATTTAAATATAAGACTTATAATAAAATATTTAATTTTATTTCTAAATAATTCTTAATAACAATTAATTGTTCTTAACAATAGCTTAAACTATTTTTTTCAAAATATTTATTTGAAAAAAATTATTCAAGTTTTTTAGACAAATAAAAAAGAATTACGTAAAATCTTTATTATGAATATTTTATTACGTAGAACATGTAATATTATTCTTCTACTAAGTTTAATTTTAACTTATTTTTATATTTTATATTTGTATAAAATAAATATGTATATGGGATAAGGTATGTTGAATTATTTATTTTTCTTTATAAATGTTGCCATAACTCTTACTTCATCCTGTTATTTTCTTTTAAATCTTCTCCTTCTATTCTAGACCAAATAAAATAAACTTAATTTATTTAATAGAGAGGAAACAATATGTTAAATAAAAATAAAATGATAAAATAAAAATAAATAAAAGTAAATAAGAATTAAAGTTATTAAGTTAAAAAAATAAAGATGAGATAAAACTAAATGATATAAGAATAATACTATAATCTTACTATTTAAAAAAATAAAAAAATATTTTCTCTCACCAAATATCCCATCTCCTCCATAGGTCTTCTCAAATTGATATAATTTTTATATGGGTTAATGATTTTGATTTCAAATTTAATGATTATTAAATATATTTTTTATATTTATAATTTTATTTTTTATTATTCTTTTATATTTATTATTTATTAATAATTTTTTATTTCATCATAAAATCAAATTTCCATTTTTCACTCTTTCTATTTACCAAATGTATTTTTTGTATATTAGTTAGAAAAATTAATAAAATATTTTATTTTATTGAATAATAAGTATGTTATTGAAATCGCTTTATTAGATATTTCATTAGAAAATCCCAATATTAAAATCTTAGCAAAATCCGTGTCTAAAATTGAATAACGCATGCAGGTTCTGTAATTCTAGACCCAATTCTTTTATTATGATTAGTAGACAACGTTTTGTCGGTAAAAACAGAGACTATAACAAAAGAAAAACAGTTGCCATAATTATTACTATAAATTATAATACAATAGAAAAACAGTTACCAAAAACATTATTATAATAAGGATAAAATTGTAAGAAGCTTATGTCTAACAAAATTAGTTAAAAAATAAATGCGTCCCATTCTTATATACTACTATAGATTGGATTTTATTTTAATAGAAAATCGAAATAAGATATTCAAATCGATAATTCTTACATTAATTATAAAAAAAATTATATTTTTCTTCGCAACGTAACTTCTCTTCTCTTGAATATTCTTGAGTGATATTTTTATGAATTAATTAAATAAAATTATGATAAAAATCGAATTTCGTTCCCTTAACTTTTCATTTCTTGATCTTTTGTTCTATGTCCCCTCGTTAAGAAATATATAGCATACCTATTTACCATTTATTCCTTAATTATTTATTTATTTTATCTCTTAATAAATTACATACATAAAACTTATATTCTCTCATTTCACATGACATACATTATAAATAAATAATAAAACAACATAATATGCATTATACATCATAATTTCATAGTTAAATAAATAAATCAATCATTTTTTAAATTGGATACATCATAATTTCATAATTAAAAATATGAACTAAATTGAATAAAAGTAATTGTACTCCACTCAATTCACATACCTTATAAATTAAACTTTTCTATTATGAACATAATTAAGAGCTTATAATTGATTCAATATAACATCATTATTCATGGTGGTACCTATTTACATTACTCTAACACAATTATGTATGCAATCATTGAGAATAAATAATCACAAACATATCATAATTGAGTTCAAAATGTCAATTGATTAATACATAATAAACATAACACTTAATAATTATTTCTAACAATAACACCCATATTTTTAACATGTTCAATAAAAGTTTGGAAAGTAACCTCTTTCGTAAAAGATCATAAATCATAAGATTTGTATTAATATATTCTATCGACACTCTTTATTTTTGAACTTCTTTTTTTATGACTAAGTACTTTAACTTCATATGTTTAGCATATTTATAGTTGTTTGTAGAGAAAAACACTGTTACAAAGTTATCACAACACATTTTTTAGCAGTTTGACAATACTGTAAATAATTTCAAGCCCTACAATAAAGTTTTGCAGCCAATTAGCCCGAATCATAGTTTTAAAACATGTTACAAATTCAGTTTCAATCATAGATGTAACAACAACATATTGTTTGCACTTTTCATGATATTGCTCCTCCAGCTAAAACAAATACATAGTTAAGAGCAAATTTTCTTATATCTACACATCCAGCAAAACCAGAGTTTGAATATCCAATCACCTCAATATAATCAAACCTCCTATACATAAGCATGTGATCCTTTCTTCCATATAAGTATCTCGAAATTTTCTTTGTAGCTTTCCAATGTTTCATCCTTGGATTACTTTGATATCTTCCTAACAACTGCAAAGCTTAGATATGATCAAGTATAAGTTTAAGCATACATAATACTCTCAACAACATCTATGGAATTGCTTCTATTTATTTCTGTTCCAAATCATTCTTAGGACATTGGACAAACTAAAGTTGTCTCCTTTCCAAATTGGAATAGGTGATGTTGAACATTTTTTCCATCTTAAATATTTTTAATACTTTATTTATATATGTTTCTAGGGATAGGCATAATATTTCTTATGATCTATTTCGAAATATTTCTATTCCTATCACATAACTTATCTTACCCATATCTTTCATTTTAAAGTTATTAGAGATAAACTTCTTAATCTTATGAAGAAAAGTAAGTTCATTAGTTACAAGCAAGATATCATCAACATATAAAATCACAAAAATAATGTTACTCCCACTACCTTTAGATATATACATCAATGATATCATTAAACTTCAAATATCATTGGTGGAAAGCTTGCTTAAGTTCATACATTGATTTCTTTAATTTGCGCATCATGTGTTCCTTTTCTTCAACTGAGAACCCCATTGATTGGTCCATATAGATATTTTTCGTTAAATCTCCATTAAGAAAGACTGTTTTCATATCCATTGGATGTAGTTTCAAGTCATAATGGACTATAAGTGTCATGATAATCCTGAAAGAATCTTTTCGTGAGTCTCATGAAAAAATCTCTATGTAATTAATGTGATATTTCTGAGTAAAACTCTTAGCGACAAGTCTAGCCTTGTAACTTTTAAAGTTACCATGAGAATCATGTTTAGTCTTAAACACCCACTAACAACTTATTCTCTTGCAACCTTCTGACAAATTTACAAGGTCTCAAACATTGTTATGTTCCATGGACATCAATTCTTCTTTCATGACATTTAACAATTTCTCACAGTTATTAGAACTTACAAACTTGTGAAAACGTAACTAGATTATTATCATTAATGCTTAAATCAATTTTTGACTCATGTAAATATTATCATTAATGCTTAAATCAATTTCTGATACTCAATTTTATTGTGGTATACTTGACATTGTGTATTGTGCACAAATATCATGTTTCTTAAGGATTTTAACAAATGAATTTAAGTGTTGTCCAATCTCATCATATTTTTCTAATATCGGTCACCTCTATTCGACCAAACAACTTTCACATTTTTGTTTAATTATCTTTCTAACTTCATTTAAATAAATTCTGAAAGCATCTACTGCTTAAGATTTCTTATGCAGTAAATAGATATAACCATAACAAATAGTCATCAATAAAGGTAATGAAGTACCTTTTTTTTAATGATGTAACATAAAAAGGTCCACGTATGTCAATGTGCACAATTTCAAGAAACAGACAATTTCTTACAACCCATTTTTTTTTTGTGTTTTGTTTGTTTTTCTTTTATATAATCCACACAAATATTTAGATCGATAAAATTTAGATGTGTAAGAATTTCATTCTTTATTAATCTTTCCATCATTTCTCTAAAAATATTATGACGCAAAGGAAATGAAACGTTCATTCACTAAACTACGTTTATGTCAACATTATGTTGTAAAGTTCCGACGTTTAAGTATACAAATCATCCAAATTCAATTTATATAAATCATCACAAAAAATACCACTACCAAATGAGATAATTATTCTTAAATAAACTTAAACATCCATTACCAAAATTAAAAGATTATCCAATAACATCAACTTTATATAAAGAAACCAAATTCCTAGAGAAACTATGTACATAAAGAGTTTGTAATGAATCTAAATAATGTATAGTTATTAAACGATAAGTCCTGATTGTTTCCATTAGAGCTTTCACTGTATTTTCCATGAAGACAAACTTTTCTTTTAGTTTTATGGTTTGGATCGTAAGGAATCCCTACATTGTATTATAAACATAATCGTACATCCAAAATTAATCCACCATGTATTATATGGAACTTCAGTTAGATTTGATTATATATATATATATATATATATATATATATATATATATATATATATAATTATTAAGTTTACCTTTCTTTTCGAACCAAACCTTACGTTTTGGACAATTTTTTTAGAAATATTTAGATTTCCCACAAGATGACAAGTTATTACCATTAAATGTTTACTCTGAATTTTCATAGATTCCTCATTAATATTATGGGAGCCCTTTTCCCTTATCATGTTTTTTCATAATTTTCTTTCAAACTCCCGAATTCCTTTGGTGGCTTAAATAATGAGTTGAGTGACTTCTATGATATTTAAACTTTATTTCTTCCCTGAACCAACAATTGTTCAATTAATGTATATTCCATTAATCTTTCATGTTATTATAGCTCATTCGAAATATGTCATACTCAAACAAGTAATGAGTTCATAATAAATTATACTAGGAAATTTTCATTTACAATCATTTTCAAGATCTAAGTCTTGCTACAATATTTGTTTATTTCAATAACTACTTTATTAATGTCTCAACAATAAATTTATCAATTGTCTTAGAACACTCTCTCATTAATTTCATAAACTCTTTAACACTTTTATTTTTGGAAAAAAGTTGTCTTAATATTATCGTGATGATCATTCTCGTAAACATTAAGATGATTTTGAAAGATCTTTCATGAGCTTAATAATGAATTTGTTGTTCATTGTTGGTAGAGTTAGTAATAACAAGAGACTTTTCTTCCAATCTAGCTCAATCAAGATCCATAACATTATGGTACAATTGAACTTATTCAAATTCATTAAAAACTATTATAAATGATACATGAGAATTCATTAAGTTGAAATAACAAAGTTTCTCGAGTCATAAAATACATGTTATATATATAATATTCAAACAATTAAAATATAGTGATGTTCTCCTTTAAGTGGTATACCAACACACAACATATAAACATAATGATGACAATAAAATTATAACATTAATGACAATTAAAATATATACCAATTAAAATCATCTAATACATTTGAATATATAAATAAAAATAAAAATACATATAATTATTTACAATTTAATTATAATAACAATCAATTATTATTCTTAAATGTCTTATAATAATAAATTTCAATAAACCCGTACACATAATTTAGCATCCCTTATTTTATGGGTAACATTAAAATTTTAGCCAATTTAATGACTAACAAAATTTATTATACAATTAATTTCAAATAAATGTGTTTTTTTATTGATATTAATCATATATAGTATTTTCGTTAATTTTATTTTACACATATACCACATCTATAATAAATAATTTATTATAATTTTGCAAAAAAAACATATAAACTTTAATTTTAATAAAGAAATATTTCAAACATCATAAAATTATTATCAATTATAAACGATAAAGATTTTTATATCAAAATATTCCTCAACATAGAGGCAGTTTGTTTGTGCTAATCTTATGGAAGGAAAGTTATTTGCATACACAATAATGAGAATTTTACATTTACAATAATGTGCAGGCACCACAATAATAATTACATAGGCCACAAGATAATCTTGCTATAAAAGTTTGTATTCCTTTGAATAGTTATTTCATTATATTATGAATTGAAACAAAAATAATTCATGCAATCCCAGAATAATTTTGAATGAAACTCAATAAAATTCTTAAACTTTCGACTTTTATAATAAGAATTTTATTAACAAAATTCCTAAATTTCATGATTAGGATTTTTAAAATTAGAGAAAATACAATTTAAAAATAACATCCTAAAAAAAAATCATACAATTTCACCATCATGCTATAATTCCACCTTTAAAGTCATAATGATTTTCTAATAATTACATAAAATAAAATCATAATAATTTTCTAATAATTATACAAAATAAAAAACCTTGATGATTCTAATTTTTTAATAGTATAAATTCTTGTGAGTATTTTTTTTATTACTACCTTTATAAATTAATTAAATAAAATTAGGATGCCAACAAGATTTTATTCCCTTAATTTTTTATTCTACGTTCACTCATTCTTTTACTATAGTGAACATTAACCCATTAAAAAAAAAGGACTAATTCCATCAAATAATAGTTATTATTAAAAATCGATCATATTTTACTTATTTACTATTTAACCCTTTATTATTTATTTATTTATTTTCTCTCTTAACTAGTCAGGTGTTCATCTGACACAAAACTTAGATTATCAATCAAAATGTACTTGATCTTGTTTGTATCTTAAAACTATATCAATCTGAAAACTAAGAGCTCGAAAGCACCTTGTACAAGGTACTTTGCAGTAATGACACGGAATCAATAGCAGATTTTGTAAGCCAGCTAATCCCCACTTTAAGCTTATGTTCATCTGTTGGTAACCTGATCAAATAAGCTATCTTTCTCGCTGCAAAAATAGAAAAACTCAAATCTCTTGATCACATTTAATAAGTACACACAGAAAGTTGCACGGGCCAACTTACCAGTATGACCGATAGATCCTTCTAAAGTCAACCCATCAACAAAACTCGGAGAAACAACAGCATCATTACTTCCCAGGGTCATCATCTCACCTAAATTCTGAAACCTGGCATCCCATTAGTAACAAATATTCGGTTAGCACTTAGCATTTCTACAATGGGGTTTACTTATATAAGTTATTGCAACAACAAATTATTGACCATTATATATTTATATATATACACACACGTGCGATATTTTAGTTATTTTAACATATTAAAAGTCAGTTAAATTAGAATGTCAATTTGAAATTTAAATAGCATTTATACAATATTACTCCAAATAGAGAACATATAATTTTTGCTTATTTCTTCTGAATTTAACATAATATCAACCTAAGTTATGATCCCAATACTTAGTCTATTTTTCCCTTACGTTTACTTAATTATTTCTTAGTCTAGAACACCCTTTTGTTCTATTTTTTCTTAGATTCATGTCGACAAATAAAGTATGTCATCTTACCAATTTGTCTTCTTGGCAAAAAGTGTTCTTCATGGGAGTTCCAATTTGATATATTTGTCAGGGACAAATATTTGTTGAATTATGTTGATTGTAGCACTTTGGCCCCAACAAAGACAACTATACAGGTGGATATATCAAGGGGGAAATCTATGATGCTTAAGTCATTGCATGGATTCTAAGTTTTTTTTTATCCACAAATTGTAGTGAGTTTGTCCCTATGGGACTGCAACAAAAATGTGGACTTGCTTGAAAAAAGTTTCTTCTTCGTCAATTCAAGCGTGAACAAGAAATGGTTACATTTGAACAAAATGGTCACCAAATCGTATTTTTATTCTCATTTCATGAATTTTTGGGTTGACTACACTAATATAGTGTATAAAACTTTGATATCTGATGATCTAATTCCAGCCCAAAAAGTTCATGAAATTATTAAAAGAGATTAGTTTCTCACGAAATTGCGATTTAACTTTGAAGGTATATGATCCAGTCACATGCATAGATACCCACCCTATATCATCATTGGAAACATGTCTCAATTGTTTGTTACATGAAGAACACAGTCTTCTTACGTAGTCCATTTTGACCCAAAAAGTTGTGCAAACTTGATACATATATATGGCTTAAAGGGAGCCAGTCGACAATGATATTTCAAACTATTTGAAGCCCGTTTCTCTCTTGGTTTTTCTCAGTCCAAATCATATTATTCATTGTCTGTAAAGAAAACTAATGAACCACTCAGTGTGATATTAATCTATGTCGATGATACTATGTTGACAAGAAATGATATCAATGTATTTTTTCTATAAATCTACTTTTGGATTCAAATGGTTCAAACTTAAACTCATTATAAATCATAATATATATATATATATATATATATATATATATATATATATATATATATATATATATATATATAACTTTAACTCAAATGAAAAAAAAGGTTAAATATCTAATCACTTAAGTTTAAATAGCCTAAGCAAAATACCAAATTATAAAATATTGTATCATTCCTAATAATTATATTTGTTGAAGTATTTATTAGATTAAGTGTATCTTGTTGGACATTTATGAGATTAGTTGTAGACCTACTTCCTAGAATGCATCTGTTTATCTTTTCTAGGATTAATCATGTCTCTCTATTAATTGTATCTCTGAATCTGTATTTTTATCTCCTATAAATAAGAGAACACAAGAAGATGATTGCAGGCTCTCAAAATCAGTTCTTTATTTTCTTTTTCTATTTCAAGTTGGTATCAGAGCGGGTTCATCCCGCTCTGCCTGTCTCTGTTTTTTTTCTGGCATTAATCGCTGTTCACCGCCGTCCACCGCCGTCCGCCGCCAGTGCTGTCTTCTCCGGCGCCTTTTTCCTCTCTGACACTTGGGTTTGGCTCGCCTCGAGGAGCGCGACCCAACCCCAGTGTTCGCTTCCTTTATCTCTGCCTCACGCGCCGCCACGCGCCACCCTCGTCCGTGGCTTCCTCCACGCGTGGGCCTCACGCGCCGCCCTCTCGGTGGCTGTTTTGCTCCAGGTCACCTCTATTCGGCTCGCCTCGTCGCCCTGGTGCCAGATCTGCACTTTGTTTTGTGTTCTCGGTCACAAAACGTGGTGGATCTGCGTTTTTCTCTCTGCCTCTCTCTGACAGCACGCTGGTCTTTTCGTGTTTCCTGTAAAATGTCAGGACCTGTGTCTGTATCTTTTTCTGGGACTCCGACTATAACCACAGAAAAATTAAATGGAAAAAATTATTTGTCTTGGACTTCCTCTGTTGAGCTCTGGTTTCTAGGTCAAGGAGTTCATGATCATCTAGAAGAAGATGGAAGTACTATACCAGCAGATCAGGCTCCTCAATGGAAGAAACTGGATTATCAACTTTGTGCACTATTATGGCAATTTGTTGAACCACATATTTTGAGCACTCTTCGAGCCTTCAAGACATGTAATTCTTTTTGGAAAAAGGCTCAAAATATCTTTGCTAACGATATTCAACGACTTTATGATTCTGCTAATAGACTAGCCTCCCTTAAGCAAGAGGATAATTCCATGATGTCCTTTGTTGTTGAAGCTCAGTCAGCTGTTGAAGAATTAAAAATATTCCTGGAGGCAGAATCATTAGAAGAAAGGAAGACGAAGCTGGATAAATTCTATATGGTAATGATTCGTAGGGCTATGAATCCAGAGTTTAATCATGTTAGAGACCAGATTCTAACTGGAGAAGAAGTTCCTTCTACGGAGAGTTTAATCACAAGGCTACTTCGTGTTCCTTCTATCAAAAGCAAAAACAGTCAGAAACTTGCTGATTCTTCCGCCATGATTTCTGCTCGTGGAAGAGGTAATTACAGCTCTAGAGGACGTGGTGGGAAAGGACGTCCTCAGTGCTCTCATTGCAAAAGAATGGGACATACTAAGGAAAATTGTTTTGCTCTGCACGACTTTCCTGATAAGGCAGCTAATACCTCAAAATCTGAAGTTGATGAGCCCAAGTTCTCTCATGAAGAGTATCAAGAATATTTAAGGATGAAATCAACCAATTTGGCTCAAGCATCTACAACATCAAATCCGTCAACCGCTTGCATTTCGCAATCTGTGGAAAGTCAAAATCTATGGATTATTGACTCAGGTGCTTCTGACCACATGTCTGGTAATACCTCTTTATTTTCCTCTCTTTCATTTCCTAAAACATCCCATCTCATATCTTTAGCTAATGGATCTAAAGTAGCCTCTAAAGAAATTGGTCAAGTATCCATCTCTTCTTCTTTAAACCTTCAAAATGTTCTTTGTGTTCCTTCTTTTCCATTCAGTCTTGTTTCTGTAAGTCAATTAACCAAATCATTGAATTGCTCAGTAACCTTTAATGCCAATTGTTTTGTTATCCAGGAACGTGGTACGGGTCGACTGATTAGAGAAGGACGTGAATCTGGAGGCTTATACTACCTTAGGACTAAGTCATCTGTATCTTGTGTTGCGTCCTTATCCCCAAAACTGTTACATGAGCGATTAGGGCATCCTCATTTAGCAAAATTGAAAAAAATGGTTCCTGAACTTTAGAACCTTCAAACTCTTGAATGTGAATCCTGTCAACTAGGGAAACATACCAGGTCATCCTTTCCAAATCATTCTGAATCTAGATGTGATTATGCTTTTAGTATTGTTCATTCAGATATATGGGGACCTAGTCGTGTTTCATCTTTTGGTTTTAGATATTTTGTTACTTTTATTGATGGGTTTTCTAGATGTACTTGGGTTTATCTTATGAAAGATCGTTCTGAACTATTGCCTATCTTTAAGTCTTTCCTTAATGAAATCAAAACTCAATTTGGAAAAGTAATCAAAGTTTTACGAAGTGATAATACCAAAGAGTACTTTTCTAATGATTTTTCTAATGTCCTAAATTCTCAAGGCATTTTACACCAGTCCACGTGTCCTCACACACCACAACAAAATGGTATAGCAGAACGAAAAAATAGACATTTGGTTGAAACTGCTCGTACCTTATTGTTGGGTGCCAATATGCCTATTCATCATTGGGGAGATGCTATTCTAACTGCATGCTTTCTCATTAATAGAATGTCATCTTCTTCTCTTGATAATAAAGTTCCACACTCTATTCTATTTTCAAAGGAACCAATTTTTCATGTTTCTCCTAGGGTATTTGGATGTATATGTTTTGTTCATGACATGTCTCCTGGCTTAGATAAACTCTTACCTAGAGCTATCAAATGTGTCTTCTTGGGGTATTCTCGTCTTCAAAAAGGATATCGGTGTTATTCTCCTGAAACCAAGAGGTACTACATGTCTGCTAATGTCACATTTTTTGAATCATCATCCTTCTTCCCTTATTCTATGCAGGATATTGATTTTGTCCAAAATGTGTTTCCTGTTCCCTTAGTTGAATCAGTTGTACCTCCTATTCCTGACACCCCAAATCCCAACCAAAATACTCTAGAATTAGCATCACAACCTATCATCACCTATCAACGCAGGAACCAGGTGAACAATCCCATTCCCCAAGATGAGCCATCCATAACAGGTCCTTCACCATCATCCTCTAATACCACGGCTCCTGATAACGATGACTCCAGTTGGCCCATTGCCATTCGCAAAGGTACTCGTTCTACTCGTAATCCTCATCCCATTTACAATTTTCTTAGTTATCATAGATTGTCTCCTTCCTATTGTTCTTTTATTTCCTCTGTCTCCTCTATTACAATTCCCAAAAATGTGGTCGAAGCGCTTGATCATCCTGGATGGCGACAAGCCATGATTTCTGAAATGCAGGCTCTTGATCACAGCAAAACATGAGAGCTTGTTCCTCTCCCTTCGGGAAAGAAAACAGTTGGTTGTCGTTGGATCTATGCTATTAAAGTTGGGCCCAATGGTCAGGTTGATCGTCTTAAAGCAAGGTTAGTGGCTAAAGGGTATTCTCAGATATATGGACTTGATTATTGTGATACTTTTTCTCCAGTAGCCAAAATGACCACTCGTCCGCTTGTTCCTTGCCATGACCGCCATTCGTCATTGGCCTCTTCATCAATTGGATATTAAAAATGCTTTTTTGCACGGTGACTTAGAAGAAGAAGTTTACATGGAGCAACCTCCTGGATTTGTTGCTCGGGGGAGTCTCGGTTTGGTTTGTAAATTACGTCGATCCCTCTATGGCCTAAAACAATCTCCACGTGCTTGGTTTGGAAAATTCAGCTCTATTGTTCAAGCTTTTGGATTAAAACGCAGTGAAGCAGATCATTCAATGTTTTATTGTCACACTGCCCCTGGCAAACATGTTTATTTAATTGTGTACGTTGATGATATTCTCATCACAGGGAATGATGCTGCTAAAATATCTCAGCTAAAAGAGCACTTGTGTAGTCATTTTCAGACCAAGGATCTTGGAAATCTAAAATATTTCTTGGGTATTGAAGTAGCTCAATCAAGAGAAAGTATTGTCATCTCTCAAAGGAAGTATGCTCTAGATATTCTAAAAGAGACAGGTATGATTGATTGCAAACCTGTGGACAGATCCTATGGATCCAAATTTGAAGTTAATGGCGGGACGAGGTAAAGTTTTCTCCGACCCGGAAAGATATAGAAGACTCGGTTGGGAAACTTATTTATTTGACGATTACTAGACCTGATTTGTCTTTTGCAGCTTGGTGTTGTCGACCAATTTATGCAAGCTCCTTGTGTGGATCATTGGAATGCTATCATTCGAATCTTAAGATACATTAAAAAAGCTCCAGGACAAGGATTATTATATGAAGATAAGGGAAATACCCAAATTTTTGGGTACTCGTGATGCTTGACTGGGCTGGATCTCCTATGGATAGGCGTTCCACTACAGGCTATTGTGTTTTCATTGGAGGAAATATCATTTCATGGAAAAGCAAAAAGCAAAACGTTGTTGCCCGATCCTCTGCTGAAGTCTGAATATAGGGCAATGACGTCTCTTACTTGTGAACTTGTTTGGGTAAAACAATTCTTGCAAGAATTGAACTTCGTGAGATTCAATCTATGAAGATGTATTGTGATAATCAAGTCTGCTCTTCACATTGCTTCCAACCCAAGTATTTCATGAGAGGACTAAGCATATTGAGATTGATCTGTCATTTTATTCGGGAGAAGTTGTTGACTAAAGAAATTTGTACTCGAGTTTGTTGGTTCTAATGAGCAACTTGCGAGATGCATTAACAAAATCTTTGAGAGGACCTCGAATGGAATTCATTTGTTCCAAGCTTGGTACATTCAATTTGTATGCTCCAGCTTGAGGGGGAGTGTTGAAGTATTTATTAGATTAAGTGTATCTTGTTGGACATTTATGAGATTAGTTGTAGACCTAGTTCCTAGAATGCATCTGTTTATCTTCTCTAGGATTAATCATGTCTCTCTATTAATTGTATCTCTGAATCTGTATTTTTATCTCCTATAAATAAGAGAACACAAGAAGATGATTGCAGGCTCTCAAAATCAGTTCTTTATTTCCTTTTTCTATTTCAAGTATATTTAACTTGGAAAATAAGACTGACTTTTATAAGATATACATCTAATCTTCATAAGATATATTAGTGAAAGTTTTTTAATTAATTAATAATAAAAATTATTTTACAAAGGATAATTCATCACCATTAGACTCATGAGTTCAACTTCCTATTTAAAGAAGTATATATATATATATTAATAAAAACATTCATATTCTTATGTCACCGAACCTGCTCCCTCCACCTAGCATGCACACCCTTCTTTTATCTTCCCCTTCCACACCCTTCTGTTCTCTCTTATTTTCATATTTGAAGCACAACACACCAGCGGGCAAGGTTCAGGTGTTGGGGGGCAAGGGTTAGGGTTTCTGAAAATGTGGGATGCGGGAAAGGTCCCAATGACAACGCCAATGCCATTCAGCAACATTCAAAGGTTCTACTGACGTTAGACTCGATTTAGACTAGCGAGTTTGAGTCAAGTGAACAAGTATAGATAAAACGCTCAAAACGAAACGTATAGGGGCCGTTTGATTCAGTCTCACAATTTTAGGTCTCACAATTTTAGGTCTCACGCATCCTTCGTTATGTTTGGTTCCCTTAATTTTTGTGCTACAATTTTGGCTTATGTAGTATATATCCTATATTGTCCTCTGGTTAGGTTTTCCCAGATTTCATTTGGTATTCCCTATTATGTTCACTTTAAAATAAAAATGCTATATATAGGATGTTACAAAAGAAAAAAAAATTAATATGTAATTATTGTTAATATTATACAAATTAGATAGCATATATGGCTTTTAATTATTTAATTGGTATTTTATACTTATATTTTAGTGTATATAATATGCACTTGTTTATTTTAGTGTTATAGAATTGATATCATGATATTTGTATTTTTTAATTAGTATTTTTTTTAGCATTTTCTTTTCCATTTTAAGTAATGAGTTCAGAAATTGAGTTCACTAGTCGAGTTTACATGTCTCTTACAAATCTAGGTAAACTCTCGAGTTTCACAACCTTAATCACTGGCCAATCTCCTTAGATGGTTTGAAGCTATCCACTAAATTACTAACAAGAATTCTTACTCCAGCATACATGGTCTAATGTTATGGTTTGATGTCATTGACGGAGCTATTTCCTAGAGTTTGAGTCCTACATTCATGGATTTAATGATGTTAACATCCAAAGAAGTTGCACAACAATATTCTTAGGATTAAATTATTTATAACTTACAAGTGATCATTTTAGATAAAGTTAAACATTGAAGTTAGTTGTAACAAACCCAAATGAGCAATTATTCTATTAAACTAATTGCATTGTAAATAAACATTTCCGAAGCATTTTAAAGAGTGTGACAAAAATACATTTTTTAAGCATCAAATGAGAGAGCTTTCGAAATTTTTTTGAAAAGCAACAAGTGTAGTAGTTCAAGTTTATTATCTAAGACTAAATCCTTTCTCTTTGGAAAAAGATTGATCATTACAGTTTATCATCAGTTAATTCTTTAATGTATTTTGCTTATGAAGTTTGTTAGGTAATTTTATTTCTTTTCCTTATTATTGTCTTGTATGTGTATCAACTAGCTGGTGATAACAGGGCTAGATTGGCTAAGGAAGCTAATGTTGCCTTGTGATAGGGTTTCACGAGAGACCATGTTGATGTTGTAGGGTTTCAAGATTTGAATGCATGTTTTCTTTCTTGTTTATATGGTAGAGTTTTTGTATTAAAATTGAAAGATTAGTGAATTGGCTTAGTTTGTATAATTGAGCAACTGGATGTGGTTTTCTTAAAAAAGCGAAACAAAATAAATTGTGTTATTCTTCTTCCCTTATCTTGTACTTTTCTACACAATCTATATTATTGATAATCACCGCTTTTGTTAACTGTTGATATATATCCAATCATTTGTGATGTCTAGATGCAACGAAAATTATTCATCAATATTAAAAAATCTTTCTAAGTTTAACTCACCTCTACCCCCTCAAACTCAGTAATTAAATCTCAACATTGCACACTCTAATTAGGCATATTGTCTTCATAGTAGGCATTTTTTGATTGGATATTGTGTTCTTCTTGTATCATCTTTGATATCTTGGATGTCAAATAAACAATCCATTGTTTCTCACTCTTCTTTGGATGCAAAGTACAAGGCACTTGCAGCCCTCACTATGATTATAGATCTATTATTTACATAAATCGCAATCCTACATTTGACCAAAGGACTAAAGACATAGAAATAGATTATCATGTTGATGGAAAAAATTGTAAGTATGATTGATACAATTTCTACCAATTTCTTCTTCTGGATAGCTAGCTGACATCTTCATCAAAACATGAATTCACATCTTTTTCATACAAACATCAGCAATATGGGGCCTGCTTGACATGATGACTCAAACTTGAATAGGATCTTACAATTATACATTTTTTTTAACAGTTGCGTAGGCTTGCTATCGTGATTTGGTGTCTCATTCCTATTGACTCTACGGATCATGGGATGTTTTTTTCCTGCTGTCCTTTTTCTTTTTCTGTTAAGATATCTTTGACTGATTTGACAAAGACTTTGTGAACCCTTCTTGAATATACACCTCTGATTATTCAATGAGAAAGTAAGACAAATCATAAAGATAACCATAAAAACAAGGTCTTCACGACTACTCTCCGTTGCTAAGGACCACCCCCTTACCCACTCGGACTTTCCTCGTCTAACAGAGGAATAGGTTTATGCTTTCAAAAATTAATATTTTTTATTCATAAGCACCGGTTGCTTATATAAATACCAGTGCTTAATTTTAAGCAACTTTGTATGTCATCTCTACATCTCCATTGGAAGTTATTGTAAGAAAAGTTCTTAAAAATAAGAACCATGCGATGGAGTTGCTCTTGGGAATGTGTAGTTATATAACTATTAAATAAACTGAATGCAAAAGCAAGTACCTAAATGGCAAAAGTGGACGCCCATTGATTGCAGCCCATAGATTCCAACCAGTGAAGTCTGCTTGCTGAAATGCAACCTACAAGGCAACGGGACACAACAAGAAAATAAAGATGATAGTATACTCAATTTTAAAAGTCATATTATCATCATATAGGATTTCAAGCAGTAATTACACCTGTGCAGTGGCTGGAAGGATCCTTCCACTTGAATCCCTTAATGCAGAAGAGTCGCCAAGGGCAAATATCCGGGGATGACCCTTAACACGGAGTGTTTCATCTGTTTCAGCTTGTCCTCGAGCATTAAGTGGAATAACAAACGGTACATCTGACGGTTCTAGCTGAGGAAGAGGAGGTTTGGTCCCAACAGTCCACAACACCAGATCTGCTTCGATGATTTTACTTTGCGTTCCCCTTTCAGCAGGTTGTAGCTCCAATATATATCTCTCAAAAGCAGGTGCTGCTACTTCAATACTATTTTCATCTACCCCTGTCACGGTATGTGAAGATTCCAATTGACCAAAACTCCGGATACAGCGGACAAAATAACCCAATAAAAGTTCGACTTTCCTTGATGAAAGAACCTAGCATGCATAGAAACAATGTTTCCTTTCAGAAACCATTAGCATTGCTTGCAATAATATAGGTAATGAACAAAGGCTAGAGAAATACAATTGAATGGAAATGCAAACACTAAAACAGCCTTATTTGAGAATATTGAAGGCGGGACTTTAAGTATTTCATCATATGGCACCCATGTAGCATTTAATTATGGTTAATGCTTTTACGGTTTCAGTAAATCTATTGGGAAATGAGTGTTATCTAGTGAAGTTACGTGGACAGAAATTTTATAATTTCAAATTGCTCATCATTTCTTCTTCAGAATATTTTAGGCAACCAATTAGGTTATATTACTAAGCAGCTCTCTATATGTTTTGAGAAAATTTTTAAAAAAGTACCTTTTAGTCTGAAATTTGTAGGAGTACTTAAAGCGTCAAAAGAAACTAAGAGAAAATTTAGAAATATTCACTTACAAATTGCAAGTTATAGGGACCAATTTGAATATATATATACACACACACACACACACACACACACACATAGGAGGGATCTTCATCATTTAATTTTTTGGTAATCTAATAATCCAAAATCCTGGTCATCTTAATCATTACATTAAAAAAAAAGAATGGTGAGAATGAAGTCTCTAACTCTTATATTAAGAGTAAGTGGATCCCCTCTCATGTATATATATAAAATCACTAACATGTTTACATATGCATCATTAAACCTGCAAAGAAACTAGTTTCAATTAGTTGTCTGTCTCCAACGAAAGATAGACGCAACACAAGTAATCTAAACGAGGATCTTCTTACCTTATATTATAACAAGTGATACATTTATTTAAGCAAGGATCATCTTTCCCACATATATAATTAATTGGGTTGGATTACACTCTTCAATCCAAGCAATAAATGATCACTTTTAAATTTAAGCATATAGATTTTGACAATTTATATTTTATTTAACACTTAAAATATAACACTTGAGAGCTCTGAATATCTGCCTTAACTCCATCATTAACACGAAACAAGGAAAGAAAAAATTGAACAGAGAGTGTATCTCTCTGTCTTCCTATAGAAGGAATTAAAAAAGTCAACATCTTAGTGGACTATCACCGAAATGCATATGATTTTCTGACATGTACAAAACAAATATCCAAGTTTCAACAAGCACAGAATACAAAACCTAAAAACTTACTTTTAGTGCAGCTTCCCTATTTCCTGGTGTGGCATTTGGGCAAATCATAGTTTCAACATTAATTGCTCTCACAATTCCTCTGTTTTGTAATCGCTCTGCTACTGTTGCAGCCAATTCAACTCCCGAGTAACCACAGCCAACAACAGCCACACTAATTTGAAAGTCCTTTCCAAAGGTCTTTCTCTCTAATGTTGTTAATTTATCTTTGACTTTCTGCGAGAAGAGACCCGGACATAAAATCAATGAAATGCAAACAACGCAAGAAAAGGGGTTTATTTCTAAGATATTAAATAATAGATCCACCCTATCATGCACTCACCCGTGCATCTTCTAGCGTTGAGAAAGGAATTGCAAATTCTGCTGCTCCTGGTACAACATCCAGTTTAGCTTCAGCTCCCAATGCAAGAACCAGCCTGGCTGTCCAGTGTGAAGAAATGAAAAGGTTATCAACAGAAATGCTGCAATTATATTTGACATAAAAATATAAATGTGTTTCCATTTCATTTAACAATAAGCAAATTCATTTTTCTTTTACAGATGCTTTAGGTACACAAACGAACACTGCAGCTAACAACATGAAGGAATCCTACCCAAACATATATACATGTAATAGGCTACCCATCGATAATTACAAATTGAGGAAACTAGTTCAATATGCGGGAACACAGAGACAGAGAAAAACATATCATGTGTTAAGCATGTATAAAAAATAATTATTTGCTGCTAGGAAACACTGAGGTACTTAAACAGTGCAGATTGTACCAGTCATATTCAATAAGAAGGCCGCTTTCAAGATGAACAGTTCCTCCACATCTAGATGCTTTGGATACATTCATTCCCCAATGATCAGAGGGATACAAAACTTTTACTCTGTCTTTGAAAAACTGCACACTAGTGTTAGCCAGCAAATCCAAGAAACGAGGAGCTATTTGCCATTCGTCCACTTCTACATGTCATAATGTAATGTGATTCTATTGAATCATTTTTCAATAAAGAAGAAAACTTCAACTGTTACTCAGGTTTAATAATGCATACCTCCAGATAGAAGCTCATACAACATTGGCTTGAAAACAAAACGTTCAGATTGATCAACAAGAATAATCTGCTCCATATTTGATAAAGAATTTATCTTATAAAAACATCACTAGTAAACAAAAAGCGTACATAAAGACCTAACAATTAAATCACCAAGCATACATATAAGATGTCATAATCATAGTTCTATGCGAAGAGCATAATTTCTAATCAAACAATCATTTGCAAATGTTAAAGATACCGCTGAGCTTCTTTTTTAGGTCGGGTTCAGACAATGACAATTTAAAAATTAAAAAAAATCGTACCCAATCATTTAAATCCATTTTAACCCAATTTGTTTACCAACTAAACTCGTTAGTCCACTCAAACCCACTTATTTCTAATTTTTTTTTAATTAGATTATTAGGGTTGTGGGTCGGATTTAACTTGTTGAAATGCAAGGATACGATGTCTAAAGATTTTGATGATGATACAAGAACAAAAGACTTCAAGATTAAAATTAGAGTTCAAAATAGTCAGCATTTAGTTTGTACACAAAAATTTTATTTTTTTATCAAAACCGCACTGTGATAATCGATTATCCTGATAACTCTTGGATTTATGAAATTGTTTCTGGAATAATCGATTATCCTGGACAACTTTGGTTTTCTGATAAAAGCTTTTGTGATAATCAATTATCTCTAAGGAGAATCGATTATCTAAGGTAGTTATGAATTTGAAATTCGAATTTTAACCTAATTTTTGAAAATTCTATTTAAAGGAACTCTCATGCTCTCAAAAACTATAAGACAACCTTTTTGATACTCAGAAAGTTAAGAGTTGTGTTTGCCGAGAGAACTTTGAGTAGTAAGCAAAAAGGGGCTTTAAAAACCTAGTGTGGGCAAAAGGCGATAAGAATTACTGAGTGAGATTCTCAGTGGATTGAGTGTTGTGTTGTCTCTAGGAAAACTGTCTTCATCCTTTGTAGGTTCAAAGGAGGTGTTCATCTCTTGTGTGCTCAAGAGAGGTGTTTTCTAATCATTTCTATTTGTAATCTATTTATCTGATTGAATCATTATTTTAGTGACTGAGTTAATCCTCTTTTAGAGTGATTAACAACTGAACGTAGGGTCTTTTAATTTGAACCAGTATAAAATACTTGTGTGATATCTTTTCTCTTACCTCTTTACTTTCCAAGTGCTCTATTATATTAAAAGAAAGAATCAATACATTTTAATTGGTAAAATCTTGCGAATTTTCTTTAAAGAGCCAATTCTTATAAGACATCAATTCACCCCCCTCTTGATTTTTGTCTTAATGTGAACATTCTGCTTAATGTGAACATTCTGCTGGGCGAAATCAACAAGTGGTATTAGAGTTTGCTTTGATAGTTTTTCAAAATTTTAGAAAATGACCGGACAAAATCAAACATTTGCTGAGGGTGTCTCTATTAATAGACCTTCACTTTTCGCTAGTCAAAATTATCCTTTCTGGAAAGTTAGGATGCAAATATTTTTGGAGTCTGTTGACAGAGGTGTTTGGGAAGCTATCCTAAATGACCCCTTTATTCCTAAAATAACTGTTAATGAAGTAGAGGAACCAAAACCCTTTTTTCGATGGACTGCAGAGGAGAGTAGAAAGGCTCAATATGATGTTAGGGCTAGAAATATAATTTCATCTGTTTTGACCCTTGATGAGTTCTACAGAATCTCATTGTGCAAAAGTGCTTAGGAGATGTGGGAAGTACTGAGAGTGACTCACGAAGGAACAAATGATGTAAAAAGAGCAAGAAAAAACTCTCTAATACAAGAGTATGAAATGTTCTGGATGCAACAAGAAGAAATGATTTTTGATGTCCAAAAGCGTTTCACACACATAGTCAAAACCATCTCTCTGGGCTTGGTAAGAACTTTGACACTGATGAATTAAATGTTAAAATACTAAAATCTTTGGACAGGAAATGATTTGGTAAGAGTCTTTTACTCACGACTCAAATTTAGGGACAATATCGCTACGTCCAGAGTTAAAGGCATAACCATCATCCTTGATGATGATATCTAAGAGAATATGGCTAAATTTCCTCTCCGGGAAGACTCCATTAATGTGCTAATGGATTTGGACAACTTCGACAAGATTATGACTTACCGCTCCTTCCTTCACAATCCGGCACTGCAAATTGGGAAACAACTTCTTATAGGTCCATTAAAGAAACATGAACGACTTATACTTCATCTTATTGTTTGGATCTTCTGTCTCCATGCCACCAATCATGCTCAATGCTCTGCTACAGATCTTCGAATCATCCATGTAATTATAAACAATGAGCCGATTGATTGGCCTAGTCTGATCCTATCCACTATGCTCAAAACCGTTCGTCATCTCACCTTCAGAATTTCCTATGCTCTCCTTGTCTCCCGAATTCTTGAATATAAAGGAGTAAATCTTGAAGGAGAACAAGTGTTCCACATGTTGAACTCCAACAGAATGCTTGATAGTACACTCTCTCAAATGCAATTGGTCAATGTTGATGGACATTATGTTCATAAGGATGATGCTCCATGTCCAATTGTTAATGAAAATGTTGAGATGGTTGCTGCTAATACTAAACCCTCTCCTGTCAGAGGAAGCTCATCTGGAGCCATAATGAAGCTCACTCCTCCCTTGGAGATCTTGTTCTAAACATGAACCAAAGGATGCAGAACTTCTTCACCATCTCTGAAAATAGGCATCATGAGATTGTGAATCTCATTCCGGATGTGGACTCTCGTGTGACGTCTCTTGAACACAAATTTGACATGGAATTTGGCTATGATTCTCTTAGCGATGAATTTTAGAACCCTTGTTATCATAGGTTTAGCTATTTTCCAATCTATGTTGCGAAATGTTTTGTTAACTTGATTAAATTAATATTCACAATTGATTTCTTGAGGGGGAGTTTCTGTTTATGTTTACAGCTTATTTTTTTGTTTATGATCAAAAAGGGGGAGAAAATATTTTAAAGCCTAGTATGTTTAATATCTTTTCTATGATAATTGTGACTAAAAACAGGTCATTTCAAAGAGGTCTTAAAGCAAATTTTGATCATCATCAAAAAGGGGGAGATTGTTGAAAATGCAAGGATATGATATTTAAAGATTTTGATGATGATACAATAACAAAGGACTTCAAGATTAGAAGACTCATACACATTTGTAATCGTTTGTAATAACTCTATTTAGTCAACTTGAGTCTGTAAAATTAGAGTCCAAAATAGTTAGGATTTAGTTTGTCTACAAAAGTTTCAATTTTTTTATCAAAATCACACTGTGATAATCGATTATCACTCAGGATAATCGATTATCTTAATAACTCTTGGATTTCTGAAATTGTTTCTGGAATAATCGATTATCACTCAGGATAATCGATTATCCTGGACAACTTTGATTTTCTGATAAAAGCTTCTATGATAATCAATTATCTCTAAGAATAATCGATTATCTATGACAGTTATGAATTTGAAATTCGAATTTTAACCAAATTTTTGAAAACTCCATTTAAAGAAACTCTCATGCTTTCTAAAAATATAAGACAGTCTTTTTGATACTAAGAAAGTTAAGAGTTGTGTTTGCTAAAAGAACTTTGTGTAGTAAGCAAAAAGGGGCTTTGAAAAATCTAGTGTGGGCAAAAGGCGATAAGAATTACTGAGTAGGATTCTCAGTGGATTGAGTGTTGTGCTGTCTCTAGGAAAGTTGTCTTCATCCTTTGTGGGTTTAAAGGAGGTGTTCATCTCTTGTGTGCTCAAGAGAAGTGTTTTCTAATTCATTCTATTTGTAATCTGTTTATCTGATTGAGTCATTATTTTAGTGACTGGGTTAATCCTCTTTTAGAGTGATTAACAACTGGACGTAGGGTCTTTTGATCTGAACCAGTATAAAATACTTGTGTGATCTCTTTTCTCTTACCTTTTTACTTTTCAAGTGCTCTATTATATTAAAAGAAAGAATCAATACCTTTTAATCGGTAAAATCTTACGAATTTTCTTTAAAGAGTCAATTCTTATAAGAAACCAATTCACCCTTCCTCTTGGTTTTTGTCTTAAGGTGAACATTCTGCTATGCAAAATCAACATAACTCTATGCTCAAGCCTACTTAATACCACAACTCTTGATGATGAATATCCAAGTTAGCCCCTTGCTCTCTATAAAAGTACACATTCTACTCGTAATCTACATCCTTTTTTCAATATTCCTAGCTACATACTTTATCTCCCTCCTACTTTTCTTTTATATCCTATGTGTTTCCAATTACAATTTGTAAAAATATGAATGAAGTATTTGATCATCATGGAAGGTAAAAAGTTATGATTGTTAAGATATAGACTCTTGAACATAATTAGGCATTCTTATCATAATGAATGATTATTTAACAAGGGGATTCATTGCAAATACTAGCTTGACTCATTATTGTCAGGATAATGGTCTACTTCATATACATCGCGCAACCCATGTAGTTATCAACAAACAAAAGAATCATGGTATGCACTTTCAAGTACTAGCTAAAGCATTACATTGTAGTTCCACTTCCACTTTTTTCTCTTATAAGTAGAATCTTGAAAAATGTTTCAAAAAATATGAAACTCTAACCAAAGACCTATAAGTAGAGTATGAGATTAAGACTCATCAGTGTAGCTTAATTTTATTATGGAATATTCCTTGACATGTAAGCATTCAACCCTAACTGCATTTCGGTTAAATGTTGCAACACAAGAAGAGACCATTCCTTCAAATTTGGGAAATACATTGGCACATAGTGAGCTACTTCTTATTTAAAGGATCAAGCAATACCTTCAAAAATGACTTGAGTAGGAAACAAATATGCAAAATGTTGAATAAAAAAGAACAAAAATACCCGTGGTAACTTGCATTTATATGTCCATTGCATAAAAAATAAACACGGATACTGACAATACTTGAACAAGCCATCTCAGAGTTTTAATGCCTTTCAAACCAAACTTGTATGTGACATGAAATGAAATTCCACAAGAGAGAGTGATTTGAAGACCACTTACCTGTGGTTTGTTATCATCAGGCCACTCCAATGATTCCAACCTTAAAGCAGTATACAAGCCACCAAATCCACCGCCTAATATGCACACCCTGGGTTTCTGCAATCAGATAATTAATTTTCATGTCAATTTAACCACGAAATTTCTAAACGCAGGTTCCCCAGGCTAATTACGCATACAATAGATACGATTTCCAATAGAGGAAAGTAACACTTCGAAACCTTGTTATCAGGCCACGCAAAATTCGTAGGCTCTTTTTCGGCTTCAGATATCTCCTTCGCAATGCCTCCATTGCCGCCATTTTTTCCCGAGGCGAAAAACCGCAATTGCAACCGTTTCCTGGGAGAGTTTGAGAACAACGAAGAACCGATTCCCCTGCTTCTTGGAAATAGCGCGCTCCATTGCTTCGCTCCGCCTGAAACCGCAAAAGAGAATGCTAGTGCATTGATAGTAATTAAAAGTACAAAACAAAACTCCAATAATTTTCCCTCAGTTTTCTGGGATTCCAAACAAGAAGTGATGTGTGTGAGATGATAATTGATAGAGGAAGAAGAGAACATACGGTGAAAAGCAACGACAGTAGGAGAGACCGGTGCAGCTAACGCAACGAGTGACATTCTAATCTGCGAAGCGAAAAGCACATACAACGAAATTCAGATTGAGTCACTGAAATTGGCTTGGGTTTGGTTTCATGGCCAAAGAGAGAAGAAAGAGTGGAAACCAATAGAATGGAAAGTAGAAAAAATGAGGCAAACCTTGCTCACAAGCTTTGCGGCTGTCTTGCTTCCACCGTTTCTCCATCTGTCTTTTTTTATTTAATTTTTTTTTTTTTACCTCATCTGTAGTCCCTATTATATGTTGGGAAGTTAAATTTAAAATAAGTGTTTTTTAAATAATAATTCTTTAAAAATAATAATTCTTTTAAAAATCACTTTTTTTTAAATACATACATATATATATATATATATATATATAACGATACGAGTTTGTTTGTGTTGCTTTTTTAATTTAATAAAATAAACATATTTTTATTCTTTTGAATTAAGTGATTATTTTAATTATTTATTTCAAAAATGGTTATTTAAAGTTTAATCAAATTAATTTAAGATTTATTTCTTAAAATAAATAAATAAATACACGTTTTAAAATAAGCGGAAAATATATAAAAAATTCTAAAATTGTTTGATTTATTAATAAAACGTTAAAAAAATAAGCACAATAAAAATCTATTTTTATTGAAATTCGGAATATAAATTTTACAAATTTCCAGTGAGAAATGATAACTATATCCATTTTATCATTTGACGATAATGGCGTGGAGAATAAATTTCAAAATAATTCACTAATAATATGTTTAACCATGTTCCTGTGTTTCTAATTTTAGTCTTTTTTTAGTAGGAGTTAAATGCTAAAATTATTATGGCAATATTTTAAAAAATAAAGCCTTTAAAAAAATCTCTTCTCTGTTCCTCAAACGAATCATTTTGAAAGTTCCACCTTAGTTAAATGGTCTGAGTCCATCGATTTTTTTAAGTTTGGTTAATTCTTAATCAATTTTTGTTAATTATAATTATTATATAAAGAGTGAATATTATGCTAATTATAAATTATTGTTCATTTTTCAAATACTAATGTTAAATAAAATAAGGAATATCATTAAAAAAATCATTATGTTAAAAATGGATAGACACTAAATGATATTCTTATAATGAGAAAAGTTTTTACAACAAAAACTAATTAACAAATAAGAAAAGACATAAAAAGAAAAAAATTATGATGAAATTATCCAGCATTTGTGTGCTCACGTTGAACCATTATATTATTTGTTTTTCTATATAATTATTTTTCTATCCAAAATTAACATTTTTTTTTAGAATATCTTAATCATTTAATACTAAACATAACAACTAAATTAATTAAAATAAAAATCCATTTAAATTTATCAAATATAATAGTTCAGAATTTAATATCAATATTATCCAAATTAAATTAATGATTATAAATTTAATGTAATTTAAATCTAAATTTAACAAAAAAACAAATAAAATTGTATGCTACTTCGTTGTATTGGCTTACTTAAACAAATCTTTTCATTGTTAAATATGTGATTCTTTGTTGTTTAAGAGAAAACTTGACTTTATTTAACCAAATTGGAATGTTTCCCAAAATTTCTCTTTATTGACCTTTGGTAAGTCAACATTTTACTATTAGATTATTTATTTTAATGTAATATTAAATAATGAATTTATAGAATAATTTTAATGTGAATATTTTAATGTAATAATACTGTTATTTTTTTCTCTAATCATTTGTATTATCATGTGGACAGCCTAGAGACAGAAAATAAATATTATGGATACTATTTATATTATAAAAAATAAAAAAGAAAAGAAAAATATCAATCATTAATAAAATATTTTAAATTAATCTAAATAAGTTCTTAAATCCTTCTCTGTAAATCTTTTTAAACTGTAAAGCAACACCCTTAAAACAAATAAATAATTTACTTTCAAAATAAACGTTTAAAAAAATCAATTTATTTAACTTTTTAGACAAATACGGTCTTAAACCATAAAAGACAATGTTCAATAATATTTGTTTACAACGGAATTATCATGGTTACACCTTATTTTCAACTAATTTATTTATTACTAGTATTTAAAACAAAACAATGTAAAGAATAATGGCATAAAATGGAGTAAAAGTTGTTAAAAACAAAAATCAACAATTCATCGTCTATTTGTGTTAATTAGACATGATAAAAAAATCAATAAAAAGGCAAAGCATATAAAAAAAATAAAAGTGTGCGCTACAGTTTAAAAACATCTCTCAAACATACAAAATGCATTTTTTTTAAATGCAATGGCTTTAAAAAATCTATGTTGTAAGCACCACCAATTATCCACTGCAATAATACAGTGATTTTTTTTATAAAAAGATGAAAATTTTAGGATTAATATGGGATAAGCTATTAGAGAAATATATATTAATTTAGTGTTTATCATTTAAAACGAACAAACACATATAACGAATGAATTAAAAATATTTATAACTTACATTTTATTTTAGTTGTAAAAACAATAGTTTCCAATGTTTCATGTTCTTATCAACAAACTCTATAATTTGTGTGATTTTAAATTGAAAAAAAAAAAAAAGACAATATGCTTTGAAAAGTATTTTGTTAACAAATGCATCTCATTCCTATTCTTCTGTTTATTTTGTTTTCAACTTTTATTAACATTAGTAAAAAAATAAAACCCTATTAATTACTATTTAAAAAGTTATAGTTATCATCAATTAAGAAATAACCTTAATTATACATTAAAAAAAGAATTTAATTGATGTCAACTTAAAAACAGGCTAGACTAATACTAACTGTAAGTAAACATAACTGATTTCAAATAATAGTAGTAAAAGGCCGTGCCAACAATATGTTGTTCAATATAAAATCAGCAATAAAGTCAATTGAAATTTAATCAACAATGTTGGATTAAATTGAAAAAAAAATTCACAAAGAAGAGAAGTGTTATAGTGTTAAAAGTATAATATGAATAATTTAAAATTATGATAGTTTTTTACACTGATATGAATAATTTAAACAATCTAATTACACTGATAGTTTTTTAGAATTTTAATTTTCATCCAAACAATTTAAGCAATTTCAATTTCTCACAAGAAAAATTGATTTTACATTAAAAATACCATTTTTGTAAAAAAGTCAAATTGAATTAAAATTTATCAGCAAGAATGTAATTATTAAATTCCCTTGAAAAATTAATTGTATCTCATTAATGCTTTTAATATTAATGAAATATTGTCATAAATAAATATTAATGAAATATTAAACATTAAGGAAGTATGTAATTTTTAATCTTATAATAAATAATAAATGAAATGTTAAATAATATATAAAAAGTATTAAATATTTATTTTTCTCATAATAAATGAAATATTAAATAATAAATATAATAAACATTAAATGTTTTTTTTTATAACTTACAACAAAAAAATAAATAAATACTTTCTTTAAAAAAACCATTTCATCTTTGAGGTTCCCCTATCCCCTTGCGATCGAACGATAGTCTTCTTCGTCGTCATGGGAGACGGAAGTGGGAGCCGGTGGAGCAGGGCGGAGTGGGTGCAGCAGTACGATCTGTTAGGTAAAATCGGTGAAGGGACTTACGGCCTGGTTTTTCTTGCCAGAACCAAACCCCCCTCTCCCTCCAAATCCATCGCCATCAAGAAGTTCAAGCAGTCCAAGGACGGCGATGGCGTCTCCCCCACCGCCATCCGGGAAATCATGGTAACCTTTCTTCCCGTTCCCTTCACTGTCACTTTCAATTTCAATTTTAATTTCCTTTCACTCCTCTTTTCTGGCAGTTGCTCAGGGAGATTACGCACGAGAACGTCGTGAAGCTCGTCAATGTCCACATCAACCACGCCGATATGTCGCTTTACCTGGCCTTCGATTACGCGGAGCACGATCTCTACGTCGGTATTCAGTTCCTTTGAGGGTACGTTTAGCGTTTTTTATTGAGTGTGAAATAATAAATTGTGGTGTCAAATGTCGCAGGAAATTATAAGGCATCACAGGGACAAACTCAACCATTCTATTAATCAATACACTGTTAAGTCTTTGCTCTGGCAGTTGCTCAATGGATTAAGTTATCTGCACAGGTCTGAATTACTGAATTTAAAAACATCAATGTTGTTCTTTCTTTCTTTCTTTCTTTCTTTCTTTATTTTGTGTTTCTTTTGTACATAGACTTAGTATTTTGTGTTTTTCTGATGTAGTAATTGGATGATACATCGAGATTTGAAGCCATCAAATATATTGGTATGGTTTTGGCCACTTCATGGCTGTACACTGACTACTTCTTTTACTGCAATCTATGTGTAGTTTTTGTATTTCAAATTAAGAACATTGTTTCTCTAGTTTTGATTAGTGCTGTTGGTATTTTAGTTAAATGAACATTCTTTGGTCAGGTTATGGGTGAAGGAGAGGAACATGGAGTTGTTAAGATTGCTGATTTTGGACTTGCAAGGATATATCAAGCTCCTCTGAAGCCACTATCTGATAATGGGGTATGATTCGGGCTATGTCTAGAAATGTAGGGCCCTTTAGTAAAATTTTATATTTGAGGCCTGGTTTAGTTTAATATAATTCATAATTTTGGTATTTTATTTTTCTATCTTTTTGAGCTGCAAAATTATTAGTCAAAGTGTTGTATGGTCAAATACATTTAATATATTTTGCAATGTAATTAATCTCAGATAGGATTTAATCAACTTTGGTTTCTGATTTTACAAGAACCCCACCATTTTAGTTCCTTTGTAAAATGTCATTTTCTCTAGTCCTTTTCCACCATAAAACCCTCATCCAAAATTTATAATGTCGCGAATCAAATATAAAAATAGGTACATATTCTAAATATTGTTCTAATTGGTTCTCAACAGAAGAAATAAATTAATATAATATGTGTATATAAAAAAACCAAAATTGAAAGAAACTCCTGTTGAATTTGAATGTATGATTTGCTGCACTTATCACTAAAATTATTTTTTTAAATTAATAATTTCATTGAAGACTTAAATGATTGCTGACCTTAGACAACTGCCAGTTTGGTCAAAACTAAAGGCCTCATATGGTCCGGGTATGTGAGCACTGTCAGATAACCCACAAATATATAGTCTCACATTCGCGAGATGTCTAGTTCTCGACATGAGGGATGCGTTGAGGTATAACCAAATTATAGGATATAATTAAATGCAAATCTCATCTTATAAGTTAATTTTGTAATATTGAATTAAGGCAGATCGACTTTCCAATAACATACTGAACAATAGTTAGTTAGTATAACTGTTTTAGTTTGACAGTTATACCATATTTTAGCTATTTGTAGTATAAAAGAATTCTTGTAAACAGAAGTCAGTGCACTATTTTCTTAATTCAATAATACAAAGTTTTCTTTTCTCTGAACAGGGTATGATCATTTGGTGCATTTTTCATTTTCATCCACATGTATTATATCTGTCATTTCATTGGTATATTTAAGAAATCTTTATCTGTATCTGCATGTGCACGTACACACATGCCTGATATTCTTAGGATTTAAGAATCCAAAGTCTGGCTAAGTATATAATGTAGGCAGGAAATCATTAATTAAAGGTGATACTACCCCACTGTACAGCAGAATGATGGATATGTTGGTTTCAAGTTTACGTTCTTGCACTACCTAGTGCGTGTTGGAATTGCTGTTATGAGATAAGAAAAAAGGGAGTTCATACTTTCATAGGCAGAAAACAGAGAGGGAAGACTTTTTACAAACGGTGAAGACCTTTTTGTTGGGTGAATGTCGGTTTGTGTTAGGTCCAACATTTTATAAACACACCCTTAGTGTGTTGTCATTCTCTTGTACTTGGATTCCTTACAAATGGGTTGCTTATACATGGATTGTCTGTTCTCTTCTGTTGTCCTCAATTATCAGCTTGTCATGCGTTTTGATTATCTGGTTTCCTGATTATGAGAGATACTGGCATGCAGGTTGTTGTAACCATTTGGTATCGTGCACCTGAGTTGCTTCTTGGAGCAAAACATTATACAAGTGCTGTTGGTATCCCTTTGTTGAAGTTTTCTTTCTTTTAAGTGTTGGGTATCACGTTGTACTTTTTTTCCACATATTTTCCAGTCAAGGAATTTCTGTGCTGTGTGGCGTAATTAACTTCAGTTGCATATTTTGTAGTTATCTCTAGTTTTACTTGAGACACATGCTTCAGTGAGTTATGATTTCACGGAATTGGTTATTTCCTCGAGATTGACATAATATTTACATTTTAATTTATCTATGTGGGTGTTGGGGGAAGCTTACCACTATGGTACACATAATCTATAGTTAAACTTCTCCATAGTATATAGTAACTGTAACTGAACGTGTCTGTAGCATTTTTCCTTGGGGGAAATAATGGTCCAGTACTCCAGTCATTTTTCCTTAAATATACATTTAGATATGTGGGCTGTGGGATGCATTTTTGCTGAGTTGTTGACCTTGAAGCCACTGTTTCAAGGGGTAGAAGTCAAAGCTACATCAAATCCCTTTCAGGTACATGATGCTGTAACTTATAACTTTTTGATTTTGTAGTTGAATATTATGCTATAGATTTAGCTTTCTTTGGATGGTGTTGAAATAAATTTATATAGTAGTGTTAACTTTGCCTTTGGATTTTGCATAATTATTGTTCCACTTGTGCAGCTTGACCAACTTGACAAGATATTTAAGGTTTTAGGTAATTTATCTGCTTAATGTTTTTCTTCTTCCCTGCTGGTGGACATTCATTCTGTTGATGAATATTCTAGAGCTATATCACAGGACATTGTTACTGTGCCAGGCCATCCCACATTAGAAAAGTGGCCTTCGTTAGCAAGTCTTCCACATTGGCAACAAGATGTGCAACATATACAAGGACACAAATAGTAAGATCTTTTGATATTATTATCGGTGCTGCTGTCAATTTTCATTATCAATGTGATTATACAATTATATGTAGGAATGATCTTTTCCTTTAATATGTAGTCCTTTGATGCTTCCTTATTTACTTACCTATTATTCTTTAAATTTAAAATGAATTTTTTCCTCCTGTGAAATTTATGGATTTTTTCTCTTTTTTGGGTTAAAGTGACAACGCAGGCCTCTATAATGTTGTACACCTTTCTCCAAAGAGTCCTGCATATGACCTCTTGTCAAAGATGCTTGAGTAAGTTTGTTCCGTGGATTTGAAATTTTACAACATCATGCATCATATTTGAGGATTGGTTTCCATATCTCCTTATATTTGATGATTGTCTTTATTTAATTAGGGTTATAATCTAGTACTAGACTGTATGCATAAGGGTTTGTGTTTAATGTCTTTTGCAACATGTACAAGTCATCATATCATATTCCAAAAGCTCAAGCTTTATTATTAATGATTTTACATTTAATAATGTTGTGTATTTATTTGCAGATATGATCCTCGTAAACGTATAACAGCAGCACAAGCTTTGGAGCATGAGTAGGATTCTTTTCTTCTTCTTTGTACTTGTGTATTATGTGTATCTAACATTAAAAACTATGGTGTGTTCTTTTGTTTACTGAAATGTTCACTTAGTTCTATCTGTTTTAACTTCTATTTCTTCATATATTACTTACGTGCTCTGAAAAGGATGTGGTTGTCATCTTGTGTGTCAAACATAGCTAAGGACTTTGCATTGCTGACTTTGGTTATATTTGTTCTTTTTCGTAATTCAGCTTTTATCTGACAAGCATCCTTATGCTCTGTTTGTCAGGTATTTCAAAATTGAGCCATTACCTGGACGGAAGTAAGATTCTTTCTTCCCACTTTTGTTTATTCTGGGTTGGCCTTTATTCTAAATTCTATGAATAAAACCTGGTCCTCTCATTTTCGATTGATTTAATTTATTTAATCTTTTGTAGTAAGATTTATGATCAAAAGTATTAATGCAGTTATTTTGTGCTTAAAAAAAAATTGTTGTACATATGAAGCCCATATATTCCGCCAATGTTTATTTTCTTTAACTGAACATATCTGTAATATCTTGCTCAGTGCACTTGTACCATGTCAACTTGGAGAGAAAATTGTTAATTATCCCACTCGTCCAGTGGACAACACAACTGATCTCGAAGGGACAACCAATCTGCCATCTTCACAAGCGGTGGTATGTAATGTTGATTGAAAACTTGTTGCTAGTATATCATTCTAAACTGCAATTGTGCATACCTTATATGTTGTTGGCCTATCTCAATCTATATAGATTTAAAATTTTCATAGAGCAAGGCATGTTAAAAATAGCGAATGATATGATTCAATTTTGTCCTTAAATAATCTTTTAATGAAATCATACGAACTTAAGTCTACCAGGAGCAACAAATATTGGGGAAACCAAGGATGTTCATTTGTTATGAATAAGGCAATACTTCAAATTGTAAGAGTTTTGCATATTTGGAGAAAAAATTATGATTATTTAGATGATGTGGGTAGTCTATGGGTTATAACCGCTGGATTTCTTTTGTGTGTGGGAAAAGTGTAAGGTTAATCAGGATTATATTGGCAATTATACAATATAACGATAAATTACTTTTTATTGTGTGGAAAGTTTAAGGTTAATATTGTATATGATAAACTACATTTTCATTTGTCAATGAACAAATACTTTAAGATGTTACGAGTTTGAGACTTTTTTAATAGGCATATTATAGAAGGAGGAATATGTCAAGACCAGAAAGGGGGAGTGAGTAAAGGGCAGAAAAGAACTTGCTCACATTAATTCATGATATCTCTAAAAGATATATTATTTTGAAATTTAAATAATGGCAGCATGAACTCCAGCCGGAAAATGTTAACTAAAATTTGTATTTTGAACTTCAACTCTTTCTTTGTTCACTGTTGTAAAATCCTCCCTCTTATAACCTTGTATTTACTACTCATTTTGTATCAAAATTGAGAATTGGTTGCAGAAAAATGAAACTTTGTCCATAGGCTATGATTATACAAAAATGAGATTTGATTGAATTTATGTTGCTAGCCCATATCTAATGGAGTCCATCAAATTATAAAATTGAATACATACTATTGCAAAAGAGAACTTTTAGGAGTTGCTTTCTTTCTCAGCATGCTATATAGTTTCTCTTGGATTAAGTATCTCTCATTTTTTTAAAAGATAATTATATTCTTAATTATTATTTCTTAAGCTTAATGAGTTCCTATTTGAGTTTTGCTTTCTAATTTTGAATTTTAACACTCCATATCAAATTAATACAGATAGAGATAGCATGTTTTGAGTGGAAAATTTCCTCTTTGATTAAAAAAAATTATCTGATTAACTTTTTCCTATCTAATAAAATATAAATCTTATAATTTGCAAGGAAAGTCTTCCATTGTACTTTATACTTAAGATATGTTATTTCAACATTGTTTAACAATATTATTTTTTTCTCCTATATATTTTTATCATCAAAATTTTTAAATTCAAGTATAATTTGAAAGTACCCGTGCATTAACTTAATAGTTTTACATTTCTTTCAGATAAGGGCACTGCTTGGAGAAAATGTAGGTGATAGTTAACATTAATAAAGTTCAATTACATGGTGCCATGATGCTTATGAACAATTTCAATGGTTTGCTATGTTTAATAGAACATAGTTGGCTTTGTTTATAGCTTGGTACAGTTCGTGTACAATTCTAAAAGTCTAGTGCAACTTTTGGGAACAAGTTGTTCGTATCATATGTGGATTGGTAATGAAAAGTCATAGTTGGTACTAATGACTATTGTGAAGAAGTCACACTTGAAATTTCTTAGATGTTATGTTATATTACAAAAGTTGTACGCATGAAAAATAACAACCTAGTTGTATAATGAGTTCTCTGCATAATATACAACTTGGCTATATTATTTATGTCATTAGATAAATAGTATGTTTGGCTAAACTTCTTCATAATACCTGTGGGAAAATAAAATAAAATAAAATAAAATAAGCTTTTACAAAAGTTAAATTAACTTATGCATAAGTTAAAAATAAGTTTTTAGAAAAGCTAATATGAGAGAATTTCTGTAAATTAGCTTATGCATTTGTTAATTTTAGTTTTTGAAGAAACTTATGTTTTTTTTTTTTCTTATTTCTACTAAAACTGCTTTTAGAGAAACAAATCTGTGTCATATACAACTTGCATAATGTGTAATTAACAACAACTATAGAAGTCATACACAACATATACAGCATACATATTTGTTGATATAAAATTTTGTAAGTCCTAAATATAAATAATTATTTAATGAGCTCAACTCTTTCATTTGAAGTTTTAAAATGTTACAATCAAAATTTGAAAATAAAGTTGATTAATTTACATGATTAGCTTGGTTATGTCCCACAATGAGGATATCTTGTAAACCTAATCAAGCTCATCATATAAACGTAAACTTTATCGTCATATTGTGGTTGTAATATTTTTAATTTATAAATAGAAAATAAGACATTAAAAGAATAAATAATAATTCTAGGATGTTTATCGATCCATATACTTTAATGAACAAACAACACAATTACAATACAAGAGTTAAGATAGCCTGTACCTTCCACTAAGGTTCCAACAAGATTTTGTGACAACTGAATTCATCCATGACATATCTGAAAATTAACTTGTTGATATTCAGCCGTACATATCTATGACACCCTATCTATACTGTTATCCTATTATATCAGCATGCATGTCCTGCTAGAAATTTTGATTTTTGTAGCTAAACTAGGGCCATTGTATGCTATCTTACCTTTGCACATGCAGAGTGACTGTTTCTGGATTCAAAGCTTTACCTTTGATACCAAGGGCATGCCCTTGGTTTTTCTAGCTAAGTTTGAATAAAATCTAACTTGTGAGCATCAACAACCTTTCTATTCGTAAGTTTGAACTGCCTACACACATCTTGTGAAATATGCACGATTTCTCCTCCCCATCAATTACAAACTTTTTTGTTTTCTTTAAACTGCAGTATTTTAAATCCTGGAGACTGGCGCAAAGCGCGGCTGGCACAAAAACACCAAAATGGGATAATGGAATAGCCACTATACTATATGCATATAAATTTTCAAAATGATAAAAATGACTCAAATTCACTACATTCATAAACATAACATACAAGTAAGACAAGTCAAATACAAGTTTGTTAGATAGGAATAATCAATCATTATCATCTTTATAATTTCACTGCTATCACAGCTATAGATTTCGTTTTTGTAAATTAAATCTCTAAAATAGCCACTAGAAATGGCACAATCTCTTTATTCAGAGGGCTTTCTTAGAATCCTCTCTGCTATGGCAGCTCTTCACTATTTGGTCCTCTATGGCTGCCTTAAACTGCTCTGCTATGGCGGCCAAAGTAGTGGCCAGGGGCCACTCTGCTGCCCTACACTGCTAAAATGCACCATCGAAAAGCTTGTTTTAGTCAGCAACTTGTGTTTGCAGTTTTGCATGATAAAAATGAGCGTTTTTAAAAAGAAGATGGTGCAGATTTTTCTGTACTAATTAAACGTTTTTGTTTTGTTTTATAGACCTTTTTGTATTTTGCTTTTCTTAGAATCAACAGACTCTTCTAATCCGTCTGCTATGGTAGCTCTTCACTATTTGGTCCCCTATAGATGCCTTAAACTGCCCTGCTATGGTGGCCACAGTAGCAGCCAGGGCCCAATCTGCTGCCCTATACTGCTAAAACGCACTATTGAAAACCCTGTTTTAATCAGGCACTTGCTTTTGCAGTTTTGCACCATAAAAACGAGAGTTTTTAGAAGATGATGGTGCTGATTTTTCTGTACTGGCTGTGAAGATTTTAAAACATGACCTTTTTTTTACCACATATCAGGTGGAGGGCATGTGATTATTAAAATTGACTGTTAAATTGGACAAGAAGGGAAAATTACAATGAATTGTGTTAAATTTGTGTATAGTATCCCTAATTTAACATATAAGGATGAAAAATGCAACTAGACTAATAATTCAAGGATTAGGGTGATACTTTTTTTTAACCTTAAATTGAAAAATATTAATTCATCTAGTCTATACCATAATAGATTACATAATTTTAAAAGTTTTGCAATGTGTGATGGCATATGTGACCGACTTAAAATTTATGTATATATATGGCATATTTGACTTTATGTAATCTGGTAAATTTAAAAACTTTATTTAATTCAATAAATAATGCCAGAGTCATATTTTATGGATTAAATGCATGATAAAAGTAAAATTAAGTTGTGATTTTTCATGTATACAACATTTGTAATTCAATTTTTTTAGGTAAGATTTGCACAAATTCTGTTTTCTTTTTTAATCATCAGACCACTAGGACTTTCCTTTACAAAATTCATAGGTGTTAGATAAATAAATTCCAGAGTTGCGCTACTCTGGACTTTGTACCAGTATAGTTAAAAAGCTGGATATTTGACTTTTGTGCATATCATTGTGTGGTGTCTTCCTGAACTTAAATGTGTATAAATAATCTGATGGCGAGCCTATATGAAATGATAAGGTTGCCTTATAAACTGTGAACTAGAGGTTCAAACCTGGAAACATTCTTTCTATGGGGGGTAAGACCGCCTATACTATGTGAGTAGTACTGGGAATGGATCTTGTGCAATTGATATCATTTTTCCTTATTGAAATTAAAGTTTCCTTGGTAATAAAAAATACCTTTCATAGTAAAGTATGGTTTTGTACTAGCTTATGTGCAAGCGTACACGTGCAAACATGCTCTGCACTTCAGAGTTTTAATTGTGTATTTTCTTATTTGTGAGCCAGGTAACTGCAGTTTCTGGTAGCATGCCTGGTGCTCATGGGTCTAATAGATCTGTCCCTCGGCCAATGAATGTTGTTGGAATGCAAAGATTGCCACCACAGGCAATGGCGGCTTATAATCTCACATCTCAGGCAGCCATGGGTGACGGAATGAATCCTGGGAGTATCTCAAAGCAACGAGGTGTTCCACAGGGCCATCAGCCGCAACAGGTTTTGTGTTTTGCGGGAATTGAGATAGGGGAGAAGGGGTTTAACTTATTTTTTTGTATTTTTCTTTTGTAGTATGATGTTCAAATTTATTATGTTGTGAACAGTTGAGAAGGAAAGAGCAAATGGGGATGCCCGGATACCCTTCACAACAGAAGTCAAGACGAATATAAGGTAATGCAATTTTGGAGTTATGGCTCCAGCTATTTATCTTTGGCAATGGTGGGAGGGGTGCAGTTGTTTTAGATATGAACTTGTCTTCCAATTGGACTAAGAGATACCTTTGAAATGTGGAACTCAAAAATTTTTTATTGGTAAATTTTGAGGGCAAGCCCTAGTGGAACAATAAAGTTGCAACTTAATAAAAGTTGTCATATATTTGAATCCGAAAACTCATAGTAGGGAGCCTTATGGCACAGGTATACTATTGTTCTGGTGATTTTTATTGACGAATAAGGTTCATGAGATGTACAGGAAAAATTCAAATAAGCTTCGAATTTGATTCTTATGCCATATTTGTTTTTGAAATTTGTATGGGAATGTCAAAATCAATGTTTTACGTGCCAAACATGAAATTAGTTTTTATAATTCCAGCCGTACTGAACCTGATAGAATACCAAAACTAACTATAGAATTGCTAGTGAGATTTAATACATTACCTTATGGTTAGGTTTCTGCTGGAAGAGAGAACAAGTGAGAGGATAGATTTGGGGTCAATAGTTCAGTTTACTCATGCAGGACATTTCTAGACGCAGGATATGGCCCTCAATTCTTGCTAGCTTCACTTTATTGCAATCAAAGATTGGGTGCATTTGTCACTGGAATTTTGATGCTAAAACGCTAACTTTAATGTTGGAACACCAATGAAGTCATGAAAGGAAAAGGGAATAAACGCAGGAAGGGGTTAACTTATTGTGGAGTACATATATTATGATTATAACAATGCAATTCTCTTGTATTTCTCAGCTTTTGGGCAAGATCAATATCAGAAAATCATTTGTGAACATTTTTATGTTTTCATATTGTAGCATTAAATCTTTCATTTGCTACTATGCATTTGTAGAATATTACCTCGTTAGTTCAAAAATACCACATGCATTGTTTTGGGTATTTCGGATACTGCATTGGATTAATTTTACACTAAGAAAACTTGGCCTATATTTAGATGGGGATTTTAGTAATTCAAGAAAATTGAATTATTTGCTATTGAATTTTCTTTATTAATATTTTGTTGGGCTAAAGTAATTCACATTGTACGCTTGTTTTAATTTTCTTGACCATGTTTCTGTTATTTTTATATTCTTATAGATAAACAAATCCTTGTAACTTTTATTCGGGGTTTTAACCCAACACACCTCATCATACCATGCACTCATAACATCTTGATTTTTATGGAAAGATATATGTTTTCACCCTTCTTCATTTTTTCAATTAGATAAGATTTACTTTCTTGCAAATATTAATACCCGTGGATTCTCAATAATTAGATTTTGTATTGGTCAAATTCAATTCAAATAAATACATTATATACAAAACTTTAAGGGCTTAAGATTCATTTTTAAAGGGTTCAAAGATCAATAACTATATATATGATTCATGTATATTGAATAAAAAATGGTGACTGCTTGTGTGATTGAAAAGGGTGAAAGATTATTAGGAATTCGAATAGGAAAAAAGTTAAATGCATTATGAGATGATGTTACGATCACTTATTTTAAATTGATTTTTTTATTTATTTAATTATAATACATATAACATGAAAATTAAAGTTGTTATATGTTCGTGGATGGGGTATTCAAAGGTGATCTGTCTTCATCTTATCCTCAACTTGGTTCATATGTGCATGTATTTTTGGTCGACCCGATTTTAAAAAAATAATCATATTTTTAAAAAATTAAATATTAATATTTTATTAAATTAAAATCTACAAATTGAATCACCATATCTAATAACTGAAACTAATTTTATTTATTGATTTAAATTTTAAAAAATATGTTTTAGTCTCTTTAGTCTGACAGTTCGTTTTTACAGCTAAGGATTTAGGATCTTTAAAATATCAAGTTATATAACACTTCCAGGAAAATATTTCTTTTTATTAATGTGATTAAGTTCCTTATACTTTTTTATTCCCATATTTTATATATGATGGACTTTTAGATAGAATAGACTATTTTTTTTCTAATTTGAAGAATAAATTCATCCATTTAAAATATAGGAACCTTAATCACATTTGGTTAAAAGTATAGAACTCATAAAAAACAAAAATTTTCCTTAACATTTTATTCACTTTTAGTTTTTTGTATTTATAAAAAAAGAAAAGTTAAAAACCTTCAGAGGGACTTAAAAGACTGAAACCATAATTTTTGTAAGATGAAAACTAAGATGAAGAAAATTTAAATGAATTGTATCATTAAATAAAGTAAGAAAATAGTTAAATTTTATTTACATTGAGAATAAAAAAAAAGTATAGTTTTTTTCTTATAAATAAAAACTTCCTAAGGAAAAGAAGGCAATTTCTAAATGTACTTGGCATTTCCTTTTATGATTATCTTCAAAATACTTATACTCAGAGACAAACTTAGCTTACAAGAAACTCTCAAGTGGAACACATTAAACATGCTGTATATATTACATATTCATTGGAGATATTATCCAAAGTATATACTATATAGCCACATTTAGCCGACATATTACAAATTTGCCATGCAAAACTCCAAACAAGTTTTGTTGTTTTCCTTCCTGGAAGCAAGGAACCCTGCAAAAGACAGCTTCTAGCCAGTTCTGCCATTTCTTTATTTTAGTCTCATGCATGATCTCATCCTCTGTTTTTATATCATATAATATCATGTCATTTTCCTCAATTGGCCTTCTTCACACGCATTGCACACACATCTAATTAAATATCTTTCACCACATTACATAGAAGCATGAACTTTAATTTAAATTAATTCATACAACCTTTTCTTCCTTTCACTTTTCCAGATGAGATACACTGAATCTAAGGACAATCTCATCATCCAATGGCTTGCATAGTCCCCTGAAACTGAAAGCCTCCATATCCCACTTGCAAGTGCATGTCTCCCCCTATAAAAACCACCTCGTGTACTTATGTTTTTCTTAAACATTCGTCTACTTTATTCTCAGCTATGTCTGTGGTTCCTTGCAATTGCTACCACACCACTGAAAAGGGTAACTGTGGCGGTGAAATTGAAAGCTTTCACCAGTTTTTTGAGTGCTGGATTTCTGAGCAAAACCAACACCTGAAGGACCTTTTAGTTGCTGAATCAACTCAGCTAACAGGTGAAGAACTTCAGCCACTGATTGATGGGGTGGTTGAGCATTATGAATACTACTACAAGGCCAAGTCAAGTTGGGCAAAGCAAGATGTGTTGGCCATGTTGTCTCCAACATGGACGAGTTCCTTCGAAGAGGCTTTTCTTTGGATTGGTGGATGGCGACCAAGCATGGCCTTTCACTTGCTATATTCCAAGTCTGGTATGCAATTTGAGGCCAGGCTCAATGAATTGATCCAAGGTCTAAGAACATATGACTTGGGAGACCTATCAGCATCCCAACTAGCTCAGCTTGATGAGATGCAGAGGAGGACCATCTTAGAGGAGAGGGAGATCTCAGATTTGATGGCAAGGCACCAGGAGACATTGGCTGATGCCTCAATGGTGGAGTTGTCTCATGTGGTTTCTGAGATGATAAGATCCGATGAAAGAGACTTTAAGGAGAGTAAGGAAATAGAGGACAAGGTTGAATCAACCCTGGTGCCAAAAGAAGAGGGTTTGGAGGAGATCTTGCTGAAAGCTGATGAACTTAGGTTGGGAACACTGAAGGCTATTGTTAATGTTTTGGCTCCAAAGCAGGCCGTTCATTTCTTAATTGCTGCTGCAGAACTGCACCTGAGGCTACATGATTGGGGGAAGAAGATGGATGCTAGAAAGGGAAATCATGGTATTGGTGAGGGTAAAAATCATAATTCATCTATTTGAAGATAGCAGCACTTGTGAAACCTACAGAGAATTGTGCCACCTTGAGTTTTATGTTGCTGTAATAACTCAGAACTGGTTGAAGAAAAAGAGAGGGTAGGAATAGGATCAAATCAAATTAAACCATTGCTAAGTAGTCACAGCTTTAAAAGGGAAAAAGTAAGTCTTAAATTCAAAAGCATTGTCCATAAACAAGGGATGTTTATTCTTGAACTTTCAAATACTGGTTCATTTCATACATCAAAATCCTGCTTAGTTGGATCAATCCCATGTTTTACAATGCCGACATTTATCTTAAAGGGGATTTGAATTTGTAAGCAAATATCTTCTTTCCTCTGTTGCAAAAATGTTTAGTTACATAGGAAAGAAATGTTTAAACTTTTTAAATTACACAACTCTGAAAAATTAGTAGTTTGAAGAAAGAAACATGTTGGAGAAGAAATGCAAGAAAACAAAATAATACGAAGAAACACCTGACATAAGCAATAAATGGCATGAAGTGTCCATCTTTAACACTGCTTTGCCCAAAACACCATCGAATAACAGAGAAACTGTAACCGCAATCCTAAATGTAAAATCTAAAAGCAAAGTCAGCTTAGCATTCCTGACACAAGATAACACTATTTGTCATTATCTATGAATACTTTTTTCCTGTTACATTTTGAAGAGATTTTAAAGAGTATTTTAAAAGGTAAAATCATGTCTTGTTTGATATAGTTTTCTGTCAAAATTTATATGTTATATTATGATATAAGTTTTGCTTTAATTTCTTCACCATTCATCATTTATTTGCCGGCAACTACCTCCAAAGCTCATTCTAAATTCATCAAAAACTCTATACAGAAACGTGCATTCTTTTCATATGCACCAACAACTTTCTTCTTTTTCTAAGATCTTTTATTCTTCGGTTTCATTGGTCTGTTAGCTTTATTCCAGACATTTCTAAATATATATATATATATATATATATATATATATATATATATATATATATATATATATATATATATATATATATGAGATATATTTATTTCATAATTCAATTATTGTAATATAATAATATTATTATTATCTTATAATTGAGTTGTTAAATAGGTTATATATTAAATATTTATAAAAATTATGAATAAAATTTTAATTTAATAATAAAAATAAGTATAGAAAAAAAATTCATTAAGTTAAAATTAGTACATGATAAAAATTATCTTTTAAATAGATTTATCCTTACTATTTTAAGATAAATGATATAAATTATGATGATAATTTAACCACATCATTTAATTTATAGAATTTGTTTGTATAATTGATTGTTGATATTATAACTATATATGTAGAATGTTAGAATATAATAATTATATTTGACTAGGAATAATATGTTATAGAAAGAAATAATGTTATAGAGTTTTAAAAGATTATGTTCAATGTTTAAAAACTACTTTGCATGAATTATATAATTTTGCTATATGCATATTTCACTCAAAATTTTGTCATTTAAGCTAAATATGCAACAAAAAGTAAAGGTCCATTTTGAGTGAATTTTTATTAAAGGAAAAACTCTCAAGATTTATTTTTGATGTATTATTGCATAAGTGAAGAAATTTTCATTTTATCTTTATTGAGTCTTCGTTATAATCTTATTGAATCCTTAATTCAATATATTTATTCGTTACATTATATTTATTTGGTTGTTAATTAATATGTTATAATATTATATATATATATATATATATATATATATATATATTAGTATTTAATACTTTATTTCATGTTAATAAGATATATTTTAATATTCTAAATTAGATATATACCTAATACTTTACAGAAATTGTATTATATTGCCAAATTTTATCATTTTTATCGTAATATATTTTCCTTTGATAGAAAATGTTTCGTAAAATCACATTTTTCTTTGAGTTAAAAATTTTATAAATGAAAATTCCTTCACTTATGCAATAATACATCAAAAATAAATCTTGAGAGTTTTATTATGATAAAAATGATAAAATTTGGCAATATAATACAATTTCTATCAAAGGAAAATATAATAGAATTTTAACTCAAATAAAAATGTGATTTTACGAAACATTTTTTATCAAAAGAAAATATATTATGATAAAAATGATAAAATTTGGTAATATAATACAATTTCTTTAAAGTATTAGGTATATATATAATTTAGAATATTAAAATATATCTTATTAACATTTATGTTAAAATATATCTTATTAACATGAAATAAAGTATTAAATACTAATCTACATTTATATTTATATATATATATATATATATATATATAATATTATAACATATTAATTAACAACCAAATAAATATAATGTAATGATTAAATATTGAATTAAGGATTCAATAAGATTATAACGAAGAATCAATAAAGATAAAAGAATAATTTATCTGATTTTGGAATATTTTTTATTTTGAAATCATTATTTTAAATTATTAGTTTATCTTATATTATATGTGTATTGTTTTAAAATTATTATTATTATAATAATAATAATATGAAAAAAATATGCAAGCGTGTTAGATTTCAATAAAAATGAATTTGAAATTGAGAAAATTTTAAATATTTTTATTAATTTTATTTTTTATTAATTTTTAATTTATGTATATAATTCTATGTGAGAAGGAAATATATATTTTAAATATTTTCTTATTAAATAAATACGAATTACATCTTTATTTTTAAAATACTAGAAAGAATTGCTAAGTCATTTTATATTCAAGCCCTGAAATTATTAAGTGAAAATATGTAACTCCTTTCCTATTATCCAAGTTTCCATTAGTGTTTATTTTTTCTAAGTACTTTCCAATAATTCATCAAGCCAGAATTAATAATATTGGAAGCATTCATATAATCACCAATTCAAGAAATTTCCGAACAAAGAAATTTTTGTTAAATAAATCGCCCTCACATGAAGTCAAAATGTCTAACCATACAATACAATCTAGTCAAATATCCCAGGAGGTAAATAATAATTACGGTAAAAACAAGACAGAAATTTTTTTTTCAAATGATTATAAGGAAAAGGAAAAGAGAACATGAAAGTGAAGGAAGATTTGAGAAATGCAACGAAAATGGCAACACACCGAAATCTTAATAAAAAAGTGTGTATATTGAGATGCGTGATGGTATTGATGTTTTGTGTGGAAAAGGCTACAAATGGAAAGGAGTGGGTACAGGAAATTGGTATGTATGTATTTATTATGTATGCAGTGTGAAAGCAAGAGAAAGGTGAAGATGTATTATTGTATTCTATTGTGAAAGGGAAAGAAAGAAAGAAACAGAGAAAGAAACGATTCAAGCAAAAGATACATAGATAAGAAGAGAAGAGAAGAGTAGTAAGTAACAAGTGAGTGAATGAGTGAGTGAAACGCCGCATTGAACACAAGACAAGACCCTGTAACGCACTCAACTCTGTCTGGGTAAGTTCTTCTTCACTCATGTCATCTGAATCTTCCATTTTTTTATTCAATTTTCATCATTATTAGGGGATTTCACTGTTGCCCTTATGAAATCAAACAATTGGGTTTTCTGAATTTTGTTTCTTCTGATTGTGGGTGCCGCCTCCGCCGCTTCATTATCACATTCTCAGTTGTATATTGATTTTAGTTTGTTCTTCAGATTTATTCTATAATATTCGCTTATGATACAATCTAGGCTTTTGGGGTACATAATGATTGAATTTGAATTTCCCTTTCTTCATATTTTATTTATCTGTTTATTTTTTATAATTCAACAAATGATTAGTACATTAAATTTCAATAAACATACATACTCTTGATTCAGGTTACACAAGAACTGGATCTGCAGCATTGGAATTTCTGTATTCTTCTGGGGGTATATAGTCCCCTCTCGTCCCCTCTCGTCCCCTTGTTTTCTGCAAGGGTCTCTGGTTTACAATTGAAGTCAACATATTTTCTGTCTATGGTTGTTGTTGTTTTTGTGTGTTGGATTTTCTTGACTATGATTCTCATTGCAGAAGAAGGCTTTGTGAACGGAATTAAGTTAATCTTATTGAAGTAGAAGGATGGTCTAATAATCTGAATGGTCAATTTGTGTATATGAGTCCGAAGACGGATCAGATGGGCAGAGGAAATGATTCAGCAATGGCGAAGGAAGAAGTCAGTGATGATGGTTCCTCGACTGTTGGGAATGGGGATTTAGAATCTCATGCTCGAATTAGTTTGGACAAGGAAGGCTTGGAAACATGTCGTGTGTGCCAATGTACTGAATCTGATAAAAGGGCAGATGCGGCGCTAGAGTTTTTAGGCATCACCCCAGGTTCAGAAATGTACAAAAGCAAGGGAGAAGTAGGGTGTGATGGCAGTGGAGTTCCCAGAAATTTGTCTCTTAATAGAAACATTGAAAAAAATACAGGGATGGTGGAATTTGTTAGCCCTGATGGGGAGGTTTTCATTTGTAAAAGCGATTTAGAACTTGGTTTGTCTCATCAAGATAAACTAGTTGAACTTGGATGTTCTTGTAAAAACGATCTTGCTTTAGTCCATTATGCTTGTGCGCTCAAGTGGTTTGTCAACCATGGATCTACCATTTGTGAAATATGTGGACATATAGCAAATAATATCAGACTTTCTGACTTCAATAAGGTTGTTGGTGCTTTGAAGGAGTATGATGGATTGAGGGAAAGAACTGCTAGTGGTGATCCTGGTCCTGCACAAGCAAATGCAAATGCAAATGCTGGTGTTGATCCTGATGCAGTGGCTGCTATTCGGAGGCAACGGCTTAGTGAGATTGCACTATGGTTTTGTCCTCATAATAACATTAGCAATAACAACATTAGCAATGTGGACACAGTTTCACAGGTTGCTTCTGAGCAGCATTTGAATATTATTGGTGAAGATGCTCCCCCTGCACAGAATAGTGCAACTAAATGGGCTGTTGAGGGTACAGGGATCCTGCTTGCTACTGGGCTGCTTACCATTACCCTTGCATGGCTTATAGCCCCCCGTGTTGGAAAGGTATGTAAAATTGAATAACAATGGCAGTAAGCACCTGGACTTGCTAATATATTTATGCTACAAGTTCTTAGATACCTTTTCTTTGCCGGAATGTGCATGTATATGCATGCATGGATCCATACAGTGATTGAATACAACTATGTTTAGTTTACTATCAACTTCTGAATTTACAAAATTGTAGGCTTAAACTTAATGAGTTACTCATGCATGGAGCAAATATAATAGTTTGGCTCCCTATCAATTCATTGCTCTACTAATCTGTAGAGCCCACCTTTTTCTCATGTTTTTCTTCATCTGCTAGACCATACACTGATTATTATTATTTTTTTACTTATATAACTGCTCTCATCCTTATTCAATTTTCTACCAGTCATTTTTTTAATGAAAAATTCAGCGTGTAAAGTCAATAACTGGGAAGAATGAAGGGAATTATATGGGACAGAAAATTATTAATGGACTTTAGTTGTACCATTGTGTTGAAATTTAGTCTGGCATTCTGTATAGTGATCACCTATATGAGTTTTATGCCTCCACCTATATGAGTTTTATGCCTCCATTTAAAACTGGTAAAGGAAAAGATCATGTGGTCAATGTTTAATATGTAGGTCTGTAGCTGGGACATTTTGATGAATGATGGAAAGCTTAGTGGTCTGCTTTCTGGTTCATAGTAGGTTTTGGTCTGAGCAGTTTTAAAGATTTTTAGGTTATATTTGGGAGTTGGGAGAAGGGAGCAGTTGATAAAAAAGAAAATAAAAGGGAAAGGAGGCAAACAGAATGAAAGGTCAAGTAATACCTTTCCTAAATGATAATCCTTCATTTTCGTACCGGTTTCAATAAACTCCCACGCAAGGGTTAGTTTTACTCAACATCCTTTAGAATTGTCTTTGAGAATCTCATTTATGTATGCAATCAATGATGAAAGGTAAAATGCAATTTGGGGCAATAGAAAGAAGTTGTTAATCATATTAAAATTGAGTGGCCATTGATCAGATTATCTTTGTGGTGTATACTGTGAAGTATGTTGATTTTTATGGTTGCTACTATAAGACATACATGATTCATTTACATGCGGTCCTTATAATATCTGGTAAAATGAATCTCAGATTCTGTTTAATATTTGTAACTAGAAAGTATGATTTAGATTAGATTGGGTTGCATATCAACCCTGCAAGAATGTCAACTTCAGTTTTTGAAGATTTATTCCCTAGGTGATATAATAATACTTTATTTAAACAACTAGTTTCTCTCAATTTGCATGATGCTACTGGATTAACTTTTGGTAATTTGGGTGGGAAATGTTTTTACTTTAGAGGCCTTTCCTCTCCAGTTTTATCTATCTGCTTTGCTCAAGTCACCATTAGTTTCTTTTATTCTATTCACTATCATTCTCTATATTGGGACTTTCAGTTTTATCTTCCCTAAAGCATATGGATAATACAGCCTGTGTTTGTTGTCCAGAAAACTGCTAGTAGTGGCCTTCATATCTTACTTGGAGGTGTTTGTGCTTTAGCAGTGGTGGTTTTCTTCCGCTTTGTAAGTACTTTGTGTCCCTTCCTTTTGCTCCCCCTTGTATTTTGTTCCGATTTGGTTATGTTTGGATGGATTGAAACTTGACTATGTTTTTATGTAACTCGAGTAGGATTGTCTTACATGTGTGACCTTGTACCAATATAATCTTAACAATGCTGCTTGAGGTTCTCCTACCTAATGAACTCTTCTTTTTGGGCTTGACTCTCTTCTTGTGCGTTTAAATACAGAACATGCTTGATATTAGTTGGCATATTCATAACTGCTCTATTTTATTTCAATCCCAGAGTCTAATTATTTTTGTATTCTTGTGGGTATTGCAGTTTGTGCTTACCAGAATCAGGTATGGACCTGCACGTTATTGGGCAATCTTGTTTGTTTTCTGGTTTCTTGTCTTTGGAATATGGGCTTCAAGGACCCATGGTGCCCATACAACATGATCCCATAGTGCAGTGCTTTAGATCTTTGCTAGTCCTTTGTCCCTCTTGGACAAAAAAAAAGAAGAAAAGAAAACTCCCCTTCCTTTCCAAATCTTCATTCCTTGCCATCTTGAATTTTGAGATTTTGAATATATTCATTATAATACGACTTATAAGTCTATTTGGAAGATTCTCATATTTGTTCCATGTAAAATAGCAATTATGTTGTTTGCAAGCTAGATTTCTGAATGGGGGAACATGTGTAATCCTGGGCTCCATATGTAGGTCATGAAAATAATGAGAATACGCCCACGCCCTTGCTTATGCACTGATACTAGTACCATAACCCGTGAAACGCACGGGATTTTTGAAAAATGTTAAATGAAAAAATTATGTTAAAAAAATTGTATAAAATAAAAAAAAACTTACAATAAATACAAAATATAATCGATAAAATTATATCATACAAAATTTAAAAAATACCTTCTATAATAACATAATGATTATAATATAATGTAACATTTGAATAATATGCAATAATAACAAATCAAAATAAATTAGTATAATAATTTATAAATTTGATATATTGCATAAAAAAGATAAATCTAGTAAAAAATATTGTAATTTTATTTTTCATAATACATATTACACAATTAAACAATAAAGAAAGAAAAAGAATAAATAATGACAAAATATATAATTTGTAAAATAGTTATATGATTGTGAATAAAACTTACCAATTGTACAATTTTATGATCATTAAATAAGCATAATTTTGAAGCAATAATAAACATCATAAATCTACATTTTCATAGAGTAAATAATTAAAAATTATAACAAATAAATGAAGTAAACATGTAGTTTTTCGTATAATAGTGTACCTGCACATGTTTAAAGGTTTTCAAAGATTTCTTTGTATACTACATTTTTAGTACATGATGTTACATTTCCTTCTTCATCCAATATAAGCATTTTCAGTCCTTTCTTTGTTTTGACTCTAGAAATTGCCACATAGAACTGACCATGGGTGAATACTGGACGCGGAAGATAAAGTCCAACTTTAGAGAGTGATTGGCCTTGACTCTTATTGATTGTCATTGCATAACACAATGATAATGGAAATTGTCTCCTTTGAAACTTGAAAGGAAATCCAGGATCAGAAGGAATCAAATTCATTCTTGGTATAAAGATTTTGTCTCCAATATTTTTTCCAGCAATTACAGTAGCTGATATGACATTTTTTCCCAAATCATTCACTTGCAATCTTGTTCCGTTACATAAACCATTTGCTTGATCAATGTTTCTCAACAACATTACGGGAACACCAACTTTTAATCTAAGTCGATGAGTTGGAATACCTGAACATTTAATGTCATTAAGAAATTCAGATGTAAACCATTCACCTTGCATTTCCTGATCCTCATCTGATTGACATGGTGTATTAGAACTCAAGTATATTTTTTCTTCACCAGGAATCAAAGATAAAATAAAATTATTAACTTCCTCAACTGCATCAATAGTAGGACAAAGTATCGCTCCATCATCAAAATTACCAGCATACATCATGTTATGCACAAAATGAGGATAGACAAAATTAACTAATGAAAGTAAAGGTGTTTCATTGCCTTCAATTAAAAGATCTTTGGGTATGTGAATATGTCCTTCACCATTTTCATTCAAAGGCACATCTCCATCTCCAATCTTTAATATCCAATCAGCAAATTCTTTTATATCTTTTGCACTATCATTTGTTTTTGCGGTATTTAACCTCATATTCTCTCGTAAGCTTTAGAACTTTGCAATTTGTCCATATTTCAGAATAATTTATAGATGACTTCACCACATCATGTCTTGATCCTTTTCTAACAACAGGCAAAATTTGCCTAAAATCACCTCCTAACACAATAACTTTACCACCAAATGGTTTATCATGATTCTCTACATTTGTTGCTTTCATAATATCCCTCAAGGTTCGATCAAATGCTTCAAAACATAATCTATTCATCATTGGAGCCTCATCCCATATAATTAGTTTTGTTTCCATCAAAAGTTTAGCTCGAACACTTCCTTAAGGTATATTGCAAGTTGATTCCTCATTAATTAATAATGGTATGCAAAATGTTGAATGAGTTGTCTTACCTCCAGGAAGTAACAAAGAAGCAATTCCACTTGAAGCCACATTAAGAACAATCATTCCCTTAGACCTAATGGCAGCTGACAAAGTTTTCCAAAGGAATGTCTTACCAAGTACCACCATATCCATACAAAAAGAAAAACCCCCCTTTTCTGAAAATACGACTCTCATGATCTCTTCATAAACACATAGTTGTTCATGAGTCAATGACTGAAACAATGTTGAATGTACTTTATTCATTTCTTCCTTATCATAATTAAGTTCATCAACAATAAATTTATTGTCATATATGAATGAATATGAAAAATCAGGTTGAGGTAAACAACTATAATCTTTTAGGGACCTACCATTTGACATAAGCAATTCATCTACTCGTAATAGACAAAGATTATGCAATTCAGATTCTTCAATTTGAAAACCTGCATTGGAAGATAACATAACATGATAAACAATCAAATAAGTGATTAAAACTTACAAATAAAAAATTTTGTATACCTGGTAGATTTAACTCCTTTCTTTTTTTATATAAAATATTATCTGCCAACAATTTCCATGTAGAATTCCAAACAACATCTGGTTTAGACATTGTGTTCATCACTAATAATGTAACAAACAACTTTCTCAATTGATTGCCTGAAGCAAGTTTACTTGCTTCATTGATTGCATCAATGAATTCTCTATCATTTGCCAATAGTCCCAAAGCGTGGCAAGCATCTTGATAAGTTTGGTAAGTTATCCCATTGACTGTCTTTATGCTATCATAATCAATGCATCCTTTTTGTATTGTTAACAATATCCTCATATAATATAACTCACCAGAACCTGGAGGAACATACGTCAGTCGTCCAATATTATATCCTTGCTTTCTTGGTTTCCATTCTCTCTGTTGAGGCATCCATACAAACTTACTTGGAAATTCAGCATATGTTAGGTTATTTCCCTCAACAAACCTTTTATTAGCCTCAAACCAAGCAGTAAACATTGTGTGAACATCTTCATTAGAATTCAAGATGGCATGAATATGGTCATTCCACTTCCCAGGGTTCCACTACAAATGTTCCACTCTGATGTATAAATTTGAACATCATAAAGCACATTAAAAGTAGTAAACAAAAATTTACAACAATATAAGAATAATACTTTACCTTTATTGTGAGAATGGTGAGATGTTAAATTTTCATTAAGAATGATCTTCCTTACAATTTTGTCGCTACAGTTGATTTGATTATGATCTGAAATAATAATCAGTAAAAATGTATAATTACTATTAATACATTGTTTAAATTACATATTAACTATATAATTAAGGCAACCGACCAAATGAAATTTCGATAATGGTTTCCTATTTCTACTTTGAAGTGTTCCACTGCTACCGTAGCTTGTACAATTGTCACTCGTTGAATAAATTTTAATATAGGATGCAACATTAGAGTGGTAAATAAGAAGATGTACAATGATATAACTATAATATTTGCGAGTTGTAATGTGAAGGTTCTTACTTGCATTTCCATAGAAAATAGTGCTCATTTGATTCTCATCTAACATTGTGTGTTATCACATTGAAATGTGAATAAAAAAACACAAAAGATTAATAATGCAGATTCAATTCAGCTAAACAAAAAAATTTACAACTACATAAAAGAAAACTTTGTTAAACTTATACTCGCAAGGTTCGGGATTGGAAAAGTTGCGATTGACATTGATTTTCCTCTTCTTTGTGTGTAGGTGTTTAAACTTATTCTCATCTGATATTTCAAAATCAAATTAATCAACAATGATACAATTGATAAAATCTGGAATAAACAAAGATGAAATGCAAAACATAATAATATCAAACCTATCATATGAACATTTCTAGCGACCAACTTTTGTTGCGAGAATGAACTTCCTTCTTGTTCTTGCCTGTTTTGAATCATTTGGTTCCATTACTTTAAAATCTGTAATTTTGCTACACAAAGTGATATAAGATGAGTATCAAAGAGAATGAGATATACGAGAGATGAGGAATGCACTAAAGAGTATTTGGTCTTCTAGTATATTTTGTCTATTTACTATTAAAGCATAATTATAATCTCTACTCTCTCAAAAAGTGTTACTATATTAGTGTAAGCTCATTGGCTTATTTGTATAAAGCAATTGTACTTTTCTCCAATAATAATTACTTTTTTTCTGCAACATACCTGCATAAACTCATCCAGAAAAAAGAGTAACAAAATATAGTAAAAGCATGACCAAAATACTAAAATTAGTTACTGGTTATAAATTGCAGTAACAATTTTGTGTGATATTTTGGAAAAGGTAAAAAGCAAAGTCAACTTTGAACATTACACTGCAATCTATGATTCACAAATAAGGTAATTCTTTCTGAACACAAGTTTCTCATAAGGCATAATATATACTACAATAGGTACAATATTTTTTGTCTTTTCCAGCCACTCTATTGCTGACACTATGTCTTTCTTATTCTAAAAGCAATTGACTAAATTCTGTGAGAAGCAACAAAATGAAAAGGTAATTGAACATTGAAATAGATAACCTGGAAGTTTGGTACTGCTGCAGATGGTATTTTAAGATTCGGGTTGTATTTCGCTCGAGCGATTATACTCTCGCTCGAGCGAAATACCATCCTGATCGATCATAATGTGAAATGATCGATCATAATTGGAGCTTATAATAGCGGTTCCTCTGTAACCGCTATCTAAAGTGTATATTAGATAGCGGTTAAGGTTTCCCCGCTATTATAAGCTCCCTTTAAGAACCATTATTGATTCTCGGGGTGTATTTCGCTCGAGCGATTATACTCTCGCTCGAGCGAAATACGATCCTGATCGATCATAACGTGAAATGATCGATCATAATTGGAGGATATAATAGCGGTTAAGGTTTA